AACCGAAGAAGATTCTAAAGGATTTAGTGAACTGTTACCAGCAAAATAAAAGCAAGGAAAAAGAAATTAAGTGAAGAAAAATCAAGCGGAAAAAAAAATCAAGGAAAAAGAAAACAATTGAAATTTTAGAGGCAAGAACATATTTACCCCTCCTGGCAACGGAGCCTCGCAGGGTGGTTGGCAAACCGCAATCCACACAGCCGCACAGTAACGGAACTCTATCCAGTTTATCTCCTCTACCCCGATTACCTCCACATCGTTCGGCGACCCATATCCATAGCTTTACTCATCATCGTTCGGCTACCCATATCCATAGCCTCCGATTGACAAAGCAACAATTCCAATTTTTTTTTTTTATATCCATTGTTTGGATATTTGAGCAAGTGCCTTGGTCACTTGAACCAATATATCAGTGCTTAGCTCTTTCAAAAACTATTTTGGTGGAATTCGTTAGTATACAATAGTAATGGAAAAGTCAGAAAAACTTTAACATAGAGTACAGTGAAATTCAAGAAGAGTTTGAGCCGAAAATCATGGACTGATCTTTGAGGGCATAAGATCCTCCCAAAATCAAATTGATGGCCGCCCCGAGAGGATTGATTTCAGCTATGATTGTAGAAGGAATAAACTTGAATATCGATTATAGACTGCAATCTTAAATTACAGTTTGAATATAATGTACATTGACAATTAGATAGATTACGTACATGACATGATCGCAACAAAAATCCACCTGTATTCTATTTACAAAAAGGATTCACTGAAGATAGAAATATTTAGTGAGAATATGAGGATTTAAACACCGTTGCGATTATATTTGATTGAAACCAGAAGTCTTGTTTTACTTAATCAAGTTTTACGTAGGAAAAAGCCAGTAAAGTTTAGTCAGTTGAGATTTCATGAAGATTTAGGATCAAAGACTATCTTGGTTCTAACAAAAAACAAAATTCCTACATTTTAGAAATATTTAAACTGGATTCAGTAGTGAATTCCATTGAAGGATTTATTTTTTAAGAATATTCTTGAAAATTCATAATGTTCCACATAGGACTAATTAAATCCTATGTGGCATGAAATCAGGACTCTGGCACGGTCATTATCATTGTTGCCGATACAAAAAAAAAAAAAAAAACTAAAATCTGTACGGATTGGAACTCTTCAAGCACCAAGAGATTGCAAACGCCAAGTCATTCATAGCCTACCATTCTCAAACCCGTTTTGCATTGTAAAATATAGTTTGTCAAAATCATCTACAAATATAAAATCAAACTAAACACCGAAACAATTAACCTTCAGATGGAAGATTTCAAATAGAAACTATCATTCTTGAAAACAATTCTTTAAATTTCTGAAATCCAATAGGACTCGGAAATCACAAATGACAGAACCATTTAGCAGACATAAAAATCACCTCGAATCCCAACATTATTGACCAAATGCATCCCAAGCTTTGCTAACGGCAGCTTCAATGGCTGGCCCATCAGAACCAAGGTACAGCTCAATCGGGACGACTTTCAATTGACTGGAGGAGGAATCATCCGATGAGGAAGAACCCAGTTGGCATAGATGATTCGTCGCCTCCTCGCCGATAAATAATGTTCGGCTGCAACAAAATCACCAATAGATGAATCTGCAACAAACAAATTCACCTCTTGTTCATATTCTATATATAGGACCCTTAGTTAGGATACGCTCTCAAGAATCAACAGCGATCAAATATCACATCATTCCGATACGAATGAAGAACCTACAACTTTATAAAGAGATTTATTAAGGAGAGAAAACTATGTTGGGATTTGATATTTTCTGACCGAGTTTTTATATCCGTATATCTATGACCAGGGAAAAGAATCGGAGGAGGGATGAAGGACTGAGTAGCAACAGATTCCCAATTTAAGATTTGATAGCAGATTTGATTTTTGGATACGGAGAAAATTTTTAGGGATTATTTGAATGATAAAATTGCCAACAAATTTCAAAGAATGTGTGAGTTTGCATATACAGAATCTTGGTAATTTATTTTTCTAAATTTTTTAAATCTAGAAAATTAAAAAAAATTCCACATAAGATTAAATCATATGTGGCATGTGCTCTATACCTTTAGTTTTCTCTCTCTGGTTTTTGCCTTAGTATAGTACTATATGTTAAACCCGCACGATATGCGGGGTTTATACATATACATCTATTAAAATATATTTTTAAATTTTAAATGTGATTAATACAAATAAAGTAACTGGTTTGTAATAATAAATATATGATTAAAATTAAATTAGATCGTGATAAATAAAATTGTTATATATACTTTGAAATGACAACATTTATTAAATTATATGCCAAAAATGTAATTAAATAATGGAATATGTATAAGGATTATATACAAATCAAAGTAAAAAGACCGCCAAAATAATAAATCAGATGTTACATGTCATATAAATCTAAGCAATTTATGTCTACACGGTTAAAACGCATGTTAATCAAGATTGCACACAATTGGAGAAAGAGACACCTTACATGTTAAATAAAACATGATCGGAGTGAGGTCGTCGCCGCAAAGATGTTTTGTAAAGTATATAAGATGCTTCGTTTCAGTGTTTCACCGGTTGTCATTGTACATGTTAGAATTAGACCGAAGTGGATATTTATAGTGAATGTCTGAATGAGATATCATAACCAGTAACTAAAGTAAAATTCATAACTATGGAATAAAGATGATAATGTCACGTTGATTAAGGGATAAGATTGGTGGGGAAATGACTTCCATTGCATTAATGTTGATTAGTCTTTTTCAATTAAATTTGATTAGTTTTTAATCACTAAAAAATTCTCACTTTTCTGCACGTTGAACTTAGGTTTTAAATCAATCAAGTAGTGATTTTAGGGATTATCTTGTAAAGGGATTTTTTTTTTTATTCGAATTGTCTGGGGTAAAAAATTCGGTGAATTAATGTTGAAAATAATAAATGCCTTATCCCTTTGAACTTATAATTTAAATCAATCAATTAATACTAATTGGGGATTATTTTTGGGAGAGATTATTTTTGGGAGGGAATAATTCTGGTGCATTAATGTTCATTAATTCCGTCCATTAAATTTAATTAATTTTTATTTTCCTATTTTAAACTATAGTTTTAAATGCCATTTGATAAAAATTTATTTACATAAAATTTGAAGGACTATTAGTATAATTGTTGTAAATATTTTTTGACTCAACCAATAGAAAAATGACACATAGGATTTTATCTTATGTGGCACCTTTAGAATTCTTTTTTGTTTTCTCTCTCTGGTTTCTCTCTTAGTATAATACTATAGATTTTGTAGAGGGATTTTTTTTTATTCGAATTGGCTGGGGTAAAAAATCCCGGTGAATTAATGTTGAAAATAATAAATGCCTTATCCCTTTGAACTTATAATTTAAATCATTCAATTAATACTAATTGGAGATTATTTTTGGGAGGGATTGTTTTTTGGAGGAAATAATTCTGGTGCATTAATGTTTATTAATTCCGTCCATTAAATTTAATTAATTTTTATTTTCCTATTTTAAACTATAGTTTTAAATGTCATTTGATAAAACTTTATTTACATAAAATTTGAAGGACTATTAGTATAATTGTTGTAAATATTTTTTGACTCAACCAATAGAAAAATAACACATAGGATTTTATCCTATGTGGCACCTTTAGAATTCTTTTTTGTTTTCTCTCTCTCTGGTTTCTCTCTTAGTATAATACTATAGATATAGATGAGTTAGCAAAATGGATTGAGAGGAGCTTTTGTAGATAATAAATACTATATATAAATATATTGGGACCTATCTCCGCAAAAAAAAAAAGAAAAGAAAAGAAAAAAGAAAAAAGAAATTATATACAACTAACCTCATTTGTTATCTTACGATCATGATCAAACATACACATATCTAAGTTTATCACTAATTAATTTTAAATTTTGAAATGTCAAAAGTTAAATAACTTATGTTCTTCCAAATATGCTATTCCTCAGTAGAGGTCTGGAGGGGGACTATGTAGTTGTTTGCACAATTTTCGTCTTAAGAAGAATTTACGCAAATATATTTATCAAATAATTGTGCGTAGTTCCTAACAATTATGCTCATCAAAAATAAGAGAAATTTGGAAAATTGAAAATCGGTAGGCCAAATTTTATTGAAATTCATTGAAGAAGAATTACAGCCGCCGAAATTCGGCCTAATTTAGGAGGTTCTTGAAGAACCCTAACTTTAGAAAATTAATTGGAAATAAAAAACTGAAAATTAAAGACGCAATTTGATGCTATTTTGATTGTGTCCTTTCTCCTACCGCCGATCTCTTTATATAGACCTCGTAAACTAAGTCGGTTCATGAATCCCTTTCAAATTCTGATTTGACCTCTTCTTTTAAACTCAGATTGGACCATTCAAACCTTTCTTCGCCACGGCCCAACATTTGACATCGTCAACACAGCCCAACGCCAACTTCTTGCACAGCCGCAAAAAACTGGCCCAACAGTAGTACTACTACGCTTTTTAAATTACTTCTCTACAATTAATTGGTTGGTAATAACAGCCCGAATATGAGCCAATAGATGTAATTTTAGCAGTAAAACAATTGGACCGCCACCTGAGTATAGGGAAAAGGCGAGAATAAGAATAGGTAATAACGGGTATTTTTTGCATGAAACGTCTCGAAAATTAAGGCTGGTGTAAGAAGACGCTTGGCCATATGGAGCAACCATCTCTCAACAACTGTTACTCTTACTCCTCCTTTCCTTCATCATCAGTCATCACATTTCCCTTTCTTACAAACCAAAATCCCCACCCAACCCACATCTTTCTTCAACATTCTCTACTCCCCTTACCCAAATTAATTCACCATGATAAAAGCTCTAATAAGAACATCATTAATGAATAAACTCCACGTTAATTTCTAAGCGTATAGAATTTTTGCCCTTTTAGTATGTAATTATATTTACTTGCAAATTTTTTACTAATAGCTAGAGCTGGAGAAATGGAAGGGTGGTGGAAAAGAGGAAGAACAAGAAGCTCATGGTTATGGTGGGCTGTGGTGCCATTGTTGCTGGTTTTTGGGCTAGTTTTGTTATGGACTACTACTACTTCAAGTAGTTCTAAAATGGAAGCTCCAGCTGCTTCGTTATGGAGTTGGCCGGTTTCTTCTCTCAGTAGTAGTAGCTCCGGTGCTCATCCTTTTCACATGAATATTACAACTTTATCTGCATCTGCTGAAGGAAGTAGTTCAAACGTTGTTGAAGATCCGCTGTCGTTTTCGCCACCGAAAGAGCCGCAGCCGCCTTTAAGTAGTCATCCTGATGAAGTTCATAACTCCAGCTTCAGGGTCAAGTTCAGCAGCTCCGTTTCAATGCCACCGGACGTTTCTGTTGATGTAAATACCCACATTGATGAAAACCCAGTAAGTTACTTTATGACTCATTCATGTCTTTGGCTCCATGAATTACTGCAATTAAGATAGTAAAGTATCCTTGCAGTTACTTAAGTTACTTTTTTTCTTTCTGGGAAATTTAAACTCCAGTTGCTTGTAATAATTCCTGTTGTCCGATTTGAACTGTCTTGGGAAAGTTAATAATGTTTAGGCGGAGAATATTACGTGAATTCTGAAGCATAATTTAGTTAATCGCATGAACAAGAAAAGTCTGATGAGTTTTAGTTGCACAGTTTTGCATTAGTTATGGAGTATAGTAAGTGTTTTATTGGTGAGATTAAGTTATGTTAAGTTGCATTTGTAGTATTTAGGTTTGTTGGCTCATCAGGAGTTATCGGATGCTTGCCAATCAATCAATGTGAAGTGCTCTTTGGAGTGCTGTTCTTATTAATGTTGTTTTCCTTCCGCATTTAAAGAATGAACAAAAACATAAAATTGAAGTATCAATTCCTTGCATTGATTCAGGGAGGATGTGTCTGTTTTATTTATGTGATCATCTTTACATTTTTATCAGTGCCTTTTGACTGGAAAATATTTTTTCCCGCTGAGCTTTCCTTGTTTTTGTTCTGTTTATGTGGCTTTAATAAAATCTACGTTATGCGGGAAACCAGGGGTTATGCGGGAAACCAGGGTATAGAAAGCAATACTATAAGGGGAAAAAGAACAATTTTTTTTATTATTATTTGTTACAATGGAAAGAAGTTCACTCCTAGAAGTCTAGAAAACAACATTTCAGGGGAAAAAGAACAAATTTTGGTTAGTTGGTTAAGCACTTAATCCACAAGTTTCCAAGTTTAATTTGTGTTACTTTTTGCCATCTGGCCCATGTCTACTCGTGGTCGGTATCATAGTCATAGACTGATCAGGTAGAGAATTTTGTTGTTTAATCACGAATGTATCTAACAGGAAATGCAAAAGGAGGAATTACCCGGAATTACAGCAGATGATTCCCCTGTAAATCTTGCAACGAATGAAAGTCATGCCTCTCCCTCGAATCCGAAGCTAAGGAGGAAGTTTAGCAATTTAGGGCGATTGGAAGCGGAACTGAATTTAGCTCGGTCTGCCATTAGAGAAGCAAAAAACACGAATCAGTCATATGATCCTGATTACATCCCAACTGGCCCAATGTACTGGAATGCTAAGGCTTTCCACAGGTAATTGATTAATTGGAGCTGTGATTTTTAAAATTTTTGTATAATTTGGTTGGATCAATCAAGTCGGTCCGTTCTCAGGAGCTACTTGGAGATGGAACATCATTTCAAGGTTTATGTCTACGAAGAAGGGGAGCCTCCTATATTTCATGACGGTCCTGCCAGGAGCATATATTCAACAGAGGGAAATTTTATGTTTCAAATGGAGAATAGCAAATTCCGGACCAGAGACATCCATAAAGCTCATGTGTACTTCCTCCCAATTAGTATGACGGCGATAGTTCGCTTCATCTTTGATCGCAAATCAAAAGATCATTGGTATCCATTGAAACAAACGGTCAAAGATTATGTCAACCTCGTTGCAGGAAAGTATCCTTATTGGAATCGAAGCATTGGAGCCGATCATTTCATGCTTTCCTGCCACGATTGGGTATGCTAGTCAAGTGAACCTTTCCACTAGAGGTTGGTTGTTTTCAGCATATGCAGTAATTTACTAAGTGATTGAACTTTGCAGGGGCCAGAACTTTCAAAATCAGTTCCTGAGCTATTTGGAAACTCAATCCGTGCCCTGTGCAACGCAAATACCTCGGAGGGATTCAACCCAAAAAAAGATGTTTCCATCCCAGAGATAAATCTTCCTAGTTACACATTAAAAGGCCTGATTGGAGGGCCGTCGCCTTCTCAACGTCCAATATTGGCATTCTTTGCCGGAGGAGTTCATGGTCCGATTAGGCCTCTGCTCATGGAGCACTGGGAAAACAAAGATCAAGATATCCAGGTGAACAAGTACTTACCAAAAGGCGTATCGTATTATGGAATGATGAAAAAGAGCAAGTTTTGCCTTTGCCCGAGTGGCTACGAGGTTGCGAGTCCAAGAATGGTGGAGGCACTTTACAGTGGCTGTGTTCCGGTCATCATTAAGGATCACTATGTATCCCCATTCAGTGATGTTTTAAACTGGAACACGTTCTCAGTTGAAATACCCGTGAGTGAGATTGTAAACCTGAAAAAGATTCTAACAGGGATTTCTTCAAGACAGTACATAAGATTGCAAAGAAGAGGTAAACAGGTCAGGCGACATTTCGAGGTCAATTGGCCTCCGAAGCGGTATGATGTGTTTCACATGATCCTTCATTCGATTTGGCTTAGAAGGCTGAATGTTCGATTGCATGGAACAGAAACAATCGACGGATCCATCGGCTCGCTTGTTTGAAGGACCCAATGGCAATACGTCCAACCAGAATAAATGGGTGATAAATATGTGGGAAATGTAGTTGTAATTCTTTAGTTATTCTTTTGTCGATGATTGGTATATGAATGTACGTAATTTTCAAGTATTGTATGTTATTCAAAGTCAATCGACCAAAGCGATACGATGTGTTTGATTATCCACTCCATTTGGCTTTGAAGAGACCAACATTGGATCATTTTTGTACGTACAATGAAAGAGGTGAATATTACGCTTTATTGTATATTACACTAGTAACCTATGCTGCGGATGGATATGCTAAGAAAAGTAAGCAACCAACAAAGTAGTTACAGTAGAACTTATATGAATTAATAGTCGATAAATTAATAATATTTATAATTAATAATTTTTTTGGTTCTAAGTTGTGATCAGTACAAAAAGATAAAAGACAATTAATAAAATAATAAGATAATAATTTTTTCGGAAAACCCTTATGTAAATATATGTCCCCTCAATATTATAAATTAATAACGACTTAAAAATATATTAAAAAAATAGGAAATGTAAAATATGAATCTAGTAACATATTTTTTTCTTAAAATTTACTTATAAAGAGATTTTCATCATTGATTTTTTCCATTACTTCAAAAGCTCTGGTGTAGATTTTCATATTGTAATAAAAAAATATGAAAAATTATTTTCTCATTAAGTGCTTCAATACGTGTAATTAGTTTCGAAAGTACTGAATTATCATCATTTACATACTAAGTCAAAGTTTGAGTAACAATAACTACAAAATTTTTAGAGTTTATTAACTAATTGTTAATTTATCGATAAATTTAATAATTATTAATTTCTCGATAAATTAATACATTATTAATTAATAATTTGAGGTTCTAACAGTATTAATTTATAAATGTTTTACTGGAGTTTCATTTCGCAATAAATCTGTTTTAGTTATTCTCTTTTTATCAACCTGCTATCTTTTGTTCCACCCCCTTACCGTTAGGCCAAGACAACGCCGTGTAAGCGTGCTACTTTTAATCTATACTTTTTTTTTTTTATTTTAGTTTTGGTGTCATTTTAATGATCTAAGAATAAAATAATGAAATGAAGTAGTAAAATATAAAATGTGACGGATCTAACACTAATACACTATTATGTGCAACTACATTGCAATATGTAATCTTGCAAAGATAGCACAGTACAAACTATATTTTCTTTCTGTTTGTTTTTAATAAATGCTATACATGTAATATTGCATGCTTCGTCCAAAATGCTTGATAGGCTCACACTGGTCTTCCATTTTATACTTTTAATCATACATATATTTTGTCTCATTTTAATGATCTAAGAATAATATAAGGAAATGAACTAGTAAAAATGTGAGGGGTCTAACATTATTATTTACAACTATATTGCGATATGTAATCTTGCAAAGATATGTAATCTTGCAACTGTATTTTCTTTCTGTTTGTTTTTCCTAAATCAACACCTAAGATTTTGATTTGTCTACTTTTGTTACGTGTGATATTGCATGCTTCATCTAAAATGTTTGATGGGCTCACGCTGGTCTTCCATTTTATATTCCTGTCAATATTTTTCCGTTTGCTTACTACAGAAGGTTATTTCCGGTGGCTTGGAGTTTACTACGAAATGCAAAGTTCAAGAACCGCATTGGAAGGATAAGCGCAAGCCCCACCGACCTCAGCGAACACGAGAAACTTCAAACGTCTTCTGACCAGTCACCAAAATAAGTGCCATTCCTAGGCACTTGCATGCTTGCACCTTTTACTACGTGTCTACTCCCTGCTGCAGTTCAATTCCACGTGTCACCAGATGCAGCACCTTGAATTTGCATGCAAATGTAACACCACCTCAGATTTCTATTTAAATTCTCCATCTTTTGATTTGAACGTAAAAGCAGAACAATTCACACTGAAACCTTATATCCAAAATCCAGCTTTTTGCGATTTAGTAAAACATTTCTCCAGTTTCGTTTGACAGACACGAACTACTTAGGTTAATTATGGCATCAAGGCAGCAAGCGAAGGAAGAAAGAGCCGAGGCCGCAGCCAGAACGGCTGCAGACGAGCTTAGTGAAGTGAACAGGGAAAGAAGAACAGAGGAAGCCAGCAGAAGAGTTGATGATGACCGGCGTGTTGCCGTTGAAGAAAAGGGAACTCCTGGAATCCCAATTATCGGGGGATTACTGAGTGCCGTTCAGGGCACAATTGAGCACGCCAAAGAAGCTGTAACCGGAAAGACTCATGATGCTTCCGTAGAAGCAGCTCGTGAGGCTAGAATGACCCGGGATGTTGTCTCAGATAAGACGTCGGAAGCGGGTTATAAAACAGGGGAATACAAAGATTATACCGCTGGTTTAGCAGCTCAGAAAACAGGGGAAGCCGCAGATAAGGCCAAGGAGTATAAAGATTATACTGCTCAAAAAACAGGGGAAGCTGCAGATAAGGCCAAGGAGTATAAGGATTATACTGCTGACAAAGCTAGAGAAGCAAAAGATGCAGCTGCCCAGAAGGCCAGAGAGGCTTCTGATGCTACTGCGCAAAAGGGAAGGGAATATAAGGATTATACCTCTCAAAAAGCAAATGAAGCTGCTGATGCAACTGCTCAAAAGGGGAGGGAATACAGAGATTATACTTCCCAGAAAGCTAGTGAAGCTGCTGATGTAATTGCTGAGAAAGCCAGGCAAGCTGGTAATAAAGTTGGGGAGTACAAGGATTACACTGCTGAGAAGGCCAAGGAGACGAAAGATTCTGCAATGGGGAAGATGGGAGAGTACAGGGATTCGGCTATGGAGAAAGCAAGGGAAACTAAAGATGCAGCTGTTGATAAGGCCAGAGAGGCTAAAGATGCAACAGCAGGGAAATTAGGGGAATACAGGGATTATGCTGCTGAAAAGGCATACGAGACCAAGGATGCCACTATGCAGAAAGCAGGGGAATACAAAGATTATGCAGCTCAAAAAGCAACCGAAACGAAAGATGCGGCTATGCAGAAAGCAGGGGAATACAAGGATTATGCAGCTGAGAAGGCAGGGGAAGCTAAAGACAAAACAGGGGAGAAAGCGGCTGAGTACAAAGATTACACGGCGGAAAAGGCTGTAGAAGGGAAGGACACCACAGTTGGCAAGCTGAGTGAGTTGAAGGATTCAGCCGCCGACGCCGCCCGGAGAGCTATGGATTACTTGACCGGTAAGAAGGAACAGGAGCGGAAAGCTGAGCTGGCCCATCCAGAACTCAAGGTGAGCCGTTTATAGCTTACTGCATGCTCATCTTGTTTAGGATTCTGTAGTTAATGAATATGTGTAGTAGAAATAAATCCTAGATACATTATGTGTAAGTTGTGTACTCCAAGAATAGCATCGAAATAATATATTCATCAATTTGTTTCCTCCCTTTGTTGTCAAAAGTAATTGATTCATGTGTTTTTGTAACGCACCTGTTTCACTTATCTACAGAGCAAGTACGAGTTGACAGAAGATGAAGCCAGGCGGAAAATGGAAGACTTGAAGCTCTCACAAGAGGGAGTCTGGGATGAGAGTAAACAAAGGGCGGAAGCTGCCGATGAAACTGCCGCTGACAGGTCTCTTTTACTATCTATGCCGCCGTTCGAGTAATCTGTAAAAGGTTCCGAAAAGTAGTTTGATTTGAGAATGTTTGTTTTGTAATTAAACAGGGGAGCAGCAGCAAAAACGAACATCTTCAGCGCCATTGGTAATGTGGGAGTTGCTATAAAGGATAAGCTGACACATCCATCAGACATTGCGGCGGAGACTCATGCGGCCAGGGAACAGGGAGGGCCAAAGAGGGTGGTGGAGAGGTACATGGTGGACGTGGTTGAGAGCCCTCCTCCGGCAGGGGAAGCGGCGTCTTACCTGAAGAATGCTGATAAGATGAGATCTTCTGGACGGAGTTCCGGTGATCAGGGGATGATGGGCGAGGAAGGCACTGGTGTTGTGCGGGTGGAACGTGTTGGAAAAGTTGAAAGCACGAAGGATGAGAAATGAAGAAGATAAAGCGTGTTTGCTGGGGGACCTTTGCCGCCATTTTCATGCGGTTTTGACTTTGTAATTTTATTTTTATTTTTTTGGCTCTTTTTGCTGGTACTTTTGTATGTGAATTCCCAAGAATGGTCCCTCTTTTATTTAGCGTGATGTTTAATGGCGATGACAATGTATGAGTTGCAATTTCTTCGCATTCAAATGAATCAACGTTTCATCTACAACACCATATTCACTGGAATCGATAATTAGGTCGAACATTGCGATAACCTTGAGCATTGGGGGCTGGGGTGTATTTCATGTCTTCTACAATAGATGTGGCAAGCTACGGCAACCAAACATAATTTGTGCTGGACCTAGACTACTATGAGACATGGTACGTACCATTCTTTCCTTCTTTCCCTTCCATATAAAACAGGACTTTCTCAAGTCCACAGTTGCAATCGGGAGGGAAAATTCTGATATTAAGCAGGGTTAGTTACGGTGACGCTAAGAGCTTCTTAATCCATGCGATTGAGGAAGCGGGGAACACGATATCTCCACCGATCCCAGATGATTTTAGAAGATAATATACAAACATTCAAGAAGAGCTTTTTGTAGAGTCTAATGTCGTCAGGCAGGCAGCTTAGCAGCTACCTTTGGAAAATAATTAGGCGCAACATTAGCAAAATATTGAGAGATATTCAGAAAAAAAATCGAAAAAAAATCGAAAAAACAGTTCATCGACTTACTCAGGCCAACAAGATGTAAAATTCTTCTACAAAATATTCAGTCGACTTAATCGTCGAGTTATTTAGGCGGACTCTTAAGTCAACGAGGGTTGAAATCCTTCTACAATGACATTCGTCGACTTATTCGTCGAGTTTCTAGGCCGAACTCAAGTCGACGAAATTTGAAATTCTACTCGAAGAATTTCGTCGACTTATTAGTCGAGATATTTATGCCAACGCTTAACTCGACGATATGCAATATTCTTCCACAAAAACTTTTGTGGACTTGCGCAAATTGGCGTGTTCACTATCCACATGTTCAGTGAATGAATGGATTCAATAGCCCGACGATCCACACGACGATGTTGTTGACAAAAGTTGACAGTTGAAACATTTTGATAACCTTAAGCAATGGGGGCGGGGGAGTATTTATCATAGTTCATGATCAACAAGATCAAACTACGGTAACGGGGACTCACCAACAGTACATCCATTTGACAATGCTCTATGGTCTATAACTGCATAGTATTATTGCGTAACTCGGGGAGTTCATGGTGTTCCAATTGTTGTAGATGTCAAAGTCGAAACCCAATCTGACAAAGCCCTATTGACAGGTTCAGGAGCCTCATCGTGGGGACAATGCCCAGCATGTACCAAAACAATGGTGGTTTTCGGATAGAACTCCTTGATACGAACTGCCTTGGCTGGCGGAATCGATGTGTCCAATTCACCCCAAACCAATAGCAGTGGACATGAGAGTCGGGTCAAGACACTGTTAAGTGTGTACTTCTTCTGGTCCACAAAGAATCTTCTCAATGCGTTGTAATGCACTTGGCCTGCATTCGGGTCAGCAGCTGGCATCGTGACTGAATCAATGAGATAGTCATCTACGTTTGACGAATCTTTATAAATCTGTAATCTCCAAATAGAAAGGCATCGAAAAGTCAGTCCATTTTAAGCACATTTTCTAGAACCTCAATAGGTACACTAAATCAACATGCAGAAAGTCGATGGTTAAATTAGCAAGGATTTAACCTACAGTCTTTAAGAGACATTTAACACTCCATCGCTGCTTCAACGGCCAGAACACACATCCAAGGCATAGAAGCCGAAAAACTCCTTCAAACGGAGTCAGAATATATTTGTGCAAAAATGAGTCATCAGATTCTTTGTCGTCGGATTTGGGATCCCCAAATACTCCATCTGTGTTCAATAATGAAACTCCTCTGACTTGGTCTTGCAACACTGTTGCTGCCAATAAAGCAGTGGAACCTCCAAGACTGAAAATTTTGAGCACTCAAACATCACTAAGAGCATTCAGGGGAATATGAGACCAAGCTCATGCAGAAATGTCTAATCTGATGAAACATCATCATCTATATGTATATGTTCACCTGTTACCTACTAAAACAGCTGGTTCTTGGACAACCTCCTTCACAAAATCCACAACCTGATCCCTCCAGACTAAAGCATCATAATCGATGATTGGTTTCTCGCTCCAGCCAAAACCCAGTAAATCCAAGGCAAAAACTTTGTACCTTTTACCCAATTCTGGGATGTTATACCTGAAGACAAAAACACAGAGGTTCCAAAGAGATGCAGATCACAAACCACATCCTTATGATGGTGAATATACAAGGAAACAGAGTGAAAGAAAAAAAAATTAAATAGTACCTCCAATGAAATGCAGAACCACCGAGTCCATGAAGTAGAACAATTGGGGTCCCTTCTCCTTCCACAACATAGTGTATGTTTCTTCCTCGCCATGTCCAAAAGTTGTAGCCCTCTGGCCTAAAAGGAAGTCTTTCAACACCTACAAAAAGACCCCTTGATTTAAGCCCGATAACAGATGAATTACAAGGGAATCCGAATTTCATCTAAAATTGAGTAATGAAACTGACCTTGGGAGGAAGGTTTAGACGTCATCATACGATTAATTCTGCAAGAATATTCAAAGTATTATTTTTTTTTTCCTGTTCATAGTCGGATAAAAAAGGCTTACCTTTCGGCGATTGGTGAGACATGTATCCGGATAGTTAATGGCGGCTTTTAGTGATCAGATGGATAAATCCTTGGTTAATTATCAACCATTACAAGATTTAGATATTTTTAAGTCGATGACAGAAAAAGATTCGTTAAAAAAGTGAGAACGTGATTGTCGAAAGCAATTGATATAATTTCTTCGAAATTCCCGCCCCATATCGCGTCTATACCATTTGTTACACATTATTGTACAGTTTAAATTTTTACTTTTAGTATAATTTGTATTGAAAATAAAATTTTAAATTTAATAATCATATCGAAAAGGAAGATGTATTACATATCTGAAAGTAATGTAAAATTGTAAATGTAAAATATAGAAATCACAAAAATTAGCGTGTACGTTTTGTTCTCAATGTTATGATATATAGAATGATACTTTTTCCGGGAGTCATAATACCCGTTATGTCCCAAGAAAGATGATATTTGGGACAGGAAGTGCCAAATTATAATTATTGAATTAGTATAAATATAAATAGATGTTGCTGGTGAGCTGCTGATTCGGTGATTTTGTCATGCATTATGGACTGAATTGATATCGATCTGCTGGCCTTACACTACCAAATATGGCTACTATTGGGCCCTTTAAGGTTTCCAAGTTTTCAAGGAGACTGTGACTACAATGGATCGGAGGTAGATGAAAACTGAAAAGTACGTCGTCCCAACTGGGTGGATGTGCACAACTGGAGAAGGGTCCATTAGCAACATGCTGTCTAGTATCTAATCTACTCTCTCTACTCAGCTTCATGAAATTAATACTTTAATAGTGTAGGTTGCTGTGGTGTCCCTTGGTTCATCCTCTCAACTCGATGTTTCTCAAACACAAAATATCATGAGCAACCCTTTGGCTCCCCTCATATATATAAAAAACAAAATATCATGAGCAACCCCAAAACGAAATTTACGGATTTAATCTTAGGGTTTTTTGGGATGTAAACAAGTCTTATGGCTTTCTAAGTGTTCATTATAAATAATACGACTAGTATTGTTAGTAGTTTAGATTACGCATCGTACAACTTAAAATATAACATATACTCTTTTTTTTTTATAAATATAACTAGTAATGTCTGGTCGCGCAATGCACGACCCTGGCTCAATATATCTGTAGATCTAAGAAATGTTTGTATCTGAAAAAAAATATTTTGTACTTGACCCGATATATTTTAGAAATATTTGAAGAATTTTAGAAATGTTTTATAAGTGTGATGTTTGTATTTGGCAAAAAAATAAATTGTACTTGGCCCGGCATGTTTTGGAAACGTTTGAAGGTTTTAGAAATATTTTATAAGTGTTACTTCTTAAATATAAATAAACTTGATCAAATATATATCTTGAAGTAAATGCTAGATAAAATAGCATCCTAATAAGTTTAAATATTAGTAAGATAATTTATTGATTTTCTCCATTTGTTATGTCAAATCAATACTTAGTTTTAGAGATTTATAATAGCTTTGTAGTTAGATTCTTACAAAGCGTATACGCTTAATTGTTGGAACTATTTCTTCCAAAAGTTTACTGGTAGTAAAATATCAAAAAATGATTTTGAAACTGGTTAATTGTTGAAACTGGTTAATTGTTGAAACTGGTTGATCACAAATATGAGAATGAAAATAATATAAATTTGCATGGTTTCAAGATATAGCAAAAAAGAACTCACCTCACGATGGCAAATAGAAAAAAAGTAAAAGATAATCCATTAAAATTTGAGAATTTTTATTTTTTCTGTAGGTAAAAATGATGTATAAAAACATAAATAAACGTAGAAACATCATTCTTTCCCTCTCCACCTCAAATTCATAAAAGGATTCCCCATAAATTAGTTAAAAGAAGCGACCTGAACTATTTATATGATGAAGAACTAAAAAAAGTCTAAAAATCAAATCTAAAAAAGTATATTCTTGAAATCCCGAACACAAAAAAACAAACATGCTTCATTTGCAAATAAAATAATAATAATAATAATAATAATAATGATAATTGGTCAACTGGGAGTATGAAACAAAATCAAAAGCAACTAAACAAAGAAAAAACACACTTCATAATTGACCATATACAAAAAAAAACCTGAGACTCCATAATTAAAAAAAAAGAAAACTACTCTAATTGAATGAAACATAAAAAACAAATTTAAAAAACCACACTTTGTAACAAAAACCCAATCAATCAATTCAATCCAAACATAACTAAAATTATACAAAAATTATAGGCTAACTAACCAAATAAGAAATCACATCATACTACCTGACAACGGCTACGGTAGCTGTAACGGATGGACGCATAAAAATAATAATAATAACACTTTTCTTGAACGAGAAAAATAAAAAATAATAAAAGCTAAACCAATGATCTGTGGAAATAAAATCATTTAAATTTTAATACCTGCAATGGCACCACCACAACGGCCGAAGCAAGATAAATGAGAATTTTTTTTTTCCCTTGTGTTTATATAGAGAGGTAAAGAGAATATTTTTTGAAGTTGAAATTTTATCCGATTAAGATGTAGTTGATCATCACTAATGAAAAGATTGAATATGCTAATAGGAAAGGAGTATATTTCACCATATATTCTCAATTGATGATTGATGAGGAATTTGTTTTTTTTTTATAATTGTGGAAAAGGGATTGATTAAGGAGTCGATTGTCGTGGAGATGGGGATGAGGATTTGGATTTTTTATGAACCCATAAATTTTTTTTTTGTTTGTTTTGACGAAAATAGGAGGTGGAAGTGAATTTAAACTGCATTTGTCTTTTAAATTTAGAAGATGTGGTAATAAAAATTTATTTTAAAAATATGATGTGGAAATGCCACATGTCAAATGATGGTGCTTTCTCTTAAGTGTGGTTTTTGTTTCTAATATAATAAGACATATACTCAAAAGTAAAAAAAAAAAGAAAAAAAGATTTGATTAAAGTTAATTTGTTGAGAGGGAAAAAGAAAAATCCTTGTATTATGGAGAGACGGAACCGAACACGAACTCTAATCTTACGGAAGATATGATGAAACTATAACTTGTTGATAGCATACTGTGAAATACTTTGCACGATTGGTTTTTAGAGTTACGTTGCAAATATGGTAAATAACCTGATAAGGTTCGTCTGAACTAAGCAAAATAATTAAACATAATTGTACCTCAAGAAAAAAAAAAGGGAAAATATACACAATTGGGTTTTTATGCATTGATTGCCCTTTATAATTCTCCCCCATTAGTATCGATAATAGATGTAAGTGGTGTACTTTTCTATAGTAGTTTGATAAATTGAGAGATATTTATGTGTCCCCTAAATTTATATAGTCCCAGTCCCGGTTATTTATTTTTACTTTTTATCTGAAAAAAATTACTCCTACATAGGATTTCAAAGTTTGATAAAAAAAAATAAAAAAATAAAAATAAATAAGAGTTTGAGGCTCTTGAGATCAGACCAATTGCTTTCTAGTTTCCACTTGCAATGATATCGACCCAAATGGGTAATGGCTGCACGGGAAATGAAAAGATTACAGAGAAGATCATGCAAGAAAACGCCAATTAGCTTTACCACTTGTTTTTGTATATGGGCAACGGAGACGCATTGTACATTTTGTATTGCATCACGGAAAATTTGAAAAGAGGACGACAACAACGTCACCCTAACCCAATAATACACGGGTGAAGTTTTTGCAGTTGCCGAAAATAGTTTAGGCTCTATTGGTTTCGTTTTTTATTGATTTTTTCATATTATTTTATTATTAATTGTCTTATTTCAGTATATCTTTTTACATTTTTAATAAATTTTTTACATTTTCAATACAAAAAATACTTAAAAATATATATTAAAAAAACAAAACAAACATCTTTTTTTCATTTTAAGAGATAAGAAAAGTTGAACGATGATAATTTCGATGTCAATGACTTCTCATATTTCTCAGTTTATTTATTTTTCTTTGTTTCATATTCGGATCAACATCATCGTCCTTCAATCATTATGTGAATGTGTGTGTAAATCCATACAGAATCTTCCAACTTACCCAAAAGAACAACTAATTTTGGTAACCTGGAACTGGATGCATGAATGAACCAAAATTAAAACAACTAAAACCAAAATGATGTAACATGTCCAAAGCCGATCCTATGTGAGTACAAATACAAATTACATAAATGTAAAACCTTGTTGTGATAATTTTTCCGTGACAAGTGTGACGCATTCATTGGTTTGATAAAATAAAGAGGAGGAAAATATTCCAGATGTTGTTACGGGTAAAATTAATTACGAGAAATATAGCGAAATCTCAAAAATAATCCTACCACAAAACTTATGTGATATGCACACATCGACTCTACACTACACGACTGATCCAGAATCAATTACCATAAATATCGAAATCGTCAAAGATGTCTATTGTCTTCATTCTTCATCACATCACATCAATTTTGGGCATTAAATTGTCGTCAATTTCTCTTCATTTTCCACACTTTCCATAAAAATAAAATAGTACTAATTATCATGTTAGCGTATATGTTTTGTCTTTTCCCAGGACAAAAAGTTATCGTATTCGATTCGAATTCCGCTTCGTTTTGACACCGATAAGCAGGTCTATCGTCTCCAACACATATGAATTTTCTAACAACACTTGAATCACAAATCACAATCTCATATTTATAAGCGGCATTTTGTAAAGAACCTCCTCATTTAATATAGAAATTCTCTTCACATAATTATGTTAGTAGTACATGCGATTTGGATTATTCATCTTTTTTTTATTTACAAAGGATACCATATAGAAATAGAGTCAAGTAGAAGAAGATTGAAAATAAACAAAGTTGGGCTTTTTAGCATATATGTAATCATAGGCTTAGGCTAGCAATCAAGATTGACCAAATTAAACTGTCACATAATAAGATGATAAATAATGTCCCTCTTTTCGTACTAATTTGCGCTACTACTACGCCGTCAGGTACATTACGTATTTTAATATATAAACCACCCTGATCGTGCCACGTGTGGGTACATTCCCCCCATGTGTTCTTCACTGTTAGAAATCTCAGCCACCTCACCGTTAACATAACAACACCCACCGTCTGTACATGTGTCCGGTCCCACATCTGTAACATTTTTTTTGTACTTTATTGATTAAAAAAAAAAGGAAAACAAAAATCAAATAAAATCAATTTATTACACACTATTGTTTCATTTCACAAATATATAAGCGAACGTTATTGGTCTCTCTTTTGTGCGTGCGTTTTTTGTTAAGTCAGTTGTCTCCTTTGTAAGGCGATGATTGTTCGAGTGCTCTAGGTCGGAGAGAGAGAGAGAGAGGAAGTAACGTAAGAAATAATCGAAAGATAAAATTGAAGAAAAAAAAAAGGGCGGCGGAAGCGGGCGGTTTTTAGTGGTGGCTGGTGTGTGTGTGTGCGTGCTTTTTTTTTAAAAAAAAAAATTGGGTTGAAAAATTGTTGAAATTCTCGTGAAAAACTTTTGAACGTAGACCGCCACCACCTGAAATTATGGCGACGAAAGGATTGGTTTTGTATCTGTTGACGGCTTTCTCGGTGGCTATCCTTTCTGTGGTTTTCCTTCAGAATTATTATCCAAATGCGCCACCGTCGTTCCTTTCGTCGACGTCGCCGCCGGAATCCAACCTTTTGCAACCGCAGAAACCGCCGCATGGATCTGATAGAGTTTGGCCCGTATGTTCTTTTCATCCCTTATCTTTTTATGTTTGTGGGGTGAATAACCCTCTTTCACATGGACCACTGCATTTAACGTTTTACTTGTTTTTGATAGATTTTTCAAATTTGATTTTCCAGGGCCACTGATTTTGATTGATTTTTCTGTGGTTTTGGCTTTGCAGGAATTGAAGTTTGGTTGGAGAATTGTGCTGGCAACAATAATTGGATTTCTGGGTTCCGCATGTGGAACCGTGGGAGGTGTTGGTGGAGGAGGCATATTTGTCCCCATGCTTACACTACTTCTGGGCTTTGATACCAAGTCCGCTGCTGCCATTTCCAAGTGTAAGAACTTTAATTTTTTAGTAGATAAATTTGGCTGTTTTTTGGTCATCGGCATCAATAAAACCGTTTGTTGAATTTCTGTATAATTTGTGCCACAGGCATGATTATGGGGGCATCAGCATCTTCAGTGTGGTACAATCTGAGGGTGCCCCATCCATGCAGAGATGTTCCAATCCTTGACTATGACTTGGCCTTGCTGTTCCAGCCAATGCTTATGCTTGGCATAACCCTTGGAGTGTCTCTAAGTGTTGTCTTTCCTTACTGGCTTATCACTGTCCTCATCATCATCCTTTTCTTGGGTACGTTTTGCCGATTTAATAAGTGAATATTCTTTAGTCCTAGTGAACAAGCAAGGTACTTCAAAATTCAATGTAAACACGTATGGTGACATGTATTATTAGATGGTTTTATATTTTCATGATGTTTCCACTTTGTCTGACCAGTTGTTAATCATTCATTTCCTAATCATTTTCGTACTATTATATTTTACATAGGTACTTCATCCAGGTCTTTCTTTAAGGGGATTGAGATGTGGAAGGAAGAGACAGTCATGAAGGTAAACGTTTATTCAGCTGTCAATTTCAACCAAATTTATTATGGTACTCCAGCGCTCCATCGCATGACATTAACTGTAATTCCGGAGTATTCTTAATTCATCTGTGCTCTCAGATGCTATTAAATTATGGGTGTTGGTTGAATTTCCTGTGGACCCCTCTTTTAACTATTGTTCTTTGGGGTGATTGCAGAAGGCGTTGGCAGAACAAGCAAAGACTATTGCCAATTCTCATGGGGAACGTAGGTTTGCTATAAACCATTCTTATTTGGTGTATTAATTTGAAATTCTAGGACATCTGGAATGTTGACTAATGTTAAGACATTCTTCGTATTTGGGTGTTAATCAGTTCTAATAGAAACGGAGTATGAGCCGCTGGTCCCTAAAGAGGAAAAAACTACAACGGTGATCATAGCATATTTAAGTCTTTCTTTACTTTTCATAATGATTGATTGGTTGAGCACACCAAACTTAATATGTAACTTGTGTGATCAATTCAGCAAATTGTGATGTCAAACCTAAACCTGAAGAGATTTTCAGCGCTGCTGCTAGTATGGATATGTTTTCTGCTCCTTCAGATTTTCAAGGCAAGTAGATACTCTTCTTAAAGCTTGATTTTCAGTTCTTCTTTTTGTGTAAGATCACATTTAAATCATAAGATATTTTTGTTCTCTGCAGAACGATCTTGTGGCCTGTAGTGTACTGTACTGGGTTCTCACTCTCATTCAGGTACAAGAATGCTCTTTTCTGTTACTAACTACTCTGTAATTCTGTATACTGTATAAAAAGCATTTGTTAACTGTCGTTCTGTTGGTCATTGGATTGCACTTTGCAGGCCCCAGTTGCCCTTGTAGTGTTTGGTTATGAGTGCGTCAAACTGTACAAAGAAAGCAAGAAAAGGAGATTAGAAGGGAACAAAACTCTAATATGTGAAGCAGCCATCCAATGGACAGTACCCAACCTTGCATTCTGTGCTCTATGTGGCATCTTAGGAGGCACAGTCGGCGGCTTGTTGGGGTCTGGTGGTGGATTCATCTTGGGACCTCTCCTTCTTGAGATTGGTGTCATCCCTCAGGTATTCATTCGGCTTTATTTTGATCCCCCTTCTTGAGAATGTACATTGACAATAGCCATCACAAGAATAACTAAGCCTCTATTTCACTTTATGCCGATTATATCATCCATTTTATTTGATGTCTACTATTGATCATGGGTCATCATCATATTTTGCTAGTTCAGTAAAAATAGATCAATGATTTACGAATGCTTATTTGTTCCACAGGTAGCTAGTGCCACTGCTACTTTTGTGATGATGTTCTCATCTTCTCTATCTGTGGTGGAGTTTTATCTTCTAAAAAGGTTCCCTATTCCCTATGGTACGTCTACTTTCATTTGATGATATAATGATGTCTTATGGCTGATAAAAAAATTATTGCCTGAGCAAGAAAAACAAAACTGCATTTCTTCATTCCATGATATGATGATGTCTTATGGCTGATGAAAAGAAATTATTGCCTGAGCTTAAAAGACAAAAAAAAATGCATTTGTACTAAGAAACAATAGTGTTCTTGAATCTAATTATACATGTGGGACAATGAACTTTTGTATTTGACCAATTGAATAAATCCCTCTCGCTGCAGCCCTGTACATGATGGGTGTCTCTGTCTTAGCTGGCTTCTGGGGGCAATTCTTCATCAGAAAGCTGGTGGCCATTTTGAAAAGAGCTTCAATCATTGTGTTTATCCTCTCTGGTGTAATTTTTGCCAGTGCTCTTACCATGGGTAAAAACTGTTATCCCTGTTCTTAGTTACATTTTCATCTTGGAATTAATAGTAAAACTGTAACTTGACAAATATAAACCCCCATTATTTTGTATAGGTGTGATTGGAATAGAGAAGAGCATAAAGATGATACAAAATCATGAATTCATGGGCTTCTTGGACTTCTGCTCCAGCCAGTAATTCCGTGCAGTTCTTCTGAAAAAGTTGAAGAAGGAACCATATGTTAAAGACAAGTGAATAATGGTGCTGCAAAAAGGAATGGGTCTGTACAGCCATTGCAGCATTGGATACGGGGTTTTGGCCAATGCCTAATTGACCACTCCCCTCGAAGTTTAGTCTTGAAAAATTGTGTTACAGCTTCAATGTCGCGTTATGATCACTGGTCTGTGATCTGTAAGACAAGCTGGAGTTTGGTTGTTTAGTGTTTGGTTTTGTTGCATCGTTTCAGTATAGGGTATATGCCGATTTTGATTGGTTCTGGTAGAAATCGTATTCACAGTGTCATTCTATTGTTCAAAAAATATCCTGTAATTAAGCATTTGATGCCTTGTTGCAATGGAGTACTTGATACAGGACAGTCATTCAGTATGTGTCAATATTTCTTCTTTTAGCATACTTAATAGACCCATGTGCTTCTCTTCTAGGCAGCGGTCTAATCAGTATAATTGGCCGCGCTGCGGATGAAACTTTGGTGTTTTGTTTGATTGTTTAGGCTTTAAACTGACATGACCAATTTCACAACACCAAAAAAATGGATGTGGCCTTATTGAGAGATTACCTGCCATTCTACCAAGTTAAATTACTTGCCAAAAACTAAACATGACTGGAGGTTTGGGAGCTAAGAAAGGTGCAGAAGAATCTATACTTACCATTTGTTCTAGAAGAGTAGAAGTCTGTTAGGAAGTGGTCAATCACGAAGTTCTATCTCTAACTCACTCTCTCGCGTAGTGATAGTCTTATTAGGATTTTCATTTTTAGTACAATCTGAAATAAAATAAAAATCCAAGTTTGACAATTATTTCGAGATCTTACTTTGCCGCATAGTAATAGTCCTATCAGAATTTTCATTTTTAGTACAATCTGTAATAAAAATAAAAATCTAAGTTGAACAATTATTTCGAGATAGAAAGAGTATGTCAGTAATGGTCAGGTTCATGATGAAGCCTCTGCACTCTGCTCTGCCGTGGAACTGCAATCCCTAGCTACCACTTGCAATAACTTGAATCGTCGTTTTTGACTAAGATATGGGACATGAATTTTAGTAGTATATCTTTTACGAATCCCCTCTTGAGTTTAGCCACGATTAGGAGAATGTAAGATAGAATCCAATAGTCGCCGCCTAATAATTTGGTAAATCATAGCGTTCGAATGGCCCCGTTTTCCAATCCTTTCAGTTTCCACATGGTGTAGTATTACTTGGGGAAGTAAAGGACAATATAGCACACCAACTCTCCATCCTAGTGCCATTTTGGCCGACAGGAATAGACCATTTGCTGTGATTTTCGTTGTTTTTTCGTGCTACAATATTGCATAACTGGGCAGAACTTTCATGCTTTTTGAATAAAACAAGAGCTTCATATCTTCTTCGTGTTAACAATTTCTTTGATGTTGAATGAACTGATGATGGCGATCGATGACTATGACGATCTCTGGTGAGTGAATCATGAATCCAAGAGTCAGCTGTTTATGCACAAAATTTTGATGGGTTGCACAGTGGACCAAAGTCATAACAAGTAGTAGTTCTAGAGTAAAATTTTATAGTAATTGGCCTGACAACTTTTTACCCGTAAATTTGTTACCAATTTTAATGTTTTTAATTAAAATTTGTAATAATCATTAATACTTATTGTTATTAAATTAATAACCGACGATGATGGTCGATCAATACGTCAGTCGAGATATTATAATTCAATTATGATAACTTCACGTATAGATGGTGAGATTGAAATGTATAGTAGGTATGATTTGGAACTTCTTCAACCTCTCAAAATCTAATAATTTTTTTCCGTGAATGTTTATTTGAGGACTTAAATCTTTTACTTGTCATGAATACTCATCATCACTCATTATTATTATTATTATTATTTTTTTGAGTGTGTTGTGTTTCTACAATACCAAAGTTGTGAGAGCAATGCCACCTCACCCAAGTTCCAACATAAATCAATACAGCCGATATTGCATCCTGATTCGTGTATATAAGAAATATCCTTTTTTGCAATACCGTAATCAAACAGTATACGATTGCAGCAACTTGTAGTTGTATTACCTTTGTATTAAAAAGAAATTCACATTATTTTGTACTACTACATTGTTTATTTGTAATTTCCCCCTAATTAAGTATTGCAACTCTTTGCAAGTTCACTAGGCAGTATTTGTTCAACTAACACAAACCAATAGTATACAAAAATCAATTATTCTTCACCCCCTATAAGTTTATCTCTTTGGCGTAACATAACAACTTTACCCCTAAAAAAATGACCACGTTTGCACCATACTACTGGGTTACCCAGGATGAGGAATGTACCGAATATACTCTCCTAATCACTACATAGTGTTTCAATTAGCAATTCCACTAATTGTCTTTCAAAGCAAAAAATAAAAAATAATTAAAAAAGAAAAATAAAGAAGAAGAAGCCACAATTATACAATATTGATAATCATTTGTTTGTACAAAAAAAAACATATACTGCTTTGTACAAAAAAATATGTATTAAAAAAAATTATATAGTGAGGAAGCAAAATGCTTAGAGCTACAATGTCACTTTTGGAGGAGGTGGGAAGTCAAAAGATAGCTTATCTAAAACTATATTCGGGAGCGTCGACAAAATGTGCAACTTTAATCTATAATCAAATCCTAACTTTGTTAAAGAGTCCGCTACTTCGTTCCCCTCTCACTTGATAAAAAAAGTTTCCACCTGCCATTATAGGTTGATCAAAAGTTTGATTCTACGCAAAATATTGTTATAGACAAAAGATGCTTTGCTATAGACAAAAGATGCTTCTTCTTCAGTTATGTATTTGACAGCATTCGAACTATCCATTTCTAGCTGTATTTTCCGAAGTCCTAGTTGCCAAGCTATTTTGAGGTCAATATATGCTCCCCATAGCTCCGCTTCCAAAACAACAGGTACCAATCCTTGCTGCAAAACCTGATATCCAACATCCTTCGTGATTTCTCAAAACTCCTCCGGCCGCTGCTGATTTGGTGGCATTGTTGACAGTAGCATCAGTGTTGGTACGAGTCCACCGGCTTGGTGGAGGTCGCCAGATTGGTTCGTTGTTAGACATTAAACCCTGAGTAGCTTTTGGTATCTTGGGGGTATGGTTTCTTTTTATTTCATTTGCATATATTTTATAAAAATTGATAACCATTTGTATCTGCTTTCAAAAGCATAGGGCTTTGGTGTTACCATATTGGGCTATAAGAGAAAATAGAAAGCGTTTGGTTGAAATTTACTTGGGCTAGAAATATATATAATATTGGCCCAAAAATAATTTACCCTACATTGGGCTGTATGTTGAGGAGTCTAGGATTTACATCAACGTATAAATATGTCAGCCGCATCATATATTCAGAGGAAGAAAACAATCGGCGGTCTTCATCAACAATTACAGCAGGGGAAGGGCAGCCATGGTTCTCAAGTAGGTTCATTTCTCATGATATTTTCCCAAAATGGGTTTCTTTTGTTTTCATTATGATTTATCTATTTGCATGTGGATTTCTTAATTTTTATGTAATTCGGAAAGTGGGATTCTTTCTGTTCTTATCTAGGTTTAATTCTTTGTGTTGTGAGCTAAAGCTTTTTTGCTTATGATATTTTATATCGAAAAAGATTATGGATATTTAACGAACAAATGTACATGATTCACCATTGCTTATAGCAGTCTGGATTTTTGTTGAAAATTATTCATTAATGTTTTACAACTCTCTGGGCCGCCATTCCGATTCATTCAATTTCTGAGTGAATGTGTTGTATGTCGGCTTGTTTGTGAAATGCTGGGTATCATAGTAGTTAAGCTTGTCACTCATTATTGGATTGGAGATGGAAAGCAGATTCTACCCTTTGTAATTGAACGCATGCATACTCAGATTTGAAAAGACCGTCCACCCGGGTCTTGGATTATTCATTTCTTTTATGAGTTTTAATCAAGTTTGATACAACTTGAACGGAGAAGGTTTTAGAAAGTGAGGTTGTATGGGACAGAGGAGCTGCGCTTTGTCCTTTTATGAACCTCAGATTACAGACAGTAATCATAAAGAATCTGGTTGCTTGTTAAAGATTGTGTTGTATGATAAGGTTGCCACATTTTTTTTTTGAGAATTCCACAATGTTTTGTAACTGTAACTAAAAATTTGGGTACTGTTTTGCAGGACAGAGCTGTGTCGTTTCAGTGGCGCGAAGATATACCCTGGGAAAGGAATCAGATTTGTCCGTGCTGATTCACAGGTAATTGTGCTGTCTTTTTGCTATCATCCTCCCTTTCCTCTGTATTCGATTGTTGTTCAAACGGTAAATGGTGATATGTCCTGCTTATACGATTTAGGATTTTGTTGCTTCAGGTCTTCCTCTTTGCCAACTCAAAATGCAAGAGGTATTTCCACAACCGCCTGAAGCCTTCTAAGCTCACCTGGACAGCAATGTACAGGAAACAACATAAGAAGGTATGGTCTCGTTTCACATGGATGTGATTGGATGTCTTATGCTTTGAAAGGTTAAACTAGCAAATATCCAACTGTATTCTGCAATTTATATGGTAGCCCCCTTCTAGTTTGTCTCTTTTTGTGCATCCACTTATTTACCAATTTGATTTGTCTTGAGCTGATTTGATACTATTTCTGTGGGGCTCCAGGATATTGCAGCAGAAGCTGTGAAGAAGAGGAGACGCACCACTAAGAAACCTTACTCTAGGTCTATTGTGGGTGCGACTTTGGAGGTTATTCAGAAGAGAAGAACAGAGAAAGCAGAAGTTCGAGATGCTGCAAGGGAAGCTGCTCTTCGGTAAGTATCTCTACTTCTTCTCTTTTGTTTTGGGGTCACATGCTGCTTCTTTGTAACCAATTGGTTCTTTTTACGTTTGGGCAGTGAAATTAAGGAGAGGATCAAGAAGACCAAGGATGAAAAGAAGGCCAAGAAAGCCGAGGTAATGGCCAAGACTCAAAAGACTGGGGGCAAAGGGAATGTGTCTAGGGGTGCTGCACCTAAAGGACCTAAGCTTGGAGGTGGTGGTGGAAAACGTTAGTTTCCATGATTGGTTGCAAGCATTATTAGGTTCTTGTATCAGTTTGATTACAATTGTTTCACCAGACTTGTGTTTCTGAGTTTTGTCCCCGGATGGATGCTAAAGTTGTATGCTGCCTACTAAACTGATTTACAGTAACATCTAGTGTAATTGGATGCTCAGAACAGTAGATGTTGATCTCATTTATAATTGCTATTTCTTTCTTATATGTTGACTTATTAAAATAATGGCAACCTACCGGTAGTTATGCCTTCGAAATTGTCTGGCATTGCTCATTTTTACTATGGGAATTCAAGAAATTTTAACTGCATCCCAAAGCAGGTGAAATTCTTTTTTGTCGAAATAAAAAGATAAAAAAATAACAAATCTGGGAAATGCTTTGCTGTGCTAGGGTTTTCTTTTTGGGCCTACTTTTGGGTGCCTCTGCGGTCTTTCAAAGGGCTAGAGCATCCTTTCAAAGTTTAATGGCAGTATAATGGACGGCCCAACAAGAGAAGACCATTTGATAGATACTGGATCTAATCTAACGTTGACAGCCTAGCTGGTTCATTGACTTCATTCCACATAAAATATAGGGAATCGCCTTTCTGTGGAAGAATCTAGATCATTTAGGGTAACTAAGCCGTTTAATTTCCTAAGTATATACAAAAATAAAATAAAATAAAATTCGTTTCTGGATTAAAAATTTAAAAGGGAACATTTTGAAATGTAAACTTCGTAAATTGTAGTCTATAAATGTAATTATTAAATACAAATGTAATGTAAATGTAGTCCTGCATATATTTCTGTTTTACTGGTAACCTTCTAAAGCCTCAATGGCTTTGTTAGACCAGCTTCAGCAGAAGTTATTCACCACAGTAAAGAAAAATGTCAAAACCTCCTGATTTGATAGTTGGTCATATATATCGCGCCAACAGTCACGTAAACGGGTTCTTGATTTGATTGTTGGTCAGACCCATTTCGAATATCCCATGTTAGTCCCATCAAACTCCAAAAGAAAAAATAAATAAATAATTTAAAAGGTCAAAATGATGTGATACACACGTACGTCAAATCATATACTATTAAAAGGGATTTTTAAGGTTGACTAGGAAGAAAAGAAAGTTGTTGTTCCACTCATCTTCTTCTACAGGTAGCTAACATGGTCGTCGTCATTCATCGTCAGAATCTAACAAAATCTAGGGCAGTCACTAATACTACTACAACAAACGTTGTTAAAACATGATTATAAACAAACTGAAGGGCCAGTAGTACTTGAAAAATAAGCATGCAAGCTAGCTTCATTCATGGAGTCTTAGGTTAAAATTTCTATGGGTATGAAGGCAGAGTAGGCCAATACGCGGGTGGGATGACATTGACGCCAGCCGGGTTATTATAGTCATCCACGTTGAACACGTAGCTGCATTCCGCCGCTATTTGCTGCTGCTGGTGGTGGTTTCCGCCTTCTCGCGTTTTAGAGCTTGGAATGGAGGTGCTTTCTACTGTTTCTTCAGTACCGGAAATTTCAGTGTAACCAGCAGACACCGGCTTCTTACCAATTTGCTCTTTCAGAATTGCTCTCAATGCCAGAACCTGCCCCCACCACACATTTTCAAAAAAAAAAATGGAGTATAAGTTTATCATATACAGGGGAAAATCGAAACTTTACAAACGTAAAATGAGGGGAAAATTAAAAATAAAATAAAATAAAAATGCACTCGTCTCTCTGTCCCAAAGTTATTATTCAGTTTAGATTTTTCAATTCTGGTACTATTTGAACTAGAAATGAAAATCTAAATTGGTCAATAATTTCGGAACCAATGGAGTAGTTATAATCTGGCATTGCATGACAAGGACAACTCAAGATAAAAGCACATTGTTGTTTCTTTGAAGGGGGTCCTGCCATGAATGAGTTATACCACCATATGTCTGCTTCCTCTCTGAAATCTCTACTAATGTACCCTCTTCAAGGTTTGCATTAATGAATCCCTCGTCTGGGTCACATATTATATCTTGTTAATAGATAAAGTACTTATACTACCAAAATCTAGCCCATACCTCTTTCCTAGCTCCATCTCTCTTAAGGGATATATATGCAGATTATAATTGCAAAAAACACTTTAATCAGCAATAAAACAGTCCTATTCTAGCTTCATGGTTCAAATCTTAAAGGCTAATATAAGCCCATCAGTCCTATCTCATATCTCAACTGATCATAAGGATTTGTATGGTTATCCATTACGTTTTGCATGGACAGAGGCGCATTGGAACGAAAAAGTAAAAAAAAAGCAGTAAACATGAATATATGTAATGAGTTGACAAACCTCTTCTTGGAGTTTTTGCTTCTCTCTGGAGACGGAATCAAGTTCCTGTTTCAAGGAATCATACAAGCGTTCAAGCTGCTTGGCTTTCCACCTAGCCCTTCTGTTCTGAAACCAAACTGCGATTTGGCGGGGCTGAAGTCCAAGCTCCTTAGCCAGCTTCATCTTCCTGTCAGGATCCAGTTTGATCTCTTCCTGGAAGCTATTCTCCAATGACTCCAACTGATCAGTTGTCAGTCTCTTCTTCTTCTCCTGATTACTCATCATCCCATAACTACTCATCATGTTCTTCTCCAATCCAGAACACATTCCTGCCTGACTCGTCTGCATTGCATGCTTCATCTCCACCACTGTTTAACCCAAATAAAGAAAAGACATTCATATTGCAAAATCAAAATATGAGGAACAAGTAACTCATAAAAACGCCTGATAGTTTTACTTACTTTGATAGGGATCATAACTACAAGAGTTGTAGAAGAAACTCAGAGCAGAAGTATCAGGCCGAGATATGAAAGGTGGCCTAATATTATTCCCATTCCAATCCATTTCTCTTGAATTGAACTGAAGCCCTTTTTCAATGATCTATCCCAAAAACAGGACAACAATCAAAACAGAGTCCTAGTGATATATATACTGCAGAAGAGAAGTGAACTAGTAGCAAATGCTACTTACTACTAGTAGTGGAAGTCTTAGTTTTTCATGAAATTGGTCGAGTGAGAGCTGGAAGCCTGGACCACAGTAAAAAAGCATTAAAGACAATACCTTTTAGTTAAAAACTAGAGCAAAAAAAGTGAAATTGAGGTGAGCGATCTTTTGGGATCCCCTTTTTTACTACCCCTTTTGGATGCAAGCTCTGATAACAGTATCCTACTACTATACACTATACTATACTAAATGCTGCCACAAAGTTAACTAGTTTGAAAAAAATAAAAATGTGTTAGTAGTAAAAAAGTGGGATAGATTTTGTTGAAGCAGCAGTGTTTGTAGTGTGAGGCTCTCCCTAAGCTAGAAAGTTTTTAACTTTATGAGGGGAGCAGCTCATAAATGTTTAGCCACTGTGACTCTTTCTTCTCTTCTTCTTCTTTTCTTTTTTTTGTTTCTTACTTTTGCTTTCAGCAGTAGTAATAGGAAAGTGAGAGTGCATATATTGTCGGTTGGAAGAAGGGTTTTTCTTCTTTTTGCTTCTTAATTTGGAAGAAGAAAAAAAAAAAAAAATTGGGGGGGAGAAAGGGAAATCAAAGGTCGTTATCTGGTCCCCTTTAGAAACCTGTGTTTGTCTATATTTCCTTATGCTTAACAACAACTGACAATATGCCTTTGCCTCCTTTCTTCCCTTCCCTCACGCCTCTTTTCTGAATTCTGATTTTGTTTTTTTTTTTTTTTGGTTTGGGGGTCCTCTGTTTTTTTTTCTCTGTATTACTACTGACTCACTACTTTACTACTACTGCTGCTGCTACTACTACTACTACTGCTACTGCTTTCTTTTTCATTTGGATTGTGGATCCTTTCTTCCTTTTTGTTGTACCAGTAAGTAATAACCACTTGGAAGACTTTTGGAGTAATTTGGATGGTTGTGGGCAAAAAGACAAAATGCAATTGCTGAGAGATTAAGAAAAAAATATTTGGTAAACATGTAGACAACAATGAGTACTCTCCCAGTAAGTTTTCTTCCTGTCACCAAACTAAATGACAAAGTTTTAATCGGCAAAAAAATATCAGAAAAAGTAGGGCACGTTCACAAACAGACAGTGAGGTTTTAGCAACAGTATTATTTTTGTTTCTCAGTCTTTTAGCTCTTTTACTGATGAAAGACTGTTTCTGTAGTCATGCATGAATACCTAAGAATCCCAAGTTAACCCCCTATGATTTCGAGTTAAAAATAATAATAATATCTTGTAACCAAACCTTCATTTAGAAAGGATAAATTGAGAGATGTTTGAATATATAGATATCGAGTTGCTTATAAATCAACGAAGAGATTAATTATTATCGCCGACTGAAGACACCAAGAGATATGTGAGAAAGAAAAGCTATATTGTGTGTGAACTGTTAATCAATGAACAAAGTTAGGCTATATTATTCACCATCATCGATCCTACAGTCTACAAATACAGATGTTTCATGATATCTTTTTGCTTGAAGTTTACTGTAGGTTTGTATTGTAAAACCAAAAATAAAAAATAAAAAATGTGGTCATGAACTTTCACTTTCAAGTTTCAACCCCCCTCCTCCTACTTCTTCTTCTTCTCCTCTTTACTCATAATCTGATGATCTGATACAGCATTGAATGAATAGGGTCAGGCCTACTCAGAGATGCGGAAGACTGGCTGCAGGTTTATCATCCCGAAAAACAGTAAGATCACAGCGCAGAAAAAGTGTTAATTGACACAATAACAAATGAAATGCTCTCTGAACTCACCAATTTACTTTCAAAATTTTTTTATATTAAAGAAAAGAAATCGTCTAAAGTAGAAAATAAGAGGATGAGCCTTGAAATACACGCATCTACGTGTGAAACTCGTTATGATCACGTAAATGAACCAGTTCTGAATCACTGATACTACTTTACAAAAAGAAACACAATTCAAAAGAACTACTTAAATTGAACCCTAGATTCTCCATTTTTCCATTTGGGGAGATGAGAATTCAGAAAGCAAAACTATAATTTCAAACTCAAAACATTAGACCATAAACACACAAATACACTGTTAGTATCACTTTATATATATTAGAGCGTAACTCCCACTTAATCGTACGTGGTGAAGCCATAACAAGAAACAGGGAAATTAACGCCTAAAAACGATTACACAATCATGAGATAATCGAACTTCAAAACCCACATCAGACCAGGAAGTTGTTATAACATGGCGGTGCAAATAGGGAAAGCGAACATATAGATATAGCCAAGAAAATTGAAGCCAATTTTAGTTTTAAGGTTTTGGTCACCTAAAGAAGGAAAAAACCAAATGATGGGGAGATATCATAGATTCCAAACATCCTTGAAGAGTGTTGGTTGATGGTTTTGCTCCAATCTAAAGTCACATCACTTTAATTCTCACAAGTCATAACCCAACTGATTGCATTAATGATTACACAATAAATTTCCAGTTGAAAGAGAGAGAGAGAGAGAGAGAGAGAGAGAGAGAGAGAGAGAGAGAGAGAGAGAGAGAGAGAGAGAGAGGGCAGTAACTAACTAGGGCAAAGCTGAATTAACAGTTGTTCACTTGTTACCCCTTCCCGCAGCAAAAATTAACTCGCAGCGGATTTTTTCTTTTTAAAATTTTCGGCTCCGTATTTTTTATATCTCGTGGGCTAATTTTGCTAGCCACCATGGACGACGATCAATAATTTCAACTATTCTTTTTTTATTAATAATTTCAACCATCTTTAAATATTACGGATCGCCATAAACTTTCAATGGCGGTTTTTTAGCGATTCAACTCGCACCCTAGGGAAAATTGATTGACAAAACTGTTCATATAGCAGAAATGTTTTCCACTCTTCCTTGAGAAACAGCATGATCATCCTCTATGTTAATAAACTAAACTTCATACCTGATTTAATTTTCTTTTTTTCTAGGAAGAAATTACTCTCTCCATTCCAAAATAAGTGTCATTCTACAACTTGCACAATTTAAGAAACACTTAAATAGAATAGTTAAATTACTAAAATATCCTAAACCAATCCCATTAAAATAAATGTTTACCAATAATTATTTCTTTCGAAGGTATGTTTGAAAATTTTGGACAAAAAATTACATTGGAATCATAAAATAACACTTATTTTGAAATTTCTCTATTTTACTTGCACGACATTTACTCTCTCCATTTCCAAATGGAAGTCGTTTTTAATTTGGAGAAATGTTTCAAAATACAGGTCGTTTTAGGATTTCAAGACAAATTAATGATGAATTTCTCAACTTTGCCCTCTATAAATAATGCTAACCACTTTTTTCTAGTTTTGGTTATAGTTTTAAAATAATTAATGATGGGTAAAATAAATATTTGACGGGCATATTAATTGTTAAATAATTATCTTCGTAGTTTTCGTATAGACTCTAAAATGAGTTATATTTTGAAATGGAGGGAGTATTTTGGAATGAAGGAAGTACGTGAATGGCCTTACACCTATGTTTTGAAATCAGACCGGACCGGGTGGTCAAACTGATTCAACCGGGAATCGGAGGCTTTCTCTGTCAGGTTTCAGTTAATAACTGACAAACTTAAAAACCGGTCAAGTGCGATCAAACCCGGATAAAATCGCGGTTCGATCGGAAATCGGTACCAGTTGGACCGATTTTTTGAAAATTTGAAAATAAATTATTTTTTTAATATTTTTTATGGTCGGTTTTGACCGATTCAAACCGGTTGAACCAGTTAAGTTGTCGGTTCACCTTCCGGTCCGGTTTTCAAAACATAGGCTTACACAATACACATTCATCTAGCAAGAATTATTATTGGTTTGGTTTACCTTGAGGTTTCAATCTTAAAGTTTTAACAAATTCATAAATCGAGAAATATGAACAGTAAAATTAATTTGAACTTTGTATTAGCGCGGTACCTATTATTCCAAAATGATGTACTTAGAAAAGGGAAACAGATGCCAAGGCAGCATTAATGAGTGAGTATAAAATCTTGGACGGGTGGAAGCCTACATGAGAGAGCTAGTTTGTAAACTACAACCCTGGGCCGTGGTCCACTTTTACTCCTGTTTCACTGCACCCTACAACCCTATTTGGGCCTCTCGCCCTCTGTTGTTCGGAATTCATTGAACTTCACAAGATGCTTGAATTCAGAAAAATAGGTCCATTTTTCAGAAAGAAAAATAAAGAGAAAAATAATGGCAAAACGTTTTTACCAGAAATTCAAAGCAAGGAAATCAGTTATCATCGAAGAGCAGTCGAGATTAGAAATTCAGATTTTACATACTGTGCACCCTTGAACACGCAAATGGCAGCCACCAAGTTGCGCCCCAGGGAGGAAGGAATAGGGAGAATAAACAAGAAGAGCACTGCAGTTTAACAAACTTGTAATGGACAAAAAGCATCATATATTGTCGAAACCCAATTGCACAACGACCACAAGAATTTGACCAATTCAACGCTGACCTGAGAGTACAGACTCGACTACTAACTATTACTATAGAATAATGACATCAGGCAAAATTCATAATCACATACGTTTCAACTAAAAATGTCAAGCATCCAATTAGTTGCAATGCAAAGGTGGTCCTTTCTAATTTTTCATAGGCATAACCTTACCTACTGAGAAAAAGAGTGATAAAAAACCGACCCATAGGGAGAATACTGGAAAAAATTAATTTCAAAACTGAGCAACAGAAAGAAACAAGAGTCTTCTTCCCCTTGTCAATACCCACCAGATCAAAACGGTACGGTAAACTTGTACCCAGTACTGAGACGGCGCCAGAAGCAGGACCATCCAACCCTAATACCATGGTGAACCTCTACTGCTACCACCACTACAGTACTTTTAGTAAAGTGGATCAGTATTGAATGAAAACAGGTGGGAAACTTAAGTAAAGGTTAAAGTTACTCTCCACCACAATTCCACAAACCATTTTTACTCCATAAATAGCCCATACAGAAAGTTAAATGCAGTATCTGTTGACGCTGACACTACATTACTACTGGTGAGTGGCGAATTAATCCTCCTCTGTCATAAAGAAATACCAGCCAACCGCAGCTTTAATGGTTCAATTTCCCTAATGCAACTGAGAAAATATTTAGTAGTTTCTGAAAGGAAGCCACTTAAGACATCCAGAACATGTTGACAGATAAAACCACCAAAGTGAATTGTTCTAAATCCATTACCAAAAGGAAAAAGATTGACCATGAGAATGGAAGAAAAGAGACAGGGAAAGGAAGGGTGAATCCCTAAGATCAAATGGAAGTTTCCACTTTGATAACATGATGCAATGAGGTCAGACAATGAAGCAGGAGAAAAAGGACCCGAGAGATACTGCCCCTTACTCGGCACATAAATCAAAATTCAAAAGAAGAAACAGGCATTGCCCCTTCAGGGCAGTAAGTAACCAGTATTTACCTATCCTACTTTCTTGTTTCATCAGTTAAATCTGGCCAGAACATTTACTTTCATAGTTCACAAGCGTAGTGTAACTCGAGCTGTAACAAAATACTCCTTCTATCCCATTAGTTATAGTCTTTGTTTCCTAAATCGAGAACATAATTACTATTCCTGGGAAGAGTATCATCTAACTTTTGCTACTAACAGTCATTAGGGTCATGCATCACAACTAGTTTCTAGCCAAATAAGATCTGTAATAGACAAGTTTGTAGTGCTTAACAAGCAAGCATAGACCTAAGTATACTTGCTGAAGATCACACAAAGTGAACAACCCAAGCATCCTTTGCATCTCAGAGCATAATCACAGAGGAAAACGTCTTTCACAGGATGTTCTGACCTCACCAGAGGAATTCTCTACAATTTCAGGGGGCAAATGCAAGCAGGAACGATAGAAGCAATACGAATATTAATTCATGAATTAAAAGAAAATCAAGGGGAAAAAATTCTAGTCAAACGCAGTTGGCGAATTGAATCACCAAAAAGAATTTTTAGCTCACTGTATAATGTTTATCATTTACATTCAAAAAAGACTAGCAGTTCTGGTTAGTAGCCAAAAATAAACTACATACTAATGAATTTCTATGGAAGAAAACTGAAGTCAGACACAGAATGTACACAAACATACGACTTACTGAAAGCCCAAAAAAAAAGGAAAAAAGATAATTGCATCTAACTACTTCCATGTGTACAAGTAGCTGCATCGTAAAAATCCTAACAAAGAACTACTGTAACACTGACAAACTAGGTGCTCTATGACCAGATAACCCGTTTTCGTCCACGTATTAGATCATTCGGGATAATGGTTACCATATCTACACAAAGCCCACCTTTGGAATGTGTACAATCAATTTGTTTCATTGAAAAGCTAACCTCAGTTGCGGGATCAGATTCACTGACAACAAACTCACCAACCTTGTAGTCAACCCAACATCCACGTTTATGATTCCCAGTTCCATCATCGGGCTCAGTGTCATCTAAGCAGCACTCCCTCGATGCTTCTTGACCATCTGCCGTTGATAGTTCAAATCGTACAGGTTTTATATCCCAACCATGAGTGTGTTCATAGCAGACACGTCGCAAAAGCCTTTTGGAAGACCTTCCCAGGTGAATTCTAAATGACACGGTATAGGTATCAGGAGGAAAGGGGAATTTTACAAAGCCATCAACTTCGAACCACCATATTTGTTGCAGATAGGCAACAACATGAAATCTGCGACTCCACGGAAACAAACAATGAAATAACCATCAAATAGAGTTTAAAGGCTTGCCAAACCTTTGAAGTAGGACATCACCAGGAACAAACAATTAAGAAATTGAATATTCATGCATCGATTTTCAATCATTGACAAGCAAGCATTCTATCAAATCACAAAACAATGTTCCTCCACAAAAACAAATGGAAGCAAGACATCTCCATAACAATACATGGAAAGATATTTTATCACTCAAAAACTTTTAGATTCAAAGGCAAAAGGAAGGTAGTGCATGGTTAAAATTCTTGATCATTTTCAAATGAAAGGACAAGTTCCTCCAGTAATCAAACACCTATTCAAAGATGGACAGCTTGTCGTCTGAAGCAAAAGAGATACTAACATGGCAAGTTCACAATCCTATGATATCCAATCCGGGCTTAAGAAATGCATTCTAGACCCTATAAGGTACCTACAGTAGCAATCACACTGAAACAGAAAAAGTCAGATGCTCCATCTGGGGGTTGCAGAAGGTAATGAGTCCAATCAATGTAACAACACTAATTAGCGTCTAGCATATTTTTTTATTCTAATCATTAAAGGGATGAATGTAAAAATAAGCGCATCTCCATGAGCAGCAATCCAATACAAAGTCAAGAGTGGCCATCTTTGAAACCCAAAAAAAACATTCATGTTTCAACAATCATTCGAAGCCCTGGCATTCCCATTTCTGCAACTGTTAGAATACTAATCTATCACATATATAAAGGCTATAAACACAATGCAGTCGGTCCAAACATGTCATAAACTCAGTCATTTTATGGAATACTTTGATGTCATCTGATGGAAATAAGCAACAACTATACGTATTATCTCTTTTGGAGGATTCAAAACCCACCTAGATTCATCAGTTGTAATCCAGTTCCAGTATCTCCGGTCTTCAATCCCCGTTATTGTCATTGCTTTCGCAGAGATTGCCATGCAAGCCCTTCCAGTAACCCTGTCGAGCCACACCTCCTGTAACTTGCAACGAAATTCCAGGTCAAGCAGGACATTCAAACTGAAGGAGGCATAGAATATATCCTACAACTTTCATATTTTAGTCTATAATGCATCAATATCAGAGAAGATTCATCCATTTCACACAAAGTAGTTCCACAAATCAAGTGATAATGCCACACGGATCAAAATAAATACCAGGAACAACTCAGATCTCCAAAACACGAAAACATGAATACAGTTCGTTAAATCAGTCAGCTAAAGCTCTTCAAACTTTCTAATTTCAAGCTCGAATCCTCATACAAGAGAAATGATGATGGAAAAGGAAACTTCCAATCGAATGAAATGCCAGAATGAGACAAGAAATCAGAGAAAAGCACAAATTCAATTGGAAAGAGATAAAACAGTAACGCAAGATGAGGTAAAAAAAAAAATGAGGATAAACAGAAAAAACCTTGTAGCCATCATCGAAGGAGACAGGGCGAGAAAGGAGAGCAAATATGTCTTTCTTGGACAGCTTCTGGTAGCGTTCCGGCGGGAATAGTTCAAGCAGTTGCTGATAGTTGGGCGGAAGCTTAGCTTCCCAGACAGCGTCGGAGGAAGCGGCGCCGCGGAAAGCGCGGTTGAGCCGAGCCAAGTTGCATATCTCAGGGGGCGTCAAGTATAAAAAGACGCAGGCCACACAACTCTCCGGAATGTCCCCTAAACCTGGGCCACCGCCGGCGGCACCGTTCTCCGTTAAGTTGGATAACGATGCGCCCATAGATATAGGTTTATTACAATTTTCTTGGTCTCGATTCCGTTACCTTTTAAGGAAAGGAAAAAAAAATGGAAGGGGATTATCAAATCATGGTTTCATGGCGGCGATTGAGCTGAGGAAGATAGGCTGGCAACGCCGGTGGAGAGGCAGAGGCGGTGGTGCAGACGACGGAGAATTAGAAATTAGAAAACAAAACATTAAAAAAAATTAGTGGGGAAGGTTTGATTTATGACCGGGCTTGGTGAAGGTGAGACTTGGGTCAGCATATATGTTGAACAATTAAAAAAAAAATTAAAAATTAAAATGCAAAAGGCGTGGTTTGAATTTTCTCTGCATTTTCTTATACATCAAACATTTTGTGTCCTTTTTTCTTGAGAAATATCCTATCTTAATTTTATTTTTATTTTTTTCACTCAATTCTTCCTCTAAAGTCAAAATGATTTGATGTACAATCTGCGTCATGAATTAATGCAGGTTGATAATATTCTAGAAAGAACGCAATTTTATTTTAGAGATCAATGTGACATTTAATTTTTTTTTTTGAAGAAATAGTATGGAGGTGATAGGGTTGATTAGCGACAATCTTATGGATTACCATGGAGCAAAATTTTGTTATGCATTCAAAGGCAGCAATATATTAGGCCATGAATCCTGCAATAGAGATTAAAATCGTAATTACAAGATAATTGTATTGTTCAGTCATCAATTTTCACCGGACGTTTGTTTAGATCTTTGCTTCCATCTTTGGTTATGATTATGCTGGGAAAATGAATATAGTGCGTACTATATGCATCTGTATCTAGAAATGGAATAATAAAATTCCACAACTAAGGGAAAGAATCATAAATGAAGACTAGTACTACGATTTTTTTTTAAGTCATCCAGCAAAAAGACATGGAACCAAATTTAGCAAACGCTGATCCAAAGAATAATCTAGAAACCTTCAACTACTTTTATTACGGCGCTACTTTTCTTGATAAATAAGATCCTTCATTTGTGTCGTATTTTGCTCTACCGCACAAACTAAATTATTTTTCCAAGTCAAATGAATATTACTATTTAATTGTTTTCCATGTTAAAAAATATAGAAATGATTTCTGAAACGGTAAATTAAGAGGATTTGCAAGATTGTGCCTGCCTGCATGATGGACAACAATCTTGCCTAATTAATGCCCAATTGCCCACCTACTTCTCTTATGGTCTTCGCTCTGCACGTTGTTAACTTGTGTGTTATAGTATGAACTTTTCTATGATTTTTATTTTATTTTCTTTATCATTTGCTCAGAGGTCAGACATTAGGTGAAATAAACCCAATGGTACTTAAGTAGACTCTATTTCTTTCGCGTTTTTTTTTTTATGGGAAATTGCACCATTTTAATTGGATGCAACACTCTAAAGCGAATGAAATTGAGAGAAATTTTGTCTTCCGAATATATAGAAGGCTTTGTTTGTTAGGTTTTTTTATGATATTTTCAAAATATTTAAATAATAACTGTCTCATCCCAGCATATCTTTTTAAATTTTTAATATATTTTTTTATATTTTTAATATAAAAACACCTAAAAACATACATTAAAAAAACCAAACAAACATACGAGAAGTTATTTAGCTCGATTCGAGAGGGGTATCCTTTTCCTACACCGAAATGGAAATGGAAATGGAAATTGCGACACCAAAGGACAAGTGGATAACATACGGAAACCCGAAATGTTGCCAACGAAGCGTAAAGTCATCCACGGAAGTGGACAACTTTGTGACCAGCATCTTCATTTGCTACCTATTGGGCTAACATGCATTAACACCATAGCCCATATCGTTTTCTTTTGTAGGCCTATGTAGGAGCTGTTAGCCTGTTATCGTCTTAGTTGTGGACTACTGTTGATTTTCACTTGGTGCAAAGAGAAAAGGATAGTTTATAGTGTTACTCCTCTATTTTAATTCAATAGACTCATTTAGACAAATACAGAGATTAAAAAACCAAATAATATAATTTAAATGGTTAATTTTAAGTAATTCACCTAATATGCTCGTATTAATGATAGTAGTTACTAGTTAATATGGTGAGATTGGGAGTTATATTCAATTAAATGTTCTAAATTTCAATGATTATAGTGGAGGTATATATTAGAGAATTCGTAGATAAAATTAATGTTAATGTTTGAAATGAGACTAAATTTTAGAACGTCCTAAAATATAAAGTGAGTCTATTGAATTGAAACGGGGCAATTTATATGGTGAACCTGATTCACCATATATGGTACACTTGTATAATTAATAAAATCTAATTATGGAATGAAAAATTAATAAAAATATTATTAAATTGATTCATTCTCTCTCATCATTATTAAATATTATTATGAAATATCATGCTTTCAAATACAAATATTCCAATAATTTTAGGCTGGTGATATTGCCAGATCAAAAATTAGCCTCCAGAGCAAAATATTTGCTCTAATATCCAAATTACCCTTACTAGTCAACCATCGTTCACCATCCCACTTTTACAATTTCTCTCTCCAATTGATTTGGGTCCAACATGTTTTTCCTTCATCTGTCTTATGACAATAAAGAAATTCACGTATCAATGGCTTCCTCTCATCCTCTGTGCCTACTTTCTTTATGTCCTTCCAAAACATATGATCCAAAAATAAGATTAGAAGATTAAGAACAAAAAAACACATGTTTAGTTCTTTAATTGTTTAACTAATCAATGTACCTGAAATTTCAAAAACTCAAAATTGATACTCCCCAGTGAGTGATAACTTAATGAGTTTAGATCAGTTTTTCCTCTCATTCAAGGAAATTAAAACAGGTTTCTCATTGAGTTATTTTTTTCATAAATTAATCATTCTCATTCCATTAATTTTTCAAAATTTTTGGAGCTCTCTGGCCTGACTTTTCAATAACGATGTGAAAATCCAAAGAGACCCACTAAAACTATTGAAAATGACAAACCAAATACCACGGACAATAACAATAATTCTAGAAGCTAATTTATTCCTAGAAAGTACAAATCCAGGAAAAAGTGCAAAATAAAATAAAAATTGATTATGAAGATAAAAAGAAAAAAAAAAAAGAAATCCAAATCCATGAACGTAATACGCAAATCCAAGAAAATCGTATTAATATTAACCAAGCAATAGAGAAAGGGGGGAATAGAAGAAGAGTAAGAAGAGTTCCCGATACTCAATATTGGATAGAGATTGAAGGGGAGAATGGCGAGTGACGGACGATAAAGTAACAAAATAATGAGATTGAGGAAAGGATTTGACTAGTAAGGATAATTTAGGCAATAAAACAAGAAATTGTTCTGGAGGCTAATTTTTGACGTGGCAATATTATTAGCCACAATTTTATAACTCTCTCTTCTATTCGTAACTACTAACGTAGTTTAAAAATTAGGAACAATTTAAATTTAATAAAAAAATCATGAAATTTTGATATATATATATATATATGTCATGAAAAATATTGTTCTAATTCATGAATTTTTCATGGAATAAATATGAACTATAAGTATGAGAGCTTTTAAAAATTTTATCAATATTTTTATTTTATTTGTACGAAAATTCGAATAATTCTCATGAACATTTGTTTAAATGGGTATGAATATACTCTTTAGATTTCTTATTTGCTTTAATCTTCCAATTATCAAGAAAATATTGTGAAGCTTGGTACACATGATATGAAAAATATGACAATAATTCATGAATATTTAATGAAAAGAGTATGAACATTTATTTTACACATGATTAATTTATTAGATTAACTCCAATTTGTGAAATTTGGATACACATCATACCAAATCAAAAGTATGAGTGTTATTCGTGAATGTTTTATGAAAAGAGTATGAACATTTATCGTAACATGATTAATTTATTAAAATATCTCCGATTTGTATGAACATTTTATATAATCTTCATAAACATTCATAGTATATGTATGAATAGAAGATTAAACAGACCAAAATCTTAAATTTGCGATTATCTGTACAATTTTGCAATCAAACGCTAAGAATTTAATATATATCTGATATGAACAATATGATTATCATTAATGAATTTTTCATTATATGATTATGAACATTTAGTTTCATTATATTAATAATTTATCATTATTAATATTTTTTGTTTTTGAATTTTTTTTGTAATTAAGTTTTGGGCTTGAATATATGATAAATGATATCAAACATGAAAAGATAATTGACTAAATTAATACTAGTTCTATTTTATTAATTATTATTCTTTAAGTAGATTTCATTAATTAGACCAATGCACCATGTATGGTGAACATGGTGCACCATATAAGAATTCTTGGAACGGAGAGAGTACAATTTTGGGATCGTCATTTAGTAAGTTTATTTATTAATAATATCCAGTCATATACTTAATAAGACTCATGAGGGGGAAATGAATGATAGTTTAGTGGTTAGGTTGTTGTCTTTCCTGGTGATAGACCAGGGTTCGATTCCCACCAGGGGTTATAAGGGGGGTTTTACCCACATTTAAGTGAGATCTATTGGGGTTGATTTTTTTTTTTTAAAAAAAAACTCATGATGGTATTCTGTTACTGTAATACTCTTCTTATCTCACGAAAATAATTTGTATTATAGTTTGTGTATTGTACGTAAATTAATATATCACAAATTATAATGCACACTATTTTTTAAGGTAGTATGAGTTTTTTTTTTCCCTGAAAGCTTATGGCAATAGTATTAGCTACAAAGAAATGCATCAAACTATGAATAATGCATCATTAAATATGTCGCTTATAATCGGATCCAAATGCTAGGTGATGCTTTTTGTTTAAGGGCGAAGACTGCCGAGCTGCGCTGACATTCAAAATTGTGTCTTGATGAGAGTTAAACAATTACACTAGTAAAATCTGCGAAAAGAAGGAATACATTACTGTTAGAGTATATGTAATTAGGGCTAAATGTGTCATTGTGTTTTGTGTTCCGGAAGGTTTCGGGAAACCCTAATATGTTGTATATAAGGTTGTAGCCTTCACCGTAATACACATAATGTTTTCTTCTCCTAAAACCTAACTTCTTCATGGTATCAGGCTCGTTTAATGAGTCATCCAAACCCTAGTTTCCTCCAAAATTTTTTTCGGTTGTGTCTTTGCCGGCTTTGTCTTATGGCGACCGGTGAAGGTACCTCCAATGTTGAGCAGACTGTTGCTGACTCTGCCATGTCTGAAACACATACTCAGGTGGCTGAAACACCAAGATGGAGAACAATTACTCCTTATGATCTCTCGGCGGCTGACAATCCTGGCACGCCAATCACCTCTGTCACATTGAAGTTAGACAATTATGATGAATGGGCGCGGTCTGTCCGTCTTTCTCTTTGCGCCCGAAAGAAGTTTGGATTTGTTGACGGTTCTATTCCACAGCCGCCGACGAATCATCTGGATCTTGAGGACTGGTGGACAAACAACTCGCTTCTGGTTGCTTGGTTGTTGAACTCCATCGATTCGTCACTTCGGTCCACCATTCCTCACTGAGAAATTGTTTCTACTCTCTGGAATGATCTTGGTGATCGATTTGGTGTTGTTAATGGCCCAAAAATCGAGCAGCTTAAGATGGCATTAGCCACCTGTAAGCAAAAAGGATTGAGCATGGCTTCATACTATGGTAAATTACAACAACTGTGGGAGGAGCTTGCACATTATGGGCCCCCGTTGGAGTGTTCTTGTGGTTCGGCTGCCTTTGCTGCTGCTTCAACTCGTCGCCTGGAAACAGAAAAACTTCATCAACTGCTTATGGGGTTGGACGCTTCTGTTTACGGCACTGTACGGTCCAATATTCTGTCACAGGATCCCCTTCCATCCGTTAATCGTGCCTATGCCCTTCTTGTGCAAGAAGAAAGATTGCGGGCTCATGTTCCTGATGAACCGGCTGCTGAAGTACTCAGCTTTGCTGTTCAAGCCGGTTCCCATTCGTCTGCTCGCCCTGCTGTTCACGCCAGTTCCCGTCCGCTACTGCAATCCGAGTCTCTGGCTGCTAAAAAAGCTCCTCGGATGTGTACTCATTGCCAGAAACCTAGCCATGAAGCCGCCAGCTGCTTTGAATTGATCGGGTATCCCGAGTGGTGGGGAACGGGTCGCGGTCACGGTCGAGGTCGTGGCTCTGGTGGTCGAAGCTCCTCTGCTGATCGTGGTGTGGCTGCTGCGACAACTCATCCTACTGCTGGTCGTGGCAACATTGCTGGACGCGGAGCATCTCGCGCCAACACCGCTATTGTACCCGGGAATTATTTTGCGGGTACCGCTCTTTCTGATGGCGATAAGACGGCTGTCACCGGCCTTTCTCCGGACCAATGGCAAACCCTTGTTTCGTTACTCAATAAGAATAAGTCTGGTGACCCCCTTTCTGGTAAGATTTATCTAGTACATGGATGTATGATTGTGGTGCTTCCCATCACATGACAGGGTTTCTTCATTTTTTGGTGGACTTGCGGGATATTTCTGCTCGTCCGGTTCACTTGCCTGATGGTACTGTGACGTAAGCCTCTCAAGCTGAGCGGGCGCATTTGAGTGACTCTGTGGTGCTGGACAATGTTCTCTATGTCCCTAATTTACAATGCAGTTTGATTTCTCTATATCATTTGTTGGAGGATTTGAGTTGTGTAGCTCAGTTTACTAACAAGTTTTGTGTTATTCAGGACCGCACTACGAGGACGCTGATTGGAGCGGGTGAGCAGCTGGGGGGACTCTATTTCTTTCGAGGGCCAGCGGTTGCAAGTGTCGTTCGTGCTCCGGTTGCTGACTCTTCTCAATTGTGGCACCAGCGGTTAGGGCATCCTTCTCCAAAGGTTCTTCAACAGTTGTCTCTTGTTGATTCTAAGAGTAATTTTCTTTTGAATAAGTCGTGCGATGTCTGTTTCCACGCAAAACAATCAAGAGCTAGTTTTCCTCTTAGCAATAGTATCAGTACTGAGTTATTTTCTTTGATACACTGTGATCTATGGGGGCCGTATCGTGTTCCTGCTTTTTGTGGTGCCAAGTATTTTTTGACAATTTTGGATGATTTTTCTCGTTCCACTTGGATTTATCTGCTTGAGGATAAGAGGAATGTGTCTGTTCGGTTAAGTGAATTTTTTGCTATGGTCCTTCAACAATTTGGTAAAACAGTAAAAGTTGTACGAAGTGATAATGGGTCTGAATTTATGTCTATGGGTTCTTATTTTCGTCAACATGGGATTATGTATGAAACCTCTTGCGTTGGCACTCCTCAACAAAACGGGCGTGTCGAATGCAAGCATCGTCACATCCTTAATGTTGCTCGGGCTTTGATGTTTCAAGCTAATCTCCCTATTCAGTTTTGGGGCCGTTGTGTATTGATTGCTGGTCATTTAATTAACCGAACTCCTTCCTCTGTGTTGAATGGTAAATCTCCTTTTGAACTTCTGTATGGTAGAACACCTTCACTCCAGCATTTGTGTGTCTTTGGGTGTTTATGCTATGTTCATAACCTCGCCAGGGGGGGAGATAAGTTTGCATCTCGTAGTCATAAATGCGTCTTTGTTGGCTATCCGATTGGCAAGAAAGGGTGGTTAGTTTATGATCTTGAACTTAAAAAATTTCAGGCTTCTCGTGATGTTGTTTTCTTTGAACATGAATTTCCATTTGCTTCTCCCACCTCCTCTGAGGAATCTTCTCCGGGTTTTCTTCCAACGGCCCCTACTACCTTCCTTGATGATGATGATGATGCTAATGTATCCTCTACTGTCACACCTGAGGTTGTTGAATCCTCTTCGTCTGTACCTCTTAACGATGCAACCCCCGAATCTAGTGCAGAAACATCACCTGAGCTTGTCTCATCTCCATCTACTGCACCTTTGGGTTGTGGGTTTCGTACCAAGTATCCATCTACTCGGCTTCGTGATTTGCTCGTCATACTGTGAGTCCTGTCCCCTCTTCTGCCAACCCTACTCCATCTTCGTCCTCAGGTAGTCTCTATCCTATAACACACTTTGTAAACTGTACTTCTTCCTCACCCCGTCATAGAGCTTTCTTGGCAGCTGTTACTGCAGGAATTGAGCCTACTACATTTCGTGAAGCTATGTAGGATGCCAAGTGGCGTTCTACTATGTCTGCTGAAATTCGTGCGTTGGAAAATAATGAGACTTGGGAGCTTACCTCTCTCCCTTCTGGCAAACGGGCAATTGGTTGTAAGTGGATTTACAAAATCAAGTATCGTGCTGATGGTTCGATTGAGCGCTACAAAGCCCGTTTGGTGATTCTTGACAACAATCAGGTGGAAGGCATTGATTATCACGAGACGTTCGCACCAGTTGCTAAAATGGTCACGATGCATACATTCTTGGCTGTGGCTGCTGCCAAAAATTGGGAATTGCATCAAATGGATGTGCATAATGCTTTCCTCCATGGTGATCTACATGAAGAGGTCTATATGAAGCTTCCTCCTGGTTTTTCCTCTGGTGCTCTGGGCCAAGTTTGTCACCTTCGTAGGTCCTTATATGGACTTAAGCAAGCCCCTCGTTGTTGGTTTGCCAAATTAGCTCGGGCCTTGAAGCTGTATGGTTTTGTTCAGTCCTCTGCTGACTATTCTTTATTTACTTTTCATTGAGGCACAGTCTGTTTGTCTATTCTGGTATATGTTGATGATATTGTCATTGGCGGGAATGACCATGATGCTATTTCCGTTTTTAAAACCTATTTGAGCAGTTGTTTCCATATGAAGGATCTTGGAGTTCTGAAGTATTTCTTGGGTATTGAGGTGGCTCGGAATCCTTCAGGCATTTTTCTTTGCCAACGGAAATATGCCTTGGACATTCTTTCCGAGGTTGGCCTGTTGGGTGCTAAACCTGTTGCGTTTCCTATGGAGCCAAATCACCATCTTCCGCTCGATAAGGGACCTCTCTTTTCTGATTCAGAATGTTACAGGCGTTTAGTTGGTCGATTAATTTATTTGGCCGTTACTCGTCCTGATCTTTCCTATAGTGTGCATATGTTAGCTCAGTTTATGCAGAGTCCTCGTCAAGCTCATTGGGAGGCGGCTCTTCGTGTGGTTCGTTATTTGAAGTCCAACCCTGGTCAAGGTATTTTACTTCGTGTTGATAGTGATCTCCAGCTATATGGTTGGTGTGACTCTGATTAGGCTAGCTGCCCTCTTTCTCGTCGTTCTCTGACTGGGTGGTTCATTACGCTTGGCCATTCGCCCGTTTCTTGGCGTACTAAGAAATAACCTATTGTCTCTCGTTCTTCAGCTGAGGCGGAGTACCGTGCCATGGCCAATACTGTCTGTGAGCTGAAGTGGTTAAAAGCTCTTTTGCATAGTCTTGGTGTGGGTCATTCTCGTCCTATGCGTCTTCATTGTGACAGTCAATCTGCATTACATCTTGTGGCTAATCCCGTTTTTCATGAGCGTACCAAACATATTGAGGTGGACTGCCACTTCTTGCGGGATGCCTTCGTTCAGGGACTTATTGCTCCCAGTTACGTGTCTTCTCAAAACCAATTGGCGGACATCTTTACTAAAGCATTGGGTCAACAATCTTTTAGTTTTCTCTTGTCCAAGTTGGGCATTCAGAATTTGCATGCTCCAACTTGAAGGGGGTGTTAGAGTATATGTAATTAGGGCTAAATGTGTCATTGTGTTTTGTGTTTCGGAAGGTTTCAAGAAACCCTAATATGTTGTATATAAGGTTGTAGCCTTCACCGTAATACACATAATGTTTTCTTCTCCTAAAACCTAACTTCTTCAATTACTCATAGACTTTGCATGTTTGATGTGTTTAATACGTTACTTAGAGCATTAACCATGCAAATATCTATAATATTTTATCAGCATCAATTCTAATTAATTAATTAATCAAATGGTGATCCCAAGTTATTTAATCAGATTTCCCAACCTTCTCATGCGTCAACCCCAACTTATCCCGCTGGGCCCCATTAAACTGAACGGCTTAAGATGCATGATTATAAGTGATTGACCGGTCAAATACAGTATTTAGCGAACTGGATGACGGATGTCAGTTTCGTACAATTCAATGGACTCCCGGTTTCTTTCTCTCTCATACCTTTTCCCCCACCCAATTCACCCCCCGACCCGAAAGTCTGCCACCCAAAATATCCATCCCCAAAACAATGGGCAGTATTATTTTTGGGTTGTTTTTTCCTGCCAATGGCTTTCCTTCTTTTTTTCCCCTCACAAAATGAGAGATACAACTAGCTACAATAAAACCAGCTGCAAATCCCCCAGTATTCCATTCTTAAGTCCACGTTTTCTGTCCAAATTCATCTTCTGTTTGAACTGCAATGATATACTGGCTTAATAAAATAATATTGCACCGCTGCGCCTCTCTTTTAATTCCTTCTTCCTTAAGAACTTCATGCGATTCTTCTTTCCTCCGCCAGAAGGAAATGATCGTTTAGTTAAGAAGTTTATCTTTAATTTGAAACCCGCGGTTTCTTCATACAAATATTTCTTTTCCTTTGCGCATAAATTGGGTTTTCTTTTACATCTTACAAATTGATCGATCTGGTACATGTTTCTCTAGCTATCTTTCTTGTTGGATTTTTAGACTGTGGAATTGAATTTTGGTAAATGTATATGAGAACATGTTAGGCATCCCCAGTGTATGAGATTTTTTTCCTTGGTTATTTACTTGTTCAAAAGATTAGATTTTTCCAGAATTTTGGTTTGAAAATCTTATGGAGTCTAATGCCATGGCTACTGGTCTGTATTCAAATATGGGTCCTGGAATGTTAGGGCTGGAAATGTCACTCCAGCCACACCAATTACAACCGCCGCAGAACAGCCAAATCAGCCACCACATGCAACAGCATCCGCCGCCGCCGCCGCCGACGATGGTCGGATTTACCCTTCACGACGGTGGTTCTGAACAATTGCACCACCCTCAGGCGGCGACGGCCCAGATGGCTGTAAAACAGAGCTACCCTTTTGCTGCAGCAAAGCCCAAGAGCCAAAGTTTGACCCTCAGCGACGACGACGAGGCTGGACTTGGCACTGAAAACAGCGGCGGTGATGCCGATGGGAAGAGGAAAATGTCTCCTTGGCAGAGAATGAAGTGGACTGATAACATGGTAAGGTTGTTGATTATGGTGGTTTATTACATCGGCGATGAAGGTGGTCCTGAAGGGAATGATCCGAGTGGGAAAAAGAAGGGCGCCGGCGTTCTGCAAAAGAAGGGGAAATGGAAATCTGTGTCGAGGGCTATGATGGAGAGAGGATTTTATGTGTCTCCACAGCAATGCGAGGACAAATTCAACGATTTGAACAAGAGGTATAAGCGGGTTAATGATATATTGGGGAAAGGAACTTCCTGCAAGGTTGTGGAAAATCAGAGCTTGCTTGATACCATGGATCACTTATCTGCCAAAACCAAGGAAGAAGTGAAGAAGTTACTGAATTCCAAGCACTTGTTCTTCAGAGAAATGTGTGCTTATCATAACACTTGTGGTCATGGTGGCGGAGGTGGTGGTGGTGCTGCTGCTGGAAGCAGCGGTGCTGGTGGTCAGCCATCACAATCGCCGGAGGTTGGAGCAGAGACATCACATTTACATCAGCAAAGCTGTTTACATACATCAGGAAATGCCTCAATTTCGCCTCATTTGGTGCAGGGTTCAAGATTCGCGAAAGGGGCTAATCGGGATGAAGATGATGATGAGGAGGACGATGAGAATGATCATGATGAGGATGAAGACGATGACGACGATGAGGACGACGATCATCATCCGATGGTTGGAGCTGGAGCAAGAGGGAATCATGATCACAGCCATGATGCGGATGACGATACTCCAATTGATGAAAGATTCGCGAGGAAAAGGCAGCGCAATGGCGGGTTGATCTCGCCTGCAATGCAGCGATTGAGCACGGAATTGGCGAGTGTTATTCAGGACGAAACCAAGAACCCAACGGAGAAAAGGCAGTGGATAAAGTCTCGGGTGCTGCAATTGGAAGAGCAACATGTGGGGTACCAAAGCCAAGCCTTCGAACTTGAGAAGCAGAGACTGAAATGGGTGAAGTATATTAGCAAAAAGGAGAGGGAAATGGAGAGAGACAAGCTTCAGAATGAGAGAATGAGATTAGAGAATGAAAGAATGCTGCTTTTGATTCGACAGAAGGAGATTGAGTTGCTTGATGTATACCAACATCAGCAGCAATTCTCGAGGAGGAATGATCCATCTTCCGTCACTGGATGAAAAATTGAAAATGTATGTAAACATGATTTTAGCTAGTTGGTCCAGAGATAGCTAGAAAACTAGGTGATAATGTCGACTTCCTTTTGTTCTAAGCTTTTAGTTTATGGAAAATTTCATCAACTTCTTTTTTATTAGATGTTAAATCTTTGCTAGATTTTGAAGAATAAAATCAATTGACTAACTTACTGAATGAATCTCTTGGATCATGCAAATTTGGTCATGGAAAAACGAAAATGTTTTTGAAGGCGACGAACTACTAAAATTGGTGTATATCAAACAAAAAAAAACATCAGTAAAAGAAATGCAAACACGCCCAGTGGGACTCGAACCCACAATCGCCTGATTAGAAGTCAGACGCCTTATCCATTAGGCCATGGGCGCTTGTTGGTTATTCTGTCAATATTATTGATTATAAAATCGAATTGGTGAGATCCCTCCTAGATTCATTCTACCAACACATCATCCTGATATTGTGAAATCATTCAAAGAAACCTATCGCTAATATATTATCATATAAAATAATGTTAATGTTAATCCCTCAATCCTGTATTAAAAAAAAAAAATCAAATTTGAAACTTATTAATAATCTTTCAAATTTAAAAATAAATAATTGTTATAAAACCTAGTACTAGTATAGGTTTCATGAGTTCAATTTTTAATTTCAAGAATAGATCATGTTTTTAGGATAGAAGATGTGTAATAGATGGACATTTTAATATATAAATTAATCACTAATACAACACTTTGTTGCAACACTTTTCGTTATTCATTCCAGCGACATATACTTATAGCCCCTTAAAAGAGCCTATTTCTGTTGGCATAAAGTGACCAGAAAGGCTATTCACTGCATCCCTGTTAGTATTTAAATATAATTTTGAGGCCGTCGATAAATTTATGTAGGTTGAAGTCTTGAAGAGAATTCTTTAGAGCAAAAAAAATCATTAATAGTTTATTTTCATTATGATTGGTTCATTGCACAAAAAAAAAAAAAAGATACCAGTGCACCACTGCACATAATATTTTTTTTTTTCATTCTGCTTAGTAGAAGCCTTAAGCTGGCTACTTTAAAGGACTACTTGGTAGTATGATTTATGAATACATGATAATTATCAAACTAATGTGCAGGGAAAAAAAACTTACTATACCCAGCTGAAAAACATCCCTTCTATGACGAGTATCTGTTGAATGAGCATAAAGAGATACTCGGGTCAAAATGACAGGATCTAAATCAATCATATTTGGGTCACTCTGTGATCCGGGTCAAAACAAGCTGGTGTTGGCTGGTATCCTGACCACACATCCAAAAATCAGGGCAAAACTAGCTTAAAAAGACGAAGATCTAATCTTCAAGCTCAATAATCTTTACGACAGATGCATCTCCAACTTTTTGGCAAACCACAACTCGATCGTGTGACTTGATTACTCCTGACTCCTTTCCATGGTCAAGAGCTACTTTCAAAATCGACTCATTGGTTGCATTTGTAGATTCAGCCTGCATGACAAAGTCAGCCGTAAGAAATTGACTGATAATTGACTCAACAGAAAACTTCGACTCTGAAACATCTAACCCCGCAAATTGACAAAGGTTCATCACAAACTTTACATCATTGTAAAGGTAGACTGACAATCAGACTTGTCAAACAGGGAATGCTGTGGGACAGGTAGTGAGAGACAATCAGATCTTATCAAATTGCACTTCTTAAAAGCTTAAGCCACTTCACTGGATTGTTTCACTGGGAGAATCATTATTCTAAAACGATTATCCAACCATCTAGTCTTGTTTCTTAACAGCCAAATTAGAAGAATCTGATGGCACAACTTCACAAAATTCTAATCTCTGCAATAGACGCAAATAGCACTCAGGAACAGAAAGCAAGTAAACAGCAAAATACGTACCGGATGCCGAGGATCAGCAAGCATGGGAAAGAGACCTCGTACTATAAGCGACTGCCTTGCCTGAAAATGTAGGAATTAAGATCAACAAAAACAATCAACCAACTGAAGGTATCAAACATTCAAAGCCACAACAAATATGATAAGGGAATATAGACAAGCGGAACTACAAAAAAGACTAATAACATAATAGTGAGTAGAATTTAAAAAAAGGAAGAGTTAACCAAAAAAAAAAGGAAGAGAAAAAAAGAAGAAAGAACATAATCGTAACATGCTGCAATCTCTTGGTAATCATTTCCACAATTCCACTGCACGTAAGCACTAAGGCACTTTCTGAATGCGATGACAATTGAAATCTAACAGCTAAACTGAATATATACTAAAACCAAGGCCGTGAAACAAAAAAAACTGTAGTAATCACTCCTCAGGTTTCATTACAAGGCTCTAATGAATCTCATTATGTAGGGAACTCATACAAACCATTGCTGGATGACGGAAAGAAGAGTTTATTCTCAACATGAAACTAAAACCATGGCGTTGAAGATTTCATTCCATACTCCATAGATACTAAACTTCATCATGTAATCCAGCTCAGATGAATAATTTGTGAAAAACAGCAAGAATGTAAAATTCATACCTCAAATGCACCACTAAAACTCCACTTTAATTGATTAGTCTTCAGTCGAGGAATGACAACAGACAGCACTGGCATGGTTGGTCTATACTTGGCAATTAACCTGCAATCACCCATCAAAAGTAGGAGTTCAATAGTCAATGATCCCATACCAGTACATTCAAAGATGAGGAGAACATGAATGGTTAGAACAATAACACAGTACCTTGCAGCCCTTCCAGAAGAAGTGAAACAGATAATCACTGACGCTTTAACTTTAATAGCAGCCCGTACCTAGCCAAAAATGAATCAATATGCTCAAATTAAGATAAGCATTCAGAGAGAAATCTGTGTCATAATTTTTTATTGAAATATTCATAAATGGAATACCGCAGAGGAAGCAATAGATTCCAAGTGGCTCATGGGTTCTCCAACATATTTCACAGTCCTCTTGAAATACAGATCTTGATTGAAAACCTTCTCAGCCTGTGTCACAACATTGGGAAATGGTGAAGGAAATCCCTAGTATAAAAGAAAATAATGAAAAGCTGAAAGCTTCCAAGTAAATTTTAATGCAAAATGAGCAAGCAGCGCAAAGCGAATTAGAAAAACCTAAAAAGAAATGAATTAAACTTGAGCACATTCTGTAATGCAAAATCACTTGAAACCACGGAGGAGTCCATTATATTAGTCAAGTCCAGATGAATGTTAAAACAAATTTTAGGAGCATAGGCAAAAGATGTGTAGCTTAAATTAAAGGGTTTTTCACATTACTGCGTGATAAATCTAAGGCATTCCGCTAGGTGCATCCACTTAATAAACTAAAACTAGGGTAGAAGAGGCAGTAAATCTGACAAGATTGCTATAAAAGGGAGGAAAATAAAGAAAAAACTCTAGCCGATGAACTAACCAAAATATTAGTGCAGATAAAAAAACAAATTGAGTCATTGATAAAGCACATAAAAATCACACTAGAGCGCAACTGCAACGAAATAAACTTTTTCTAGCCCCACACATTCTTTGGCCATTTATTATTTATATCCCAGTAAATTTACCTCAGCACAGATTTTGTTTACAATTGAAACAGCCTCAATGGGGTATAAACCTCTCAAAGTCTCAGCTCCGAGAAGAATTGCATCAGTTCCTGCAAAATAAAGAATTAAATATTAAGACTGATGATATAAATCATTGGTTATTTTACGCGAAAGAACTACTCGGAATTTGCAGGACCTTGGGAACCTAGAAAGATAAACTTAAGTTCTTTGCACAAAGGTACAAGGACACAGACTCTTCAGGAATACTTACCATCCAACACAGCATTTGCAACATCTGTTGCTTCAGCACGAGTAGGCCTCAAATTGTCTGTCATACTATCAACAACACGAGTTACAACTGCAGGCTTGCCAGCCATATTACATTTGTGGACAGCAGCTTTCTGGAACAAGAAAACCTGCAAGATGTATAAAAGTTGGTGCTTAGAAAGCGATTGGTTGATTGTTAAACACAGAAATAACAGCTACTAGTTTTTGGAAAAATGGACGACATCTACATCTACAATATTCAAACTATTGGAGAGCAACCTGCTCAACATACTCAACCAAAATACAGACCCCACTAGCATAGACCAAAAAGGAGCAGTTCAACTTCAAACTTGGAAAAATGGGTTCATTTACACAGTACTTCATATATATCGAAACAAAGTAGCTAGACCAAATGCAAAATGTAGCAAGTAGATGTACAAAGAGCAAAGTATAAGCAGGCATTTCCATACAAAACAGAGGCAAGTCCCAAAATAACAAAGATCCCGCATACGATTTCAAAGGGCTGATTTGCAAAACACAAATATAATGCTACATGCAAAGACGAATCTAGTCATTAAACCAAAACATTCCATTCTGCTACAGTAAAGTCAAATAAGTTTCACGTTAAATTTTGATATGAATGTTTCAAAGGTTAGATGTAAAACACAAGGGAATTTCAAATTGTTTATAAGTTTAATTCTCCAGGTTTGACAAACAAATCTTGATGGACTTTTAAAGGCAGTAAAAAAATTAACCTTTTCTGGCGGAAGATCTATACCCAGATTTCCACGGGAAAGTATGATGCCGTCAGCCTCTTGAAGGATCTCATCAAAATGAGTCAAGCCCTGATAGATGTTAAAGACAGAACGCTGAATCAATAATTCTATGGAAAGTATTCTGGCTGAAATGAACAACTTCATGAAACCACATAACACACCTCTACATTTTCAATTTTCGCAAAGATTTGTGTCTGGCTGAGTTCACCAAGTTTAGATAAGAATTCACGAGTCTGCAGTTTAAGACATACAATACCTCTGAGCATACGAACATCCAAAATAACTTCGCATAAAGAAACAAATACAATCGAAAATATTACTAATTTTCCAACTAGGGGATCATAAATCATCCTTACCTCACGAACATCTTCCGCATGCCTTGTGTAAGAAAGTGAGATGAAGTCAATTTTGTTCTTCACACCCCATGTGCTAATAACCTAAAACAGAATAAGGGAATGAACTCAGATTGACTAAAGAGTACAAGGGTTCCAGAATACATCAACAGTACATAATAAGTTGTCGTGGTCATGGTACTAATCAAAGGATAAAATACAACTCAAAACTTCAATCCCAACCATAGCAAGGCTTGAAATGTGAAAATAAGGCATGTAGTCTTAGAAACCTTGTACGTAATATAAAAAAGAAACAATCATAAGGCCAAAAAACATGATATGGAAGTCATATTCCTTCAATTCTTTGCATAGAAAGCATGGACTTGAGAGAGCCCTATTTCTCAAAACCTCATTCCTAACCCAAGAGAACATAAATTTAAGACAGAAGAACAGAAGCTATTGGAGGAAAACTACCCTAGTCTCAAATTTTAGCAAATGAAAGTAGTTGAAGACGGTCTGCTCAGCATTACACCATAGATCCACAAACTAACCTCTTTATCCTTAGTAGATAATGTTGGTAGCTCAATGCGAATTTGAGAGGCATGAAGTGTAAATAAGGACCCAGTAAGCGTTGCAGTGTTCTTAATTATGCAAACAACATCATCACCTTTCACTTCATTTACCTGCTCAAGCAAAGAGAGTAAAATGAGTAAAGTGAAGGTGGCAGAGAGAGGAAGTAAAATAACAAAATGTATTTGTTGTTAAGGGCTTATTGCATACTTCCAGCCAGACGGAGGTGGTTTCGCTTCCTGTGAACAGATACTGGCCAATGAAAATGGTGTCACCCTTTTTCACAGCCTGCAGAAGAAAGAAAGGTGGTGTAATTCTCCACTGATACTTGAAGAGCAAAAAATGAAAAAAACAAAAAAAAAAAACCAAAAGATTTTGGTGACCAAACAACACATCAAAATAGCACTAATCAAGATGGACAGACAAGCTTATTCTTATTTTTTGTCAGTCATAAAACTCCCTTGATGTCAACACTCATCTTTCACATTTAACTTAATCGACATCTAAATTCAAATATATTAAACCATGAATGCCAAGTAAACAAGAAGATGCGAGCATGTGAAACTTTCCAAACATAACACGTCGTCCAACTTGTTAAGCAAATTGATGAAGTAAAAGCTAACGGGGATAGCATCAGAACCTTAGCAAGTCCGGCAAAGTTGATGGGCAAAACTTCTGAAGAAGCTTCCTGACCTTGATCGGGGGTAAGGATCACTGTTTCATCTGCTTTTAGTGAGATAGCAGTCTCACTTTTGTTAACAACCTGGAGCTCAGGACCCACAGTATCTAACATAACCTGAAAACAATGAGGGGAACCAAGCTCATTGATGAGTACTTCAATCAGTATGTGCAAGCTAACACTCTACTTGTTTGTTACATAAATTTGACAACCTGTGTACACGTGCCTGCATGCAGATTTCATCTCATAAAAAATCATAATTGTCCTAGAAATCTTAGATGGAGAGAATAATTAAGTACAGGGCTTCCTCACAACTCTTCATCATTATAAATCAAAAGCACGAATAGTATTTCCTTTAATACCCTGAGTTTCTTTATCAGAGGCGACAATGGACTAATGAGGATAAAGATAACAAATGCATAGAGTTATTTGCCAAGTTGCTGCAATGTTATTTCGACGTCAAAATGGAAAAACTACAACAACTCATTCAATTAAATAGGCATGCAATGCAGAGAATTGTAGATGTAAATTTACAAAAGACAAGGAAACGAATATGAGAAACTTCATAAATGTAAGTATTGAGTCAATGGTAAAACATTGAAAACTAAACAATAAATAAGTACCCATGGATGAAAATTAAAGAAAATAACTTACAGCACAAAGTTTTTTGGTTGCCTTGACGGCTGCTCTCAAGTTCTCCAAAGTTTCTTGATGATACTCAGGGTGTTCCCATGATAAATCAAATCTAGCAACTGCGATAACACCAATTTTCACACATCAAACCATTTCTCTTTTAGTTGGAAATGAAGCTAACAAAAATCAATTCAACTCCAGAGTATTCACAACATCATTCAGTAAGAAAAGGGCAACAAAATGAAAATAGATCGGTAATTCACATCTCCAACACCAAAATAATCGCTCAAGAGGCGTCAAAATTCACGAAGTTCAATTGTTTACCAGACAAATCATAAAGATCAAAATTGAAAACAAATAAGAAAATAAACAGAAATTTCACACTGAAAAAATAAAGAGAGAAGGAAACGTTACCGGACATTCCAGCTTTAAGACAACCGGAAATAACCTCAACCGATCGAGAACGTGGACCTAAAGTCCCCACGATTTTCGTCATTGCAGGGAAAAAACTCTGTCCTCCATGCGAACACGTACACCCAAAAAAGAAAAAAAATGAGTACTCAAAACAAGATTCCGAAACAAAAATGCAATAATATCTTCAGTTATATGAAGAACGGAGATCTAAAAAAAGAAGGAAAAAAAAAAGAAATGGAGACTGACCGATTTAGATGGCTCGAGGATGGAAGCCATCCTGATGGGCTCTTCCAGTAGTAGATGATTGGAAACCATTTTCTTCTCCTCTTCGGTTAATCGCTCGGTTAATAATGTTTAAAAGCAAGTAATAATCGAACGCCGCCGCCGCCGGCTGGATGCAGTTGTTATAATATTCGGTGAATCAATATACTGAAAGAGCAGATGGGAAGAGAGGGCTTTTGGGAAGAAGAATAAATGAGGTGTTGGGGAAAACGGGCAACGCAGCCTTGTACTTTTTGTCTCAAAAGGCCTCCTGAAGTTTGAGTGTTGCGTTTGGTTTCTTTTCCCAAAAGAAATTAGAAGTCACATAGCCTACCGGGCCGGGCTTTACTTTTTGGTTTCCCCTAAATATATTATTTTTAGTATTAAAATGCAAAAGAACAAGAAAAAAATTAAATAAAAAATGTACTACTCTACTAGAATAGAAGCATTGCTTATTACGTATTAGAAATTTAGAAGAAAGAGCTTTCTGATGGGTCCGCTGTGGATTCTGACTGTATTTTATGGAGCATTTGACCAATTTTTTGCCCTTTCGAGTGTGCCCCCCGTTTTCTTCATTCCTTGTCCGTCTTTTCAAACAGCACAAAACACAAGTCAATACTCAATAGTGGGGTTGTTTTATTGGAGGAATAGGGAATGAATATATATATCATCGTTATTCAAATACTTTATTCTGAAACTACACATATTTTTGTTAGTGTATTTTAGGTATTTTTATATCAAAAATAATTTTTTTTAAAAATATTAGGATGAGATATTTATCATTTAAAAAATATTCAAAAAATAATTGAGAAAAATGAATCAAACAGAACCTTAGATTAGTATAATAAGAAAGTTATACTCTTTCTGTCCCATAATTATTGTCCAATTCAAGTTTTCATTTATAATTCAAATTGTACTAAAAATAAAATCTCAAACTGAACAATAATTTTGGGACAATACGAGTACAACATAATTGTTCTCTATATTTCTTTATTTTTCCGACATATGGAGAGATTTTTGGTTAATAAATTTTATAATATTTGTGTTAAATGATGAATTCAGGTTGAACCAAGACCGCTTCATTCCATTTCCCTGCTGGAGACGGTGGTGGTTTAAGGAAAAAAGAGAACCAAATTTCCTCCCAATTGAAGATGTTGGCAAAAGTGTAATTTTGAGAGCTGGAAGCAAACCAAAGTAGTTACCAAACAAGGTATGGAAAAGTGAAACCATGAATCATGCTTCCGTTCGGTGGGTCCAGGTGCTTTTTATATTCCATGGAAGGATCCGCTCGCGTCATTTGACGCCTCCTCTCTTTCCATTTTTCCCACGAGAGGAATTCCTTTCCCTAGTATTTTCTTCGTGCCATTTTTCTTTACAAAAATAAAATAGTACTATTTCCTTTTTGAATTTTTCGTCTAAAATCTCATTTAGAGAGCATGATTTTATCTTCCAAATTTTGTTTCACCATATATACTAAAAATAAAAAATTTAAATTAAACAATAATCTTGAAATAAATAAAATAATATTTTCTAATTACAAAATATCTATTACTTAAAATTTCATAGTAATATTTTGCTTAGTCAATTTTAACTACTTTCTAACAATTCATTAAAACTCAATTGTCACAACCGATTTTAGCATTTCGTCAGTCACCTCACCTCTACACTTTTTCATTATCCCTTCGAAGTATGGGTTGCAAACCTCATCAATGACGATCATTTGAGTATTTTAATTAGATTTCGACATAGAATTCACTTGACTTTTAATTCCACTTGTATATTTTTACTTTTACTGTATCATTATTATTCGAAAGGATAGACGGATCGTTTGACAATGATGATTGCTTTACAAAATTTAACTAATTTTTTACACTACATTAGCAGATATGAGAAAATTTTCATTTATATGGAAAGATATTTTTCTTAATGAGATTTATTTTAACATTTATGTAAATATTATCAAAAATAAACCTAAGATATCATGTTAAAAATTTGTATATATAGTAGTAAGCTAATATGAGGGTGAGGGTTCTTTGCTGAGACTGAACAGGTAGATGATTATAAAAGAGTTTAATCTATATATATTAATACAGGATGAAAATAGCTTAGTTGGCATGAAATTAAAAGCTCACTTAAGTTCGAAATTTAAAAAATAGATATTACCATTATGTATTAATAGTTTTACGATTTGACTTGGGCTAAAACAAAATCTAAAAATATTTGGTTACACCAAATCAAAAAATCTAAAGGTGATTAAAATAATTACGATTTAAAAAAGAACAAATTTTAAATAATTTTTAAAGATTAAGTAAATCTGAGAAGTTGATAAAATCATACTTAATTATTCCAAAGGTAAAAATGAATCATAACTTTTTTTTAAAACTATGTTAATTCTGAAATTTAGGTATGTCTATTAAAAAATAACTTATAAAATTTGGGAGGGATCAACCCAAAAAATAATGTGATTACCTTTTTATTTTTAATCTTCTTTCATATTTTAATAATAACTCCAATTTTACTGACTATTTCATAATTTAATAATTATTGGTAAATATTTTATTAATTAAAACTTTTCAAATTTTCAACTCTTGTTTAAAAAAATAATAGTTAAACTCCATTGATTTTCTTTTCAAATTTTAAATTTGATTCCGGTAATAATAGTTAAACTCTATTAAACTTTGTTACTCCAATCCGTCTCAAAAAAGTCTAAATTTAGTTTTGAGTTTTATAGGTAGATGATTATAAAAGAGTTTAATCAATATATATTAACACAAGATGAAAATAGCTTATTTGGCATGAAATTAGAAGCTCACTTAAGTTCAAAATTAAAAAAAAAAAAAGATATTGCCAGTATGTATTAATAATTTTACGATTTGACTTGGGCTAAAAAAAATCTAAGTATTTGGTTAGACCAAATCTTCAAAAAAATCTAAAGGTGATTAAGATAATTACAATTTTTTAAAAAAACAAATTTAAATAATTTTTTAAAGATTAATTAAATTTGAGAAGTTGATAAAATCATACTTAATTGTTCCAAAGGTAAAAATGAATCATAACTATTTTTAAAACTATTTTAGTTCTGAAATTTAGGTATGTCTATTAAAAAATAACTTATAAAATTTGCGACTGATCAAGCCAAAAAATAATGTGATTACTTTTTTATTTTTAATCTTCTTTCATATTTTAACAATAACTCCAATTTTACTGATTATTTTATAATTTAATAATTATTGGTAAATATTTTATTAATTAGAACTTTTCAAATTTTTAACTTTTTTTTTAAAAAAAATAATAGTTAAACTCCATTGATTTTCTTTTCAAATTTTAAATTTGATTCCAGTAATAATAGTTAAACTCTATTAAACTTTGTTACTCCCTCCGTCCCCCAAAAAAGTCCAAATTTAGTTTTGAGATTTATACTAAAAATAGTATAAATTTAAAAATTCAATATATAATTTTTTTTAAGGATGGAGGTAATAATATTTAACGAGTATAAACTACTCATCTCTATATCGAATATATTTTTACACGCATCGTGTATTTTCCGTGCAACACACGGGATAAGAACTAGTTTTTATTTATAATACTAAAAAACATAAGTGGAAATGTGAATTGTGAAAAATAATTAATTAATAGTAGACTAGAATGGTTGAGTAATATAATCACAAGTTAAGATTACTAAAAAGTGAAATGATAACTCTAAAGTCTAAACTAATTAGTTTAGAATGAAGTATAACAATATATAATCTATTCTAAAATAAAATGGCTAACTTATAAGTGGGAATATAATTCTAACACCCATTTCAATTTGGGCGAGGATAAATGTTAGGGTTTTTTAAAGAGTGAATATAGGGAGGCACGGATGATGAGCGGATTGAGACATACGTATAAGAGATTAGAATGTTGTTGCGAGGGCAAGTAGTTGTATTGGACAAATATGATGAGTGAATCACGGATGATTAGATGGTTCTCTCATTAGGAAGATTGGTTGAAGGTAAATTCTGACAGGAGATTTAATCGTCGATCAGAGATGGTGAGTGTGGTGCATGGTGTTGTTAAGGGGGTTATGTTCGGTAGATGAGTGGTTTTATGATAATATTGGATTTTGTTAAATCATGGAACAAAATTATAGAACCTATTTCAAGCTTTGATCTTGACATGGGATATTGGAAGTAACAAAGTGATTTCGGAGATAAATAATAAGAGCATCACCTTTATTTTTATTATTTTATTTTATTTTGATGCATAGAAGGAGACAAAAGCCTATTGTAAACCTATTACATTATGGGGGAAGAGATCCCTGTTACATCATATAATAGCCATTGCCTATGTAGTGGTGGCGAATTATCTAACTTTGGGAGACCCCAGCCGATGGTGAGAAGCTCTGCTAAGTAGCCCGCAACATAATTTGCTTCTCTGAATATGTGATAGAGAGTATGAATCCTAAGGTAATGACTTGTTAGTCTGTTTCGCAGATGTTAAAAGATGGTGTGAGCATGATATAATATGAATTGTTTATCCACGCAATGTGATTTTATAATTTGTAAGTATTTTTATTATTATTAATTTTTAAACGATGACTTTCCTCAACTAGGTCTGAATGCCAATGCACATTTTATCAACCAAGGGACTCGAGAGTGTAATAATGGCTATGTGGGTGGATGAGGCATTGATTCAGTTCCTAACTCTAACAAGAAGAGGTCATGACAAACCCACACATGAATTCAATTCTCAAGAAGAGGTCATGCGTTCAATTCTCAACTCTAACAAAAGGGGGTTGTTGTAAACATGCCAATTGACACTTTTAAAATGCTTGCTATGACAAACTCACATATGAATTCCTGATTTTGTATCCAATCTTGTCACTTTAGACTTGCTTGGGTAGTTTATATCCTACTATAATTTGCAAGTTATTACAAATGTGCATGAATTTATCTATCTATGATGGGATTCTCAGCGTAAAAAAAAAACAAAAGAGTATGCGGACTGAACCGTGACGTTGGTCTATTGAAATGAGCAAACAAGAAAACTAAAGTCAATAATCAGAAGCTCAACCTTTTGATCTCAAAAGCCTCCGAACTCGTTACTCAATGTTCCATACAATTATGGTCATAATTCAAAATTTTTAGCACTCAATGATCATGTGCTCAACTGCCCATTGGTCTATTCCACTCCCACATCGAGTGAAATAAAATACTAAAAAAAAAATTTTTTTTTGGCATATTGCAAAATGTCCACCGTTGGTAATAGTGACTAATCTCCCTCGGTCATGGTAGGTAGGGTGTTCACTGTCGGCAACAGTGACTAATTTCTCTCGCTCATGGTAGGCACTTTGATTATAAGAGAGCTGATCAAAAGATTTAAGATTACTTTATATTCATTGCGAGGTTCGAACTCTCGACATATAGACTATGGTTAAGGTGGTGGAGGAGTTAAAAAAAAAAAAAGGAACTTTGAAGGCATTGGAATAAAAAATGAAGGCCTGTAGCGTAAAGACAGAGTAAGGCTATTAGCCCAAATTGTGATCCATTTCAAATTGAAAAATATAGGCCAGTCGTCCACTTAAATGGAAGGAATGGTAAAAAATAGGGAGTTGGCCCAAGGACATACATTCGTACCAAAATACTATTGTAATAAAGAAAATTAGCCGCTTGTCCCCGTCAACTCATTTTGCATTTTCAACTTACTAGTATTATTCCTGTACGTTGTGCGATGATATAATATATAATAAATTAATTTAATAATAAAAAAATATAATATTTCGGTTTGGATAATAATTGAATGTAGTCTTTGGTATATTTCACTTTGTATCCCGGTTTAACTATTAAGGGAACAAAACCGGATGATGTCATTATTATATAATAAATAAAATTAAATATAAAAATAATGTAATACATGAAACAGAAAGAACCTATGTTGTCAAATAAACAGAATGTAGAATTTGTAAGTCTTTTTAGTACTAAATTAAATTATTGGGGCTATTACATAATCATAAAAAGTATAAATACTAATTAAAAAACCCTAGCCTACTTATTTTTACTTATTTTTTTTTCCACAGCCGCCCACCCTCTAATTTTCTCTTCTATGCTCCAGTTCTCAGCCACCCCGCAGCCTTTTTTTTTTTTCCTCTCTATTTTCATTCTTGGGAGAATGGGCCTTTTCATCCCAAGGTTTGAGCCGCACCATCTAAAATATTCCAAAGTTTAAAAGCATGTCATTTTCATCCCAAACTTTTTAAAAAATATGTAATATTAGGACATTTATTAATTTTTTCAAGTTATTAACGGCGATATTTCATTCAGTTCTTTTCCCCCATTTTTTTTTTAGTAAAAAAAGTTTCATGCTTGCGTTTGGTAAATTTGGTCCATACCAAGCAAAAATGTTGCATGCCCATGCATCACTTACAACACCAATTTTTATAATGATGCTACATATTTAAAAAAATAAATGACATAAGGCTTACTTTCTAATGAGGACACACACAAAACCTCTCATGATTGTTATCAATCTAGAAGGTGAATCTTGGATTTTTTTTTCTCCTTTTTCTAAGCAAGGGAAGAATGGATGATGTGAAGACCAAATTAGGTTTAGATATTTCTTATAAGGTGGGAGTTAGTGGAACATGTTAAATGATTAAAAGAATTGAGGGAGGAGAAACAGAATAAAGTACCACCACTAATTAATTAACTGGAGTTAAAAATTTAACGAATATCCTAATGTAACATGTTTTTAAAAAGTTTGGGATAAAAATGACATGTTATTAAACTTTGGGATGTTTTGGATGGTGTGGCCCAAACTCTGGGATGAAAAGACCCATTTTCCCTTTCATCCTTTTTCTCTCTCTCTCCTTCCTATCATTTTTTTGTTCGAGGGATTCTCACTCTTCTTTCTATTCCTATTTTTGAGGGATTTTTCCGATCATTTATCGTGAAGAACATGGCTCCCCTCTAATCTGGTTGATTTGTTGTCTCGGATTATGATGATCAATGTTGTTTTTAGGGATGAAGATTGGTTTCTTCTTTCTGAGAGCCAATATGAGAGACGATGATGATGTAATATTCCTGCTTCTACTTGGTTGAAAATGCTGGTGTTGTTGAAAAAGATTGATTTAGTCAGTCAGTTGCTGGATATATTTTACCGTTGATTTTGTATGATCAATTTCAATTAAAATTGGTATAAGAAATTAAACGATGATGGGTGAAAATTAATTTAATAAATTTTACCATTTTACTTCGTAAAATACATATTAAAAAACCAGCAAATATAGTAGCCAATAAAAAGATGACACATGTATTAAAAAAATTATTAACGAATCAAAAGATGACATGTGTATTTGAAAATTATCGATGATCTAATTAACTGACATGTGTCTTTTTAAAAAAATTCCCTTCGTATATAGTAAGATTTTACTTCTTAAACACAAAACCTAATACAAAACAAACAATCGTCCAAATAATTTTCTGATTTACATTTTAAAATCAAACATGCAACATTTTGTTAGTGTAGTGACCATTTTCTGAACTAAAAATTAGTTCAATGACTAAATCCAAAACTTTGCATATTTTTTACCCATGATTTAGTGATCATTTTTGAAACTCTTTTTTTTCACAGTGACTAAAATTAATAACTTTTTTATTATTTAGTGATATTTTTCGTACTTGATATTTGATTAGTAAAATACTTTTTGCTAAAGATGCAATCCAAATAACTTTTTTATTTCCCATTATATTTTTCACTTAAAACACTTTTCACATTTAAGTCGAAAATGAAACGAAACTCACGTCTAAACAATTAATAAATGTTTTTACAAAAAAAAAAAACTAAAAATAAAGGAAAATCTGATGTTATAAAGAAAATTAAAAGTAAAGAAAAATCTGAAAAAAGGAAACGTTGCCTAATTTGTAACGTAAAGGCCCCACTCACGTGACCCGGTCTTACTTACTACCTAACGGACTCGTCACGCATTTAACGATGTCCTCCTAACAAAATTCACGGTACACTGGCAGAGTTAACGGCGGCAACCACCAGACGTACCTGACGTCGTTTACTCTCACGTCCGCAAACCTTAACCCTAACGGACTTGACATCCGCCTTCCATGGCATCTTGTGATGAAGAATTCTCACTCATCGGTGACGATAACGCTACCACGTCTCAGCCTTCAACAAATCCTAACCCCAATTTAATCCACCACCGTCAGCCTTTCGGTCACCGTAACATCTCCGCCGTCAACAACGAAGATGACGACGTCGTTTCCGCCGACGCCGACGGATACAGTGACGACGCTTTTGGTTCTTCCCAACCAAACAACCCCACCCTCAACAACCCCAACAATATCAGCCAACAGACGTATCGCATCGTGTCGTACGAATCCGACCCGAACCCGTTCGAACACGATCAGAACCCGAATAAAGCTCGAGGCAATAGGCCAAATGAGAAGCGCTCCGACCGGGAAGAAGTGAGCGACAGCGGGACGCCTTATTTGTATAAGCGATCGAGAGTGTGTTCGTCGGCCACCGGTCAAGGCGGAGGCGGGGGAGTTGAGTACCGGAAAGATAGGGAGGAATGGAGCGATCCTGCGATCGCATACTTATTGGATGCATACACAGAAAAGTTTATCATCTTGAACCGGGGGAACCTACGGGGAAGAGACTGGGAGGACGTGGCGGCGATTGTGACGGAGAGGTGTGGCAAACAGAGCAAGAGTGTGGAACAGTGCAAGAACAAAGTGGATAATCTCAAGAAAAGGTATAAGTTGGAGAGGCATCGATTGAACAATGGCGGCGTCTCGGCCAGTCATTGGCCTTGGTTTAAACAAATGGAATTAATTGTTGGGAATTCTTCATCTTCTGGCAAAGGGGCAGCTGATGATGAAAAATCCGCTGGTGGATCGGCTAATTCAAGTAAGCAATCAAAGAGATATGCGACGACGACGGCCGTTAGCCCCGGTGGTGTAATTAGTAACGTAAAGTCGAAGCCAACAACTAACACTCGATGGCGCAGAGTCGTCTTCAAAGTTAGTGGCGCCACTCTCTCTGGAGCAGCTCCTCACAATGTTGATCCCAAGGTATATTTTCGGTCTAGTTTTAAGCCTAAGATGAACTTGAATTATTCACTAGCATACTTGTTCAATCCCGTGAATGTGAATGATCTCAATTTTTTTGTCATGGAATGTATTGTTTATTTGTCTTCCTCCAGTATCTTAGTGCGCAGCTATCTTCATGAAAATTTTTTTGCTTAAAGATTTTGTTGGAGTCTCAACATTTTTTGGATTTGTTTATCTCACGCCTGAAGAACATGGCCTTGCTGTCTATGCAAAGTACTTATGTGGGTTCCTGAAGTTTGATCGTTTCTGTTGATATTCCAGGTAGCCCTGCTGGTGGCTAGAGAAGTTTCAATTGCTTGTCGTTCGGGTGTTGAGGTATATCTATCTTTAAAGTCCCTTCCTTTAGATCTTTTCCCCAGTTCTTGTGTTCTGTAACTGTAGTCAAATGTTGTTTCTTGTTTAGGTGGCTATTGTTGTTGGTGCTCGTAATTTCTTTTGTGGGCACACATTGGTAGCAACATCAGATTTAGATAGATATTCTGCATATCAAATGGGGTAATTCTTCTGAACTGAATATACTTTCATTTACAACATCGCATCAGCAGAATTCCCGGCGCCCCCATCTTCCCCTTGCAATTTTGATGTTGAGATATTTCCCTGCTTGTGTAACTGGGGCACATTGCAATTTGCTAGTTAGTATTGATTCGAGTTTGGTGTTTTTGAACAAAGAAGACTATATCCCCTTCACTTGAGAATTTTGTGGAGTGCCCAATTACAGTGGCTTATGTGGAATGATCTTTCTTTACCCTAATTTTGTTTGTTCTGGCCCTTCCTGCTTTTGTTTCTAATTTGTCTTTTATTTCGCTTAGCCCCGAGCTGATATATTTGCAATTCTAACATGCTACCAGGATGATGGCAACTGTTATGAATGCGCTGCTATTACAATCAGCTTTTCAGCAATTGGGTATGCAGACACGTGTTCTTAGTGCACATTCTATGCCCAACGTTTCTGAGGCTTACTGTCGGCTAAAGGCCATCCGGCATCTTGAAAAAGGAAGAGTTTTGCTTTTTGCTGGTATAGGAGGTGGTGCAGGAAACCAACTCTTCTCAACTGATTTTGCTGCAGCTCTCAGAGCTTCTGAGAGTATGATCAAAATGCTTTCCTAAACCCTCTTTACTATTTGTTCTAGATTGAAGAGGATTTGACTCTTTGTTCTTTATTCCCAGTTCATGCTGAAGCTGTTGTGAAAGGTACAAATGCCGATGGTGTCGTTGTGTGTGATTCTAGGAACAACAATGTTACTGCTGATCGTATTTCCTTTACAGAGTTGATATCTGGAGGCAGCGGCCCAATTGATGGGATGGCATTAAAGTCCTGTCAGGAAAATGCAATTCCTGGTTGGTGTTCTCAATCCTCCTCATTTTGTCTATTGTTTGATGTACCATGTTTTATACTAAATCCGATCATCTAATAATTTTTGTGTGCTGAATAGATTAGGTTGATTGGGGGGTACAAGTCACTTTCCTTTTGTAAATCTGTTTGTGCCATGTCTAATTGCATGCAAATTTGGTGCAGTTATTGTCTTCAATCTTCATGAGCCTGGGAATATATCAAGAGCATTATGTGGACAAGAAGTTGGTACCTTGATTGACACAGGGGCCTTTAACTAGTATTAGTTTCTGTTACCTGTAATATCTTTACATGTATATGGTTTTTGGGGTTTGATATTTCCCAATAGCTTGCCAATGGAGAGCCCTGGGCTACTTCGACTTCATCTCGAATGGAGTCTTGAGTCCTATTAGTTAATTGGATGTAATCTAGTCTCTAATTGAATTACAATAGCTAGAGTGGGAGAGTTGCAGCTGTATTGGCTTGCTCCTTTGCAAGTTTTCCGTACACTGACTTATTGTAGATTATAGTCTGGAACAGCACTAACCTGATGGATTAGGATTGCAACTAATAGAGCTGTTACATACACGACAAGTTATATGTAACTTTCCTTAAGTTCTTTGAATTCTGGGTGCCGGCATGCTGCGCACCAATCTTTATTATGCCATCTGCTCTGGGATAAAGGTGGTATTTACTTGGGGAAAATGAAAGAACTTCAGGAAGAAAAGAAGCCAGAGAGAGTTCAGAAGTTAATGGGCATGAAATTAATTCTGATAATCTTTTAATGAAAAAAGCAAGTAGTCTCTCAGTAATTAATCACGCGATTAAAAGGCTTAAGACAGAAACAGTTGAATGAGTTTAATTGCCCAAATGAAGTAATGTCCTTCAAAGGCAAAGTTTTGGACGCTGGGTATTCTACAAGATGACTGAATTTTACATGAGAACTTAAAAGGCATTACAGAATGACTGCAACTAAGACAAAGTCTGGTCCTTGGAATTGGATTCTAAACGAATGAAATCTGCAACAGCAAGAGTATGCACTGAGGCAATGCAAATTCAACTACAGACCGCCAAGACTATATGATGGCCATACAATCAAAGGAGGGAACATTATCTATCAATGGATCTTTCAATCAACCGGCCACTGCATCTTCAGAGGCAGCCAGGGAGGGAGAAAGAGAATTGCGCGATTCGTCATAATCCTCTCCTAGAGGAGATTGCTCCACCCGAATCTCCTCGATCAATTTAGTGACTTCAGCCATGGTAGGCCTTTTTTCAGGCTGTGGAACAACACAAGCCATGGCTACATGCAGCATTGACACTAATTCTTCCTCAATGTTCTTATACCTCAACAATTCTTGATCAAACACTTCTGCAGTCCACTCATCCCTCACCACCGACCGAACCCATTTAGGCAAGTCGACGCCCTGCTCCTCTTCCTCCATGCGAGGAGGACGGCTTGGCGAAGGGTACTGCGATGGAGCTCTCCCAGTAAGAACTTCCAGAAGCAAGACACCGAAACTGTAAACATCGGCTTTTTGGGAGAGTCTCTTGACTTCTGCCTGTTCAGGTGCTTTGTATCCTCCCAATCTAGCTATGGCATGGACAGGATTTAGTAATAACGACAGCCCGAAATCAGAAATACAAGCTACTCCATTCTTGTCCAGTAACACATTGGAAGACTTCACATTTCCATGCGGAATTCTGGAAGTTGCATACTCCTCATGAATCCGTGCAAGCCCACGAGCCGCTCCCAATACCAAGCTGATTCTCGTAGTCCAATCCAATGGAATTCTTCCAGGACCTCGATTCCCTAACCATGCAAGAAGCACATAATATTATTCCTCAAGAAAATGAACAAAAAATAATTGAAAAATGGAGATCATGTATAGCAATTCTGTAATATCTGTACCATGGAGGAGTGAATGCAAGCTTCCATTAGGCATATAATCACAAACAAGCAACTTTTCTTCCTTGGCATAATAGTATGCCCTGAGCTTGACAATGTTAGGATGCTTAAGCTTTCCAATGACGTCCATGTACTGCTCAAACTCCTTCCTAGCACAGGGATTAGCATCCTTCAACCTCTTCACAGCCACAGTACATCCATCATCCAGAACTGCTTTATAAACAGTTCCCAGGCTCCCTTTTCCCAGCATCTCTGCTGAGGCTCTCAGCAATTCTTCCAGCTCAAATTGCTTCCTCCTATCAAAGAACACCAGGGTACTTCTGTCAGTCGTATTTGTCCCATCGCTGTCTCCACCATTGTTGGCATAAACCCTCTTCTCGCCGGAATAGCTACTGCTTCTCCTCTTCCCAATTTCACTCCCGGCCATCGAACTTCCGTCCCTGGAATATCTCCCACAACAATGGGCAATTAAAAATGAGACAATGATTAGCAGAGCAACAGCTGTTGACACTACAATTGCGACGAATGCTCCATTGCTGAGTTTTCTATGGGAATGCTTTCCCAAGTGTTTTTCAGTTGGTAAAGTAACTGTAGAATTTGGTAAGGAACTAGGATTTGACGGCACAGTTTCGGAAGGGTTAGAATTAGATGGCCCGCTTTTCCCAGGAGAACACTGAGGTAATGGGCTGTTTCCACAGAGCCCTTCATTCCCAATGAAACTGTCTTCTCCAAATTTCTTTAACAATTCCGGAGGAACATTGCCATAAAATTCGTTGTTTGATAAGTTTAAGGACTTAAGCTGGGTCAAGGAGGCCAGAGATGCGGGGACTGTTCCGGACAGGGCATTATTTTCGAGGCTCAGAGTCAGAATTCTGGAGAGATTGGAGACTTGCGAAGGAATCGGGCCGCGGAGATTGTTGTTGGAGATGTCCAGCCGGAGAAGGCGACGGAGGGAGGAGATCTCAGGCGGGATTTCGCCGGAGATGTCGTTATTGGAGAGGTAAATAAGCTTGAGGTTATGGCAGAGGAGGAGTGGGGAAAGTGTGCCATTGAGGCGGTTGTCAGTGAGGTCAAGGAGGTGGAGTTGGTCAAGGGCGGAGAGGGAGTCAATGGGTCCCCGGAGGTTCAGAGAAGGAAGCGTCAGCGCCGTCACTCGGCCGTTTGTGCAATTGACGCCGATCCAAGACGCCGTACAGGCGGTAGAATTGGTGTCGTTGTTGTTTGGAAGCGTCCAGTTGGAACGGAGGGTACCGTGGATGTCGGTCTGAGAACGGAAGAGGGTCAGGGCCGCTGTGTCATTTGAGGCGGCGACGGTGGCGGCGGCGGTGAGAGAGACCGGGAAATAGCCAAAGAGAAGAAGAAGCAAGAAAACAGAAAGATCCATTAGGAAAGGAAAAAAAAATGGGTCAGTGCAAATGGCGGCAAGACATGATAATGTAGTTCAAATTTTGGAAAATGGTTAGAATAAAAAAAAAAAAAGGAACAAAAAAGCTGCAAAGTTATTACTGGTCAGGTACAGTAATAAAACAATTTCGAGTTGGGAAGAAACAGACAAAGAAGTTGAAATCTGTTTATTGAAAACTGATGAGAAGATGAAGAAGAAGAAGAAGGAAAGGATGAGGTCGTGCTTGGGATTTGGGCACTGTACACAGAACAAAAAACATTAAAGCCGAGAATGTAGAGGGGACCTCTTTCACCATGGCCCCACCCCCGGGGAGTGTACAGTTTACAGTACAATTTAATGGAATTGTTTTAGGTAATGTGTCTTTTTAGGATTGCTGTAGTCATCTTTTTTAAAAAACTATACCAAAGAGCAAACAGAAAGATGGTTTATCAAGAAAAAGGAAAGGAAGAAAGAGCAGTGTTAGAGAGAGATGGAATGAGGGAATGATTAAAGGTGAGAATGCATTATTATTGTTGTTGTTCATGAGCCATGAATAGGAGAAAAAGAGGAATTTTGAGTGACCTTGGTGTTGGTGGGGTGAATGATTGCTGTTTTTGCACTCCATTCCCCTCTCTATTCAATTTGAGGAAATTTTTTTTTTTTTTTTTAATCTATTTCATCTTTATTTTCCCAGTAAAAAAAAAAATCAAATCAGAAATGAGCAGATTCTTTATTCCCTTCCTCTTTTTTTTATCTTTTGTTTTTAGCACAGTTCTTTCAACTTTTTACCATTACTTCAGTACCATTCCAATTACCTTTCTGGAAGTGGAACGGGAAGGCAGTGTATGGTAAGGTCTGGCACTGCCTTCGAAAACTGACCCAAAGGAGAAATGAGGAAGGAAGCCCACAGAATTTACTGGAAGAGGATAAAAGATACTCTGTCTTCTTTTGCTTTCTCACATTCCATTTCCATGTCAATACTGGGGTGGGGTGGTGTTGTTTTTTGTTTTGACATTTTGTTCCTTGTTAATGCAAGTAAATGCGTTAGTACTTAAATGCTTGCTCGTAGAAATGCTCATTTTTAAAGATCGATAAAGAGTTGTAGTAATTACAGAATACTATCGGAATTTGAGGTTCAGGGACAGATTCAGATTGGATTAAATGACTTCCCTTTTCTCCTTGGCTGATGGTCACAGTCCTTGGTACTTTTTTGCTGGTGCAAAGTGCAAACCAAGAGATACATGCAAAAGACGGGCATGCGTATTGGTAGAGAGAATAGGAAAAGTCAATGGCTAATTGCATATTTTTGCATGGAGAGTGGTTGTAACAGTGAAGTTGTCGGGATAAAGTTATGAAATTTGGGTGCAGCTTTCTTTCTTTTCTTTTTTTTTTTTATCAACAAAGATTTCCAAGTTCTCTTGTTTGCACCACTTTCAAATCTTTATTTATTTACTTATTTCTTGCGTCTAGGATATGTTTATAGTACTGTGATTCTGTCAATTAGAGTGAAGGGTGAGAGACAATGAAGGCGGGATTGGCGTTCAAAAGCTTCTTCCAGTTTGTCCACCACCCAGCTGGATGATGTCGAATCGTATCTTTTCTTTGTTTTATTTGGACCCCTCCTCCCAAAAAGGGCCTGCTTGTAAGCTCACTCTTTTATGCTTTCTGACTATTAAGTGTGTTTATTATGAAAGTTGGGCCTGGAATTTGAAAAATTGACCTGTGACATAATACATCCTAATATTTTCTTTTTTTGGTCTTTTGTAATTTCTCCAAGTCCATTTGAGGAGTTTTTACCCTATACCGGATAAATTGAACTCTAGTTGTTCACTTGAGGATCTCTATACATAGTTGTTCTTTGACTCTTGAGTAATCATCAATACACACCAGTATTTTGTGACCACACCCTACAATTGCTAAATTTAAAAATGGAATTACCGCATTTTCAGACAAGAAAAGTATCCTTGAACCTGATCTCTAACTGAGATCATCAGAGTAACTTTGGGTTCCGAATTGTGTCAGCAGTTTCTGTAAGTCTGGCATTGCCATCACATTGGATAAAAATGCCATTTCCAAGTCGCAACCTCCCCAAAGCTCGTTTCAGATATCCACTTGTGTCCGCTCCTTATAATGAAAACCAAGCTCCTAAGCTTAGTGATGAGACTGGAGAATGTCAAAAGGAACAATCCCTTGTTTTGGAACACTGAATCCTAAAGATTAAGGCAATCAAAAAACTCCAGTTAGGAACCCGTTAAAACATGACATACTAGTCTCCTCCGTGACAACAGAAAGATTGCAAGCATTCTATCACACGTTCCTGTACAACCTGATATTCCCCTCTAATGTTCCATGGGCTGCTTGTCTAGTTAATCCGTCATCAGGAGCCAGCAGGTCAATACAGGGGCGTTCCAGAGATGTCTTCAAATAGAATTACAACAGGATGACATTTCGTGCTACTTTTCCAGAAGCTGGTAATTTGGGGACCAGAAATAAAAGGATGCAGGTGGTTCTTTGCATTCACATCTGATCAGCAAACTTATGCATCTTCATTTGATAAACTGCGGTCCAAAATATGGTATTGTAGCAGACCCCAAGTTTTTTCAATGATACCATGTGAAAGACCATTAAATGCCTGCTTTGCAGCCTCACGACGCGATTCCAGAATTTTAGCATCAGAAAATAGTTCAGTGAGAGCTTCTACAAGTAGAGATTCCGAAACCTGCAGCAGTAAAATTGTCTCAGTAGAGATACACAAAGAATAGAGAATTGGCATAATGAAGATAAACAGTCATGAAACCTATATCAAGAAAAGCAACAGTAATAAAAACTACATATTCTCAATATATTTTACCCCTTAAACAGCAACAATTACTCTGGCATGCAAGTGAAACAGGCTCAATGTGCAAATACATCTCAAGTTCGATAAACTATCATATCATGGCATCACTTTCTCAGAGAAGACTGACAAGAGTTGCCGTGAAACATGCAACATTAATAGTACTACAGAATCCTCAGGTATTTCTAACCTGCAGAACAGAGTAGGGATTTATACGCTGCAATTCTTGTACCATGTGGTTAAAGTGTCCCAAAAAGTGACCTGGTATTGCAGAATAGTGACATCAAGGTTAAAACTCCATAGGACTCTATAGGTGGTTATGGAAGGCATGTCAAGGTAATTCACCTGTCAAAATAGCACAGCCAACAATAGCAGCTTCTGAAATATTGTGACCGGATAAACCAGGTAGGAAAGAACCTCCAATCACCGCTATTGGAGTTAGCCGATAGAGTTTCCTCAATTCACCTTCAAAGGACAATGTCCAAAACAAATTATAAGATTAGAATCTACAAGCTCAATCATACTGAGAAAAATATTTTAAATTGATCATATTTTTAGTAAAACTACCTAATGTATCCACCACGTATATCTGTGTTCCTAGTGAAAGAGTATCAGAGCGAGATCGCAGCGCTACAGTGATTCCTTTCTTTTGCAATGTCTGTGGTGCAGAAAACAGAAATGAGACTCCACATTATTGGAAGAACAAAATAAAGCTTAAGCTCAAAATTGAAAGATGATAGGCTCTAGCTCAGACCAATCATTGTAAACCTTATTGTCATTGGCAGTACACTTAAAACTGGAAATGCATCAAATTCATACCATAGCAATCTGTCGTGCATGCTGAGGATGTCGAGGAACAATAATAGTGAGAATTTCAGGATAAACTTCCTTCAGCGCTTCATGAGCTCTTAGCATGACTGCAGATTTGAAGTTTCAATTAACTATGTACCTGATATATCCATGGCCAAGCATGTCACAATAGAAAATAACTGGATCCCTTGAGGCAGAAAAATCAGTTAAATTGCATAACAAAACCCAAGTGTGCCAGTGGTCTCTAGAACTGCTAGCTTTTAGCTTCAACCTACCCCCTTCCCCAATATGGATTGAACAAGAGGCAATAATCTAATATCACCCTTAGTGTATATTAATGTACTGGGGTATTGAAACAAGAAAAGTCAACTCAATTGCGATTTCTTTTTACATGATAATGTATGTGACATCATGTGAGGGATGCATAACCATAATGTTCATCATCTAAACTAGCAGAAGTTTTTTAATTCCCAAGCTCCTTACCAATCTCAATAACTGAATTTTGAAATATTAGAACAAACATGGACATAATATAAAAATTGAATGACGTCTATGCCGTATATATATTCCAGGACACTCAGTAGAATTTTTTATTCCCCCAAACGAACTGCAGATAACTTCCTCATTTTTTTGATAATACAAGTAAATAAAATCAAACAGTTATAACCACAGACAAAAAGCACTTCCTCATTCTTTTTTCTTTCTTTTCCGTTACTTACATTCTCCAGATACAAACTCGAGCATCATGGTTTTCACAACTGAGACAGATACAATAACAAGCAAAACTTCATGCCTGCTTGACGACAAGAATGTTATCCAAAAATTGTTTTTTCTTTTTATGAAGCTCTTATGTATCATTATTCTTGCTTTCTGTCAATAAAAAAAAATGAAAAATAAAAAATAAAAAAGAGACTAAATTCTGTCTTGACACCAGTTTGTGCATCAAGTTATTTTTGCGTGAAAATATATATATATATATATATATATAAATAAAATAAAATTCTACCATAAATCACAAGTAACTATTTGTGCCCAAAACTTACTCTTTTCTTCACCCTTGTGCAAGGAAGCAGCCATCCACACCTTTCTACAAGAAAGCAGTTCCTGCAATTCTCGTAAGCTATCATCCCCTTCAGAGAGAATGGAGTCATCTACAGCTGAAGAAACCAAGTACACAATATTAATTGAAAAACTCAATTAAAAGTATGAATCCATTGAGTATCAATTTATTTTACAAACAACTAAGGTGAGACAACCATGTCTCCTTGAAAGGATGCTAAGGGCACAGATCAAAAGAACATAAGCGCGAGCCACATATATCACAAATGATAAGAAACAAGAATCTGCTTATCAAAAGTCCACAAATTCAGCTCATTGAGCTTTTCAATTTTATTCTAAAGAAGCAGCTTGGTAGCATACCATATTTGAGGTCACCAGAAAATCCAATTATAGAAGGTGGAGCTTGCAGAAGCTGAAATTGAATTGCTTGCATATTGCTCTGCAACAACAGATGTCATTAGGTATTATCCAGTAGTTCCAAGAGGAGAAAATTTTCCATTTGAAGATACAAGAAATACATACCAACGGAGCTATCAATGAAAACTTGGAGAGAAGTAATGCAGCCAGTGGACAGATTGCCGATAGAGACCAACGTCGAAAAGATTTCACAGAAATCCGTGCATTTACCAATGCCAGTGTAATCTGTATAAGAAAGGGAAAGTCGCGAATATGGTCAACAGACTAGAGGCTCCTAAACCCATATCTCTTGGACTAGTTGAAAGAAAGTCCCCAAGAACAAAGAAATCACTACACAATATTGTGCAATCAATTTATCTTTATATTTTCATGTGTGAACTGTAAAAGGTAAATGAGTCGCTCAGATACCCCATCCTAAAGGAGAACATATTAACTGTAAGTTTGTCCTTTCAAATTAATAAGATCAACATGCATGCATTTTTTTCCCACACTGGATGAATACTTGCTACATGTGCAAGAAAGTTAAAGAAATTTAATTTCATAGAAACATGTAGACAATGTTGCTTCGGTGACACTAGACGGGCAAGATCAAGCAATTACAAAACAGAACAAATTGATTCAAATTTGAGAACCAACATGTAGAGTTATAATTTGAGAACCAATTATAAATCTGTTTCTTTTTTAATCTGACTTTGTCAAATACAAACTTATACTAAAAAGAAACTAAATACCCCATTTTTTGCTGCATCCATAATCAAATTAGGCCAAAGCTCACTTTCCAGGAGTACAAGTACATTCGGCTTCCAGTAACCAAGGAAAGCCTTCACGGCAGCAGGTGTATCAAGCGGGGCAAACTGGTTCAAATATCAATAAAAATGCATCACATAAGAAAGATGAGGAAACTTAATTTTTTTTTCTTAAATAAAGATTATAGGTATAAATCACATCGATTGCTTACCAGTAAACTAAAAAAGAATAATCATGGTAACTGCTGGAAATTCTTTTTAGAAACATACAACGGAAATAGCAAAAATGGTTGGACGAACCTGATATATGACATTAGGAGAGAGCCGACTGTTTACAACCTCACTGCGAAAACAAAGCAAAGAAAACATTGGTGTAGTTTTGCTTTAGTGGAAAAAAAAAAGAAAAAAGAAATTAAACAAAGAGGGAAAATAAGGGAAACTGAATGAGAGCTTTCTGGACTGAAATTGATCTGTTTCGAAAGATACACTTATTACCCCTAGGATTGTAACATAGATGTTTCTGTATGAGATTCTATCTATCTTTTCCTTTCGGAAACAATCAGCCATTCATCATAACAATTGAAAGATCAATCTCAAACTAGTGTTTTTACGTTGTTTCGATGTCACAGACATATCAAGTAACTTCCAGATGACCTTCTTACGTTGCTCTGGAAGCTTATCTAAGCTAACTTTAGTCATTTGCTACTGATTGGAAGTGGTAAAGGCCCTAAAAGATGACAATAACAAAACCTTCAAAATCTGACATTGCAGACATTCTTCATTTCTCTATTAACAGAGCAATGAGGTCCAGATGGATTTGAGCCCGTCTACAGATGTTCATTCTTTTTAGGATATTTGGCCCTGGAGGTCCTCTCTGAGGATGGACACTCAAGTAATGTCCCTATGGTGGGCATACCAAATCCAAAGCTTAACTTAGGTGGATCTTATGCTGCCCATTGTGAAAATGCGATTCACATCTTCATAGAAAAAGAAAATTTAGCTTTTCTTAAAATTTCCCTCGACTTCTCGCAAAGAACACCACAAAGATGCCTCTCAATCACTAACCACAAAGATGCCTTGTGACGTGCAACTCAGAGGCGTCTCAATTCAATAAGTGTAGACACTTAAATGTCCAGCCTGCTTATTTTTTAACCATCTAGAAACAATTATTAGATTGTTTACCGAGCTTAAAATGAGCTCCAAAATGTGGAGTTCGCCATGTTTTTTTTTTCTAAAGTTGAATGCCAGATTGTTCAAAAGGTTAGTTTACGAGATATTCGAAGTTCGCCTAGCGCAATGGATAACAGTATCATATTTCCATTACGAGTGTATATATCCAACAGAATACAGCTCAGAATACAGCTAAGATAAAGATATTCAAATAGTTTTAGTATCATGTCGCACGCATGGTTACACCTCAGGACTGCCATATGGAACCTATGTGCTTTTCGGAAAACACACCTTCACTTAAACATCTGTCGATATATTAGGTGGAGAAGCACAAAGCCAAGATAAAATGTTTTATTGGTAGAATGCCATAAAAGGTGCCTACAGATTTTCTTAGAGACCACAACACCTCAGGAAGCTGCTTGACCATACTGATTTAGTACAACCGAAATTTGGTAATAAGTGACATTAACTCAACCTCCTCATTCAGTTAAGAGTGTAGCCCATCATGCATCATAGGTTAATCAACTACGAAACCTCATACCAAGAGAGGCTCTTGCAGATGTTAAACACATTTACTGCTTGAACTATTTCTTCAGGACCTAGACTCAAAATGTAGATAAGTGGAATATAAGAGAAGGAAGGAAGAGAGAGAGAGAGAGAGAGAGAGAGAGAATTATGTGACCACTGCTACACATTGTGGAAGATACATAACCGAGGACAATAATTTAAGTATTTAACTACATCTTCCAAACTGACTGCTGTAGACTAATGAGAGATGAATGCACACATCATCTGAGTAGAAACCATTCACAAAATTCAAAAGAGAAGTGACCAATGTAAGGTAATGCCCATAGAACAACTAAAAGAGTTTTCAGGTATCCTCACAAAGCGTAGTTTTGATAATCAACTGATTGGGTCAGGTAGATTGGCTATTCTTCAGCTATATCTTATTTTATCAATGCTCGTACAACCAAGCATCATATTATGAACATTGCGAGGCTATCAAGGAGCTGTGCCAACAAAGTTCACTGAAATTTCAAAATGCAACATCAGTTCACTGTCAAGAGAAGAGAGGACCACAAGTGTCTTATAGGGAACCAGGCAGCACTAAATGCTGTAAATTACCAACAACAAATTGGATGCACAAGGAAATAAGCTCCATTAAGTCTAATTTATCTTCTTCTACATATTTCACTCCAGTTGCCCGTTCGCCCAGAATCTTGATTCCATAAGCTATAACAAATAAAATCTCTACCATGTACGGAAAAAATAATTCTTAATTGCCTTCCAAAATGGACATCCTTACGTTTGTTCCCCAACAAAAGGCAGGACCACGAATTTGGAGTTGATATTTGTGTAAGATTAGTCAGATGATTAATACATTTTCAGGGGCCAGACTTCACTTGGAGCTAATAGGTTTAGATTTTATGTGCCAGTACGGTGTATCATATAAATACAAGTTACTTGCATGTAAACAAACAAACTTCAATTACCTTCACAAAAAGCATCCTTACCTAGTCAATAATAAAAGGCAGGACCACGACTTCAGAATTAAAATAAGTATAAGATAACTCTGATGATATTGACCTGTGATTCTAAAACTTTAGATTTAGTCATCAGAACGTGTCACTGCATCCATTCTATGTCCCAATCATCAAGGGGAAACAGATAATAATGATAATATTAAAAATAACGTGCAAACAAATGAGACCCACTCAGAGATTGCTTTAGTTCTATCCTACTAATCTCTTTCCATTTTGGGATTCCAGAGCAATTTGTAGTCTCTCAACTTGAATTGCATTCCATCCACAAAGTCTATCATGAAACTTCCGATTCACATAGTATTACACTCAATGAAACATCTTCTCCAAATTCATCTATACCTAGAAACACTGCTACAATAAAAACTGCGAAACATCTTCTTCAAGATCAAATCGATTAACTCAAAATTGGACTTACAATGCGGACATTGTCGTCGACGTCATCAAAACAGAAACGTCGGGCCGTCTTGTTACACAGCATTTGACAACTGGAATTGCAGCCATTCCTTCGCCTAAACAAATTTAAAATTAAACAAATGAAAATGAGAGTGATATACAGAAATTGACGGAAAAAATTACCAAGCATGGTGAGGTTAAAATTGAAGAGCTGAAAAACCTAGAGAAACAGCGTGGAACCAAACGAGAGGGCCAGGGGGACGAGGAGCAGAGGGGCGACCGAGTCGCTCCGGCCACCGCGTAGAGTGTTCCAGGCCTCGGAATCTGCGCCACCGTAGGTGGAGGCGTATCATCGGCGATGTAGCGTACGTCAAAGCCCGGTAAATTTGGTACAGTATTTCACCTCTTTCCCGCTCCATTTTCACCCAACTGCCTTACTGTGGGGTTCTCTATTATTCAACCCCTTTTACGGTGGGGAATTGTGGACCCCGGTACTACTCGGATCGGGCGGATCATTACGTGCGGCCTTTTTGGCGCGACGTGAAATTTGAAATTTGTGTGTGGTCCTCCACTAATTCGCAAAATCGTATTTTGGTCCACAACAACAATGACATCAACCATTAAATTACTAACATGTCTAAATCAAAAGGTTAAGGCGTTCATGGGGAGATAATCGTTCGATTTAAGGCGTTTCATCAATTTATGATTCGGAATTTGATACAAATGAAATGGTTTAATTCAAGATGTTTATTGGTGTTGGGACAAAAAATAATACTCATAATCCGTATAATAAAGGATTTAAAACCACTATATAAGTTTTTAAGTTACCCTATCCATTTTCAAATGTTAACTGATTTTAAGATGGAAGATCGTGACTTCATTTGATCACTTAAATCTTCCCCAGTTTTATGTATTTATCAAACATTATGTAAAAATCATTAATTGGATAGCATAAGGACATTCATTCACCCGATCGACATGTTATATTGCACTGTTGCACACATCATGTTGATTATTCCTAATTTTTTTATAAAAAAATAAAAAATCTCGACGTGATATTGTTGTCAGATTGTGATGTCTCTCAAAATATTGTAGCTATAGTAATCATTCTTATCATTCACCAATAACTTTTGAGTTTTCACAATAATAATAACTAATTTCGAATTATGTCATTATCAATTTACAACAATCACAATAATAATATAAATTATTTAATAGTTATTATGGTAACCCCTAGTAAATCAATCCACGTACATACATGGAGAGGTTGGATCTAGTATATACGTTGCCTCTGCACCTCAGCATCCATCCTACTTAGCAAGAGCAAGAGAGCAACAGCTCCCCCAAAATTCATTCCCATCTGCTCATAAAGTTTCACATTAATTATATAGCGCACCTATATAATCAATCAATCATCACTGGTAACGAACACCAATACACCCAGAACTAGTGGGGAAGGAGGAGACAGATTGTTGTATATTTACGGCCAACTTAACCCGATTCTGATACTCTCAATGAAGGTTTGTCTTGGTTCTTCTCCATTGTATTTCACTAATTTTTTTTTTTACTATAATTTTTAGTTTTCACATTTATGGAGTGTTGTTGCCTCAAAAAACTCAACTGGAAATTGAAATTGTTATTTACGGTAGACAAGGCCTATGTTCCATCCCCCTGAAGGTGGAAGGAAATTAGGCAAAGCTTAATAAATTACAACGCCCCTGAATGGAAAATTCTGATTAGATTATTTTTCAAACACGGTTTAACTACACATGGTGAATCATTTAAACATTTATTATAGTTCAATGTCTACCAAGTAGATGAAGCATTTTGTAGGTATAATGGCATGGCATCATTTTATTTGACACAGCATCTATTGGAATAATTGAGGGCCGGGACTTCACTATGAGATGTGTCGACAGCCTTAACAATCATCAATACTTGTAAATATGGCCCCGTAAATTTCCCTCAAATTTACTTCATTATACGGGCGTCCCACTGCAGTCATCATAAAGATTTTATCCTTGACTAATTTATTTCCTATATCTTGGGGTATGTTTGTTTCGTTTTTTTAGTGTGTGTTTTTAGTGTGTGTTTTTAGGTATTTTTTGTATTGAAAATATAAAAAATTGTGTTGAAAATGAAAAAAGATATACTGGAATAGAACAGTTATTAATATATTAATTTAAAAATACCATAAAAAAATGAAACAAACAAAGCCTACAAATTAATTAATCATCACTATTCTTTTAGGATTCCATTCATATTGGAAATCAAATAAACGTAGAGCCGGTAGAAAGGGTAATAGCTTCACGTTGGTGCTGTTAAGCGGTAAGTCCCCAACGGCCCAATAATGGTTCGTTTTGATGTAGAGTCGTAGATTCAACAGTATCAGTAAGAGAACCACAACAAATTAAAAGTGCACTCAAATTCCCACATCGACCATCGTCTAAAACAGAATTAGATTAGCCGCATATATAACTCCGTCTAACGAAGCATTAAAGTCATGGAGCTGCGTGGTGGGCGCAAAGCGAACTATTCTTTCGCCTTTTACTAAAGAATACCGTGTGCTCTCCGCAGAAAGCAGCATACACCAATTTTTTTAAAAGGGGTTTTATCTAAAGCCCCGACAATTATAGTGAAATTATTTTCTTCTTATAAATGATTCATGGTTAAATTCAAAAATTTGTTCGAATGGGTTTAATTGAAATTAGGTATATTAACTCGTATTGTTTGATTAATTTGGTTGTTATTATCCTAAACCCTAAACTTTGTGTTGAACGGTAGACTGAAATTCTTAGCCGAAATTCAAAAGTAAATGATAAATCGATCCGCATATATGTGGAGACTACTAAATAGAATTCTTGACTAAAAGAACAAAGGAAGATGCTTTTATTCTTATGATTGAAAACGACGTTGGATAACGCATACATACATGTGTAGGGTAACTAGTAATTATCTCTTAATTTGTCAATTGCGGTGAAACAGAAGATTGTCCAAACTGGCCTCCGAAAAAAAAAAGTACTTAAAAGATCCTGTTTTGATTTAGGCAGATGTCCACTAATCTGAGGCTCCGGTCCGGCCACCTTATTTTGGCCGTGTGAAAAGATTTTATGATCGGCATAATCTCAAACAATCAAAATCAATACACGCAAGCTTCATTAGATACTCCGGAGCCCAATGAAAAACCTCATCATTTGTGTACAAACAAGAAATTCCCCATCCTGTTGATTCCGAGAAGTGTTAAGAAAATGCTTTTAAAATTGTTAGAGAAACCTTTTTTTTTCACCTAAATTTAAAACTGTTGTTTTCAATTTTTTTGGACGTACAGGTGATACTCAGGTAGCACAAATGATCATATGAAGAGAACAAGGACATAGGACCGATATTCTGATAACTTATTAAAGAATCCGGGTAGGAGGCAACCGAAAACGAGAATGTTGAGACAAGCATATTATGTGCCTCCTGAAACTTACAAACTGCAGAAACATTAAATCCTTTGCCCCTCAAAATCCCAACATAAGAGGACCTCTCTATACTTAACTGCAAGCTGATCATCATACAATAGTACTAGAATGGATTATGGATTTGAGTTAGTATTACTACTTGTAGTAGCCTTACTGCTGCTCATGTTGGCTGCGCGAGCAATCGCAAATCATGGAAAAGGCCGTTTGACCCGAAACCTTGGGCGTTTACCACCAGGCCCGAGGCGGTGGCCGGGAGTTGGCAACATGTTTCAGCTTGGCTGGGCAGCCCACCGATCATTTGCGGAGCTGGCTAGTAAGCACGGCCCAATCATGACTCTTTGGCTAGGCTCAATGTGCACGGTGGTGATCTCGTCAAATGACGTGGCTCGTGAGATGTTCAAGAACCATGACGCGGTTCTTGCTGGAAGGAAAATCTACGAAGCCATGAAAGGAGATTTCGGAAACGAAGGCTCTCTTATAACGTCGCAATACGGTCCTCATTGGCGAATGCTGAAGCGATTATGCACATTGGAGTTCTTCGTAACCAGCAGGCTGGATGCGACGATTAATGTTCGTGATAAATGTATTGGCCAAATGGTTAAGTACATTGAAGAGGCCGGGGGTTCGGGTATTGGCGCCGTTGATGTTGGGAGGTTTTTTTTCTTGATGTCATTCAATCTGATTGGAAATCTCATGTTTTCAAAGGATCTGTTGGAACCCAACTCGGAGAGAGGTGCCAAGTTCTTTTACCATGCTGGAAAAGTCATGGAATTCGCAGGCCAGCCTAACATCGCTGATTTCTTTCCCACATTACAACGATTTGATCCACAGGGTTTAAGGAAGAAGACACAGTTTCATGTCAAAAAAGCCTTTGAGATTGCTGGATTGTATCTAAACGAAAGGATGCAAAGTTTGGATACTTCTGGAGATGGACAAAGAGGAAGAGATTATTTGGATGTTCTATTGTCATATCGCGGGGATAATGTTGAAGGGCCTCCTGTTTTCTCTTCCCGAACAATCAACGTTATTGTGTTTGTAAGTTTACCTTCATTATCCACGTTGAGTATTTTCATTAAGTCCATATATATTGCCGATTTATATCTTATCAAATTGTAAACATGCATTTAGTTTGGTTACTTTAGGTTCATGTTTTAATAATAAGTGTCAATCCTTCTTTATTTTTATTCTTTTTTTAAGGAAATGTTCACAGCTGGTACAGATACAACAACTAGTACACTGGAGTGGGCGATGGCGGAGCTTCTACACAATCCAAGAGTTCTTGAAAAGGTACAAACGGAGTTAAGAAGTGTCGTTAGTCCAAATGCGCGGCTCGAAGAGAAGGACCTTGATAAACTTCCATATCTTAAAGCAGTAGTGAAGGAGACGCTAAGGCTTCATCCGCCACTCCCATTCTTGGTTCCCCATATGGCAATGGATGCTTGTAACATGTTGGGTTACCACATTCCGAAAGAAACACAAATTTTGGTTAATGTTTGGGCTATTGGAAGGGATCCTACAGTGTGGAAGGATCCTTTGGAATTTAAGCCGGAGAGATTTTTAGAGTCGAAATCGTTGGATTTTAAGGGACACAATTTTGAGTTCATACCATTTGGTTCTGGGAGGCGAATGTGCCCGGCAGTGCCCCTTGCCTCTCGAGTGCTGCCAATGACTTTAGGTTCAATTCTGCACTTGTTTGATTGGGTTTTGGCTGATGGGATCAAACCAACAGAGTTGGATATGGGAGAGAAAATGGGGATATCTCTAAGGAAGGCAATCCCTTTGAAGGCTATACCAATTCCATACAAATGTTTAGCTTGAAAATAAATTGCAAGTATGTTCATATATATATCTAGTGCAAATAACTGCGATAGGATTAGGATGTGTGCCTATGTGTATCAAAAATAGCAAAAGCCAAATAGTTTATGATGTGTCGAGAAGAAAGGAAAACTTGAATCGGCCACTCTATCCTATTTTAAAAGTTAAACCAATGTGCTTCAAAGAAATAGTTCCTCCGCTCCAAAAAAATAAAAAAATAATATATAGATATTTTACATTTTTAATTATGAATTATAATAAAAAATTCTTTCTGTTTTTTTTTTTAAATCACAATGAACTTTAATACGTATACGTCTTAATACCAATTTTAAACTCAACATGGATCAGTTTTTGTAATTAAAAAAATATAACTTTTAATTTACTATTCTTGTGAGACAAAAAGAGTATTATCCCTATTCCAAATTAACTGTAACTACACTTTAGGACAAGAAGAGTTATCCCCCATCAAGGACAAAACCCATCCCTCACTTTTGCGCCAACAGAAAGAGTCAAAGATTCCAATCTTAAAAATACAGACACGGGAGATGTTTTTCAAGATTCCAGAGCCAGCAGTTGAGCTCTTTTTTTTTTAGCTCTATCTCCTAAGTATTTCCTTCAACATGATACCACTTCACATCTAGCAAAATTAATTCATTTTCCTTCGACGGAGTATCTTCTTGTTCATACAATATATATAGTTTTCTTGTCTTTATTGGACACTTTTTTTTTACTATAGCAAACATTTCAAGTTCAACAGCTTGCGAAATTAATCGTATTTTATGTTGTATTTTATATTCTGTTAGACATCACATTATTATTCAATTTTCTATTAATGCTTGTCATGAAGAAGGATAGCTCTTCGAATATTATCACTAGACCACATTTGAGTCAAGTTAGTGATTAGATGTAGACTCAATAATGCCTCACACCAATGTGTCTAATTGTCAGATTGTATCATACCCAACGTCATTTATCTCGCCAAGTCCAAAAACTACATATATATATATATATATGTTGTTGGTACTAAAAACTGAATTATCATCGTTGAAACAAAAGAGTAGCATATTTATTGATCTCAATTGAACTACTCCATCCGGTACTTATTATAAGATATTTCGATTTGTTTTAAGTTTTACTTGATATATTTTTTTGATTGAGGAAAAAGTCTTAAAAATATATTTTTACATTCATTGTTTCTCCTAATTATTAAGAAATATTTTAAAGGTTTTTTCTTAATCGGAAAAATATATTAAGTCAAACTTATAACAAATCAAAATGCTCTATAATAAATACGGGAGAGAGTATTTGTTTGGGGACAAAGATACTATTTGAGGAACACAGTCCTATTAAATTTAATAGTGAGAGAGATGCTATTAAAAAAAAAAATTACAATAAAGCTCGATTGATCCGGATTTGATATATGATACTATGAGTATGAGGTAATATGATTTGCTTGGTTGTCAGTTTGTCACCACTCAGCCATTGACCCGCTTGAATATGGAATTCTTTTAAGGCCGGCAAACCCATAATGCATACACGGGATCATTTGGTGAAACTATCAACTGGGAAATTGGAATTCCGGTTTACAGCGAGACAAAATCAATACGCATCCGGGAATATTGCTGGAGATACCTCCCGATAAACGACAAATATGCCGCAAACAAACAGGAATGCACATCATTGGTAGACTTTAAGATCCTCCACCACCATTATAATCTAGATGCGACTCTTGGACTGTAGCACCAAAAGTAACAAGTTCCGATATAGTTAGTATCAAGCTCTTCATGTTTTAATCACAAATTTTCTACAACTAAACTTTATCAAAGCTTCACTATAAGCAAAATGACAAAAGATCTTTTAAAATACTTTAGTGTTACACTGATCGGAAAGAGTATTAACTAGTCTTCTATTATCTTGTTTTATTCTTTTTTTGATACATTAATATTGTTCGGTACAAAGGAGACTCTAATTACAGTTTCACTCAGGACGTGAATTGCCAATCCAATGTACGCCTATGCGATAGCTAATAGGTAAAAATACTATTCTCCCGTCCCAGAAAAATAGTCCAGTTTAAAAATGTACAATTTTTTTAATTTGGTCAACACACTAAATGCGCAACTCATTTTATGCCCCTAACTTCCACTAATGTCTCTTCTAGTTATTTTTATAAAAGTTAACTATATATGCATTTATTTTACAACTTAAATTTGATCAAAATTCTTATCTTAAAAAATATTGACAATAGATCTTGATGGAAAGATCTCGTTACGTAGAATAATTTGATAAATAATATATTTTTTAATTATTCATGTATTAAAAGATATAATCATTTAAAAATGGGAGAAAACTAAAAAAAAATTAAAAATCAAAGGAAGTGGACCTTGTTTTACTTACCACTACTCTTTTGGATATTTAAGTCATTTTCAATTCAATTAATTTTAACTTTTGTGAAATTAGACTATTTTTTTGGAATAAATTTTTTTATTAAACTGGAGTATTATTGTAGGACGGAGGGAGTATGTAAATTTGATTCTTGAGATTTATGTCTTCTTTTCACAAACCAATCCCATTTATTCTTAACCCTCAAGCAAAATGTATAACGACAAAAAAAAAAAAAACCCCTCAAATAGAATCACTCTTTTATCTCTTTGGACCTCAATGCCACCCAGTGGGCAGGGACCAAATCAACGGTTAGCTCAGCTGCTAATAACCCCAAGAAACGTATTATAAAGTTAATTAATAAATATATGTCTTTCTACTATATGCTGCTCCGGCACTTTTTGATAGTCAAACTCCTAACAAACGATATTACTAATTAAATGTACACGTTGTCACAAGAAGAAAAAAAAAGGGTAGATTTTCTTTGTACACACTTTCAACATATATTAATACCCGGAGCTTCTCAGTACTTTAGATTCCGGCTAAGTAATCAAATCAAGTAGCAAAAATGGAGTGGAATTGGTACCAATTCGTATGGTGCATTATTAGCTGTTTGATCCCAGCAATACTCTTCAACCGCCGCCGCCTCAGCCGTCAAAAGTCAAACAACAAGCGGCTGCCACCAGGACCGCCGGGATGGCCAGTGTTCGGTAACATGTTTGACCTCGGTGACATGCCACATAGAACCTTAGCAAGACTGAAACAAAAGTACGGTCCCGTCGTTTGGCTGAGGATCGGAGCAATCAACACCATGGTGGTGCAAAGTGCCGATGCAGCGGAGGAATTCTTCAAGAAACACGATGTCGTCTTTGCCGAAAGAACAGTGACGGAAGTCATGAAAGCCCATGATTTCTACAAAGGTTCGGTGGCGATAGCTCCCTACGGAGCTTTCTGGCGCGTGATGAAACGCATCATGACCGTGGAGATGCTGGTTCAGAAGAAAATTAACGAAACCGCCCATGTCCGGCGCAGATGCATTGACCACATGTTGACCTGGATCGCCACAGAGGCTGACGCCCCATCATCATCAACAGGTATATTTCTTACTTTCTCCATACAAATTAAATTAAAAGTGAAAATTTAAATTAAATAATAATTTTGAAACAGATAGAGTATTAAATATATATTGTCTTATTATTATTGTTTTTTTTTTTGTGAAATGAGTCTTATTATTGTTATTGTATACTGTGAGGCATCTTTGTAACACAATTAATTATTGGTCGAATGGGAAAAAAGGAATTCAAGTGGCAAGGTTTGTGTTCCTTGCATCGTTCAACATGCTTGGAAATCTGATGCTTTCCCGGGATTTAGCCGATCCGAACTCGGAGGAGGGATCGGAATTTTTTGCGGCCATGGTGAGCTTGATGGAGTGGGCTGGTCATCCCAACGTCGTTGACTTGTTCCCCTGGCTCAAGTGGCTTGACCCACAAGGACTCAGGAAGAAATCCGATAGGGACATGGGGAAAACCATGCAGATCGTCTCCAAATATGTAAAGGAGCGAGTTGAGGAGCGACGTCGACGACAGGGTAATCAGGGTGGCCAAGAAATAAGGAAAGATTACTTGGAAGTATTGCTGGATTACGAAGGCAATGGAAAAGATGAGCCCGACAAAATTTCAGATCACGATCTCAATATCATTGTCATGGTACGCAAAATTATTGAGTTCCCTGTACTATATTTCGATTTGGTCAAATTGCGACAAATTTCCAATCACAACTGTTTGAGAACAAGTCATTAATTAATCAATGTTGAATATTCGCCTACCCCGAGTACAATAATTCAAAGGTAATAAAAATGACTCCACGAATCACATGATACACAACCAATGAAATTTTTGTAATATTAACATATTATATACGAATTCACTGTTTTTATCACTAATATATATAATTATTAACACTCATACTCACTCTGTTCACAAATTTCCTTTTCTCTGTTTGAATTATTTTAATTCAACAAATTTAACTATATGTTTGGACGAACGGGACATAATATAATTAAACAGACAATCAATAATTGATTTATCAATAATGATGAAATGGGTTCAACCGATATGCAGGAGGTGTTTCTGGCAGGTTCAGAAACGACGAGCGGGACAACCGAATGGGCCATGGTTGAGCTCTTGAGCAATCCAATAGTCATGTCTAAGCTGAAAGATGAACTGAACGAGTTAGTCGGAGTTGCTAACAAAGTAGTAGAGAGCGACATTGATAATCTCAAGTACTTGCAAGCAGTGGTGAAGGAAACACTTCGATTACATCCTCCAATTCCTTTCCTAGTTCCCAGAAGAGCCACTCAAGACACTAATTTCATGGGTTACGACATTCCTAAGAACACGCAAGTGTTTGTGAACGTTTCGGCTATTGGAAGAGACCCGGATGGTTGGGAGGATCCGGAATGTTTCAAGCCGGAAAGATTTTTAGGCTCGGGGATTGATTTCAAGGGAAATCACTTTGAGCTGTTACCGTTTGGTGCTGGACGAAGGATTTGTGCGGGTATTCCTTTAGCTCATCGGATGCTACATCTTGTATTGGCATCTTTGGTTCACGAATTCGATTGGAGCGTTCATAGTAGCGTTGCTAATAATGTTAGAGACACGAAGGAGAGGATGGGTGTAGTTGTCAGGAAAATTGAGCCCTTGATTGCAATTCCAACACCCAAACAATTGGCCACTTGAAGCCAATCTTTCAGCACATATTACTTTGAAATGCTTCATCACAAGCACTTTCATAGCATATACAATATAGTTGATTGAAATAACTAACATGTACGTTTTTATCATGTGTAGCATACAATTACAATATCATGATGATATCATCATATGACCTTAGTTTGAATTTAACTTATGATCAACCTTACTAGTGCTTTTTTTTTTTTTTTGTCTGTGTTGATATATGCTAAATTATAAGGTAAATAATAATAAATACCATATCACGAAGTAGTATAAAAGTTGCCCAAATTCCAATTATGTTGAAATGGTTCTCCATTAGACTACGAATGGCATTATGGCTTTTGGGTCAAAGCCCATGATAGAAGTAGACTGATTCTTATAGGAATTGAATTGCTTGAGCCCGAGTGGGCTACTTCGGCCAATCCAGCACTAATTAAGGCCGTCGTCTTTTTTATAATTAACTTAGTTTAGGGTTTTTGTTTGTTTGCTTTTGGTCTCTTTTGTTATTTGTTGTTGTCCTCCCACTGCTGGCAATTCCGACTAGTGCACGAGGACGGAACTGAATGATGATTTGCATTGTAAATCTATGTTTAGATTATTTTTTTAGTGTGTGTTTTTAGGTATTTTATATTGAAAATGTAAAAAAATGTATTAAAATATGTAAAAAGTTATATTGGGATGGGACAATTATTATCATATTATTATAAAAAAAACCAATTGGAAAAACGAAACAAACAGGTGTAAAAGGGTTTGCCAAAATGGCAAAAATCAAAATGCTACTGAAGAGTTATGATGTAAGTTGAGAGAGCAGAAATCGTTGTACAACAAACCGAAGAAACATGCAAATTTATAATGTCAAACAGGTGAAGAAACAACTTTAAATTTTTTAGCCAACTTTCTCACTCATCAAAATATTTATTATGAGCGAGGAGAATTAATTATAGTTGTCGATGTTAGACATTCTGCAATATGGGGAAAAAAAAAAAAAAAGACAGCAAACATATTTGAATTGGTTGCCTACCAGTATTGTGTAAATCTTCTGGCTAGGAATTTATAGACGTAAATCGGTAAATGGACGAAGGTTTTCCACCATTAAAAGAAGATGCTTTTCAGTACTATATCGCAGTACGCAGGTGATTATTATGAAACATGGGGCATAATGCATACCGATTAATTGTTTGGTGGCTTTTGTGCAGCTCGCGTTCAGCATGCCCAAGTATAAAATGATATTTGTGTTGATTGAAATTAAAGTGTTGGCGCCACCATGTTTTCTTTTTTTTCTTTTCTTTTCTTTTTTTTTTCAGTAGTGAGTACAAATAACAAAATGAACAAGGAGACAGAAGTCCATTTCAAATAGTGAATTCTTGTGGAGATAAACGGAGTTGGGGCCATACAATACAAGAATAATTGCACCCCTTCGTTTTCTTAGGTCGGGGACCCTACTGCGCCTAAGGAGTCGACTCCGAAATGATGAATAGGGGGTCAAAAAGTTTAAAAACAACACACATATGACCTGCTAGAGCACCTTAATTTTGGAATGAGCGATCGTGTTTATACTTTAAAACTTTAAAGTACGTACTTACGAGATTTGAGTGAGTCAAAATGTTAAATGCATTATTCCAGAATCCAGATTACCGTGAAATGAAATTCGATGCCGGAAAACTTGTCATGAATACTCTACTCAATCGCAGATTAAATCTTAGTTATGAATAAAGTGATGAGTCAAGTAAAGGATCCCTAATTCAATCTATCCGATGTGGAGAAACGAAGAAGATTTGTAATACTCATTCTGTCAAAAAAGATCATATCTTATTGTTGAACAAAATAATAGTATAATACAAATTTTTTTGAGATGAATGGAATATTTAGCACAGGTACATGCTCTAACGACTAGTTCTATTTCATGATAAATAATTGATATCGATGAGTTTTTTAAGTGGATACAGATCATGTGTAATGATGCACTTATTCCTTCGTATAAAACTTGGTTGAACACAAAATCACGTATACAACAAGGTAGTAAGAATCCTTACTTAGTTCTAAGAGTTTATACTACCTCTATCTCAAATAGTAGTCCACATCGAGTTTTGAGATTTTTATTAAAAATAGTATAAATTTTAAAACTTAATATGAATTATTTTTTTAGAAAGAAAGAGTAGCATACAAGACTGAGTCAGTTCTTCATTGTTAATGTCTTTTGGATTTCCGGATAATAGTCCCATATATCTTTGAATTTATGGATATTCAAACGTCAAGGGTTTTCTGGCACCATTACTCCGGTGGTTCTATTTCTATACATCACAAGTTCATTATGCAAAAATCTTCTTTCTTTTTTTTTCCCTTCACGCATATAGTAAGTGTATTTAATCGCAACAGTAACTAATTTATTCGTTGAATTGTAAGTATTTTGATGGTTTGAATGAAATTTACATACCCAATCTTTGATTAACGATGAATGAGCTAATACCATTTTGTTAGATACGATTCCTCTTTTAAGCTTGTTGAGTCTGGTACATCGTCCAAATCCCATGAATTGGCAACTTTGTAGCATTGGCCATGGCTCATCAGGGACAAAATTTCAGACACTTTCATTCTCTCGTGGACTTCAGTTCTTCTTTTTTTTTTTTTTCTTATTTTTTATTTATTTCAACATGGACTTCAGTTCTAAATATGCAATGATGCACCACGAGGCCCACATGCGTTCCACAAAAAAACATTTTTTTATTCATAACCTTATTCCAGCCACATAATAACACATGAACATTTTACGTGCTACATTGTTTCACTGCACTTGTGACTTGTGGATTGTTACAATAATTGAAAGCCAAGCCATAACATTATATATATGCACTTCAAAATGTGACCAGGAAGCATTCATCGGTGCACTGAAATATAACACGTCTCTTTAAAGAATGGAGTGGACGTGGAATTATTCGTCAAACCCAGTCGTCACTGCTTTTTCAGCAGGTATAATCCTTCTGCTAGTTCTATACATCAAAGGGAAGAACGGTGCTTCCAAAAGAAGGCCCCCAGGGCCGCCAGGATGGCCGATTTTCGGCAACATGTTCGATCTCGGCGACTTGCCACACCAAACTCTTTACAATTTCCGGAGCAAGTACGGTCCAGTCGTCTGGCTACAACTCGGATCAATCAACACCATGGTTGTTCAGAATGCCGTATCGGCTGCCGAACTGTTCAAAAAGCACGACGTGCCATTTTGTGATCGTAAGGTACCAGACGCCCTGACGGCCTTCCAGTTCAACCAGGGGTCATTGGGGATGAACACTTTTGGCGGGCATTGGCGCGTGCTGCGACGCCTGTGCTCCATGGAGTTTTTAGTCAACAAAAGAATGAACGAGACCACTGATTTACGGAGGAGGATCGAGGATAATATGATACGTTGGATTGAGGAGGATTCCGCAATGTCAAAAGCTCAGGGCGGGACTGGAGCGGTGCAGCTCAGCAGGTTCCTTTTCCTGATGGCTTTCAACCTGGTTGGTAATCTTATGTTGTCCAGGGATTTGTTGGACAGCAAGGATCCTGAAAGCAGGGAATTTTTCGACTCCATGAATGAGATTTTGGAGCTGGCTGGGACGCCTAATATTGCTGATTTTCTCCCATTCTTGAAGAAGCTTGATCCGCTGGGAATGAAGAAGAGGATGATTGCTAACATGACTAAAACAATGAGGATTTCGTCTAGGTTTGTGCAGGAAAGGCTAGACCAGAGGAAAGCTGGCAAAAAGAGTGACAAGAAAGACTTCTTGGATGTTATGCTGGAGTACCAAGGTGATGGTAAGGACGGCCCTGATCATTTCACAGAGCATCAGATCAACATTGTCATCATGGTAAAATTGTTACATTAAAAGTGATATACACACAATCTTCTGATTAATTCAAGTTGCTAATGAATTTTTTTAAATGTCAAATTCATGTTGCAGGAAATGTTTTTTGCTGGATCAGAGACTACTAGCATCAGTATTGAATGGGGTTTCACCGAGCTGCTTCGCAACCCGCATGCCTTCAAGAAAGTCAGGGAAGAAATTGACAGAGTTGTGGGAACAAACAGAGTGGTTGAAGAGAGTGACATGGAAAACCTTCCATATCTTCAAGCTGTGGTGAAGGAAACGTTCCGTTTGCATCCAGCTCTGCCTTTGCTGCTTCCAAGGAACACCATGGAAGACACAGAATACATGGGCTACCTCGTTCCCAAAGGCACCCAAGTTTTCGTCAACGCGTGGGCTATCGGAAGAGATCCCGACTACTGGAATGACCCTCTGAGCTTTAAGCCCGAGAGGTTCATAAACTCCAGTGTGGAGTACAAAGGCCAGCATTTCGAGCTGATTCCGTTTGGTTCTGGAAGGAGGATTTGTGTGGGATTCCCCTTGGCTCACCGTGTGGTTCATCTTACTTTGGCTACTTTAGTTCAGGCTTTTGACTGGGATCTTGGTAAAGGTGTCAAACCTGAAGACATTGATCTGGAAGAAAGGCTTGGATTGACACTGAGGAAAAAGAATCCCCTCAAAGTGATCCCCAAGAAGCGCCTTCATGTCAAGTGAGAGCGTCATACATATATAATTCAAGTTAAAATCAGTGCTGCTGCTGGCCTGTGAAATAAACAAGCTTACACAAAATCAGCTTCCACAAACTTAGTAGCATTAATCTTCATGAAATGTACTCGTAATTCTATCGTTTCACTTATTTAAATGTTTTGACGTTTAATTTTGGCCATCTCCAGTCACGTTTGGATGACTTATGTTCCTTATAATCATATTAATAACAACTACATAAGCTGACAAAGTGATGGTTTTTTAAAGCTCAATACCCAAAGAAAGGCGAAGACATTCTTCTATGCAACTGAAGAACCTCAGACAGATTTGAGGTTCTTCAGTATCATCTCTAACTGAACTATCTTTCATCTATTCGGTTGATCTGTCCAAGAAGCTCTCATCAGATAGAGCATTGTCCTGAGCTATAGAATTGCTTAGTAGAACTCACAGAGAACAAGGACTTTGCCATGTAGATATGTCACTGATTTGATCTCTTAGCTGATCAATAAGAATTTTGAGGTATTTGTTTCTGTCAGCAAGCCTCTTTCTTAAGGCCAAGGCTTGTTCTTCCAGATTCTCGATTTCAGGTTGGTCATCGGGAGAACCGGATCCAGTAGGCAAAACCTGTTCAGAATTAGAAATAGCAGAGAGGACTGAACGCAGAGCAGCCACGGACGTTTTGTAACGGAATCGAGCCTCCTCTAGGGCCCCATCGGCGTCATCAAAGGGATGCAATGGCGAAGAAGATCCCGATGAAATGCCGTCGCCGTGGGAAAATTGGTGCCCGTTGTCCGGACTATCTAAAGTCGAAGCAGTTGAATTCGGATTGACTGACCATACATTAGGTTTACAGAGCTCGTGGTTCATGGCGGAGAGAATCTGGGATGCTGATTCAATTGTGTCTTCTAAATGCCTTTCTCCATCTTTCGCTAATTCGTGGATGGTTTTGATCGGAGCTGCCGCTGAAACCCCAACGCCGGCGCCGATGATCCTTGATCCTGCCTTGTCGTCCATCCTGAATGTAAGCGTTTCCTCTCGTTTCATAGGGCGTATGTATATTTGTTTCCAGTTGCATTACAAGCACTCGATGTCCCATTAAGGTTTGTGTCACGCGCCAGGGGTCGGAAGGATGGCCGGAAAACAGAAACGGAGCAATAGATGAAGATCGGGAAATTTTAGGGTTCGAAATTGGGGAAGAAAGAAGAAATTGGAATTTTCCAATTTGATGATTAATTTTACAGACCCAGGGACTATATATAGTCCACACATTTCTGAAAATGACACTCTAACCCCTATAATTTTTAATCCTTACAAATAAGTCCAGGGCATTACAGTTGCCAGTCGGTCATATAATCAGCCCATTGGGCTAAAGCGTGGGTATGTTTCTGTTGGCTTCATGTAACCTAAAATAGGCGATGTTTTTAATTAATACCCAAACGGAGAAAGGTTTTTGCCCTCTGGAGCCAATTATGCCTTCTTTATCGCAGCAAAAGCTGCAGTTTCTCGTTTCTGCAGTGCTTTTTGCCAAGCAAAGAAAACACGTGCAAAAGAAACTACATCAATGAAAATTTTACAAAAGATATCAAAGATTTCAAGCTTTTTTCCTGGATAGAAGTACTGAAATTTACCCTTACAAAGATTGAAGTGATAAAAAATGACTATTTACATGAACCATTTCCATGAAGTAACCCAGCTAAAAATGACTAGACCCTATTCCACAGCTTTTGTGCTATGCTCTAAGTACTTCAAACAGAGTACCTTTGTAGCTGGATACATAAGCACGAAATTCCTCAGGGAAAGGAATATCAGCAAGACAGCAACAATAATACAGGTTCCATGTTAACATTTAACAGTATGCACTGTAAAAGCAAATACTACATATATTCATTGATCATGCTATGAGAATTATTGATCTTGTCATACAGATAGACATCAGATGGTCTTTTACACGAAGAATCAAGGAATGATGGTCTTTCTTTATGTTCTTGACAATACCTTGAAATGTAAGTTAAGCCCATGAGAAGTTCTGTAGTCGCTGCTTCTGTCTTAACTTGGTCTGCAAAGTAAAGGGTCTGAACTAGAAGCACGTTTGTCCCAGGAGTCATATGCTGCTTCTCAAAATTTCGCTCAGAATGCCATTTAATTGTGCTGTAAGCCAGTGGGAGTAACCAATCCAGTATCCTCGAAGATATCAGTCTCCACTCCGCTGCAAGGGCAGCATCATAGACGGATGATGTATAAGTTTTTGTAAAGAGTTTCAACTTTTTCCTCAATGAGGCTCTGATGCTTGCTGGCAACATATTGTACAGGTCATCCCTAGCATCCATACTGATCAAATGTGGTGCTGCTATGAGCTTCTCAATTAATATGATGATATTAGCATAACGGAGAGTCAAAGCAGCATGGCCTAGGGTAGATGGAGAAGGGATTATAATTTTATGACTAAAATTTGGGAAGATTACTCTTGATGAAATTGTACCCTTGCTCGGCTGAGAATAGGTGCCCATGCACCTCATTTTGTTCATCTCTTGGGTGGAAACACCATTTGAACTTAGAATATCACTGATTGAAGGCAAGGTCGTTGCTAGAACAGGTGAATCACTACTACCTGGCATACACCCTTTAAAAGGTCCAACACGAGCTAACCCTATGCTTTTGACCTGCTGATGTTTTCCACCGAAAACCATTGAAGTTTTCCGCCTGTGCAACTTTCTATAATTTGTCCTATTCTTCTCACCAGCAGACTCCAAATTTGAGGAATTTCTCCCCAGATGAGCAGAGTAGCACCTAACTTGATTTCTCTGAGACGGATGACTAGAAGACTGTAATGAAGCAGACAAGGAACTGCTACGGACCAGACAAGATGCACTATCTGGGAAACGATCCAGAACTTTATCACCAGCCTCATTCTTGTCTACCCCACGCACAAGCTTGATCCTTGCAAATATAGTGAAAATTGATCGAAGCAGAAGCCTGACAGTATAGTCATAAGTGCGTACCCATGGAGACATATCACGGAGATTCTTGATTTCCTGGCGTTGCCACATAACCTTCTGCTGAAATTCATACAGTTTCACGTGGTTCGGCTCAGGGTTAGCCCGCATTCGCCTCAAAGTTTGCTCGAGCTCCGCAAGTACCTCTAATTCCTGATACAGCTGTGATGTAGCAGCGACAAATCTCTCCATCTTCTTAACCTTCCTCTCCATCTTCTTGAGCCGATATTCCCACCTAGACCATTTAAGATTAATCTCACCAGGGTCCTCAAATACTGGTTTAAGATTATGATAGGTAGGGTCATCACATTTCCTTCCAAGTAATACCACGGCCCTCGCCACACATCCTAAATTCTCCATGACTTCCAGTACAGCAAGATCCATCAAATAATCGACATCTTCAGAAACAAACATTTTAATACCAACCGAATTTGCAAATTCTTCCTTCAACCTAATAATCTCCCCGTCTTCCAGGCAATGCCACAAATTTGCCAACTTAGACATTAAGCTGGCAACTTCAAATGACAAAATACCAATTTCAGGCCCCGATGCTTGGCTTTTCCATGGGGACCCTTTCAACAGACTACGAAGCAAGTCTGCCATGCCTCACCTGCGTGTACACGGCGCCAGAGGCTCAAAGTAATCCAGATTCCAAGTGCCCTCAATCCATTTCTCTTCCCCTGTTTTGCAAATAGAGACGTGATCAAAAAATCTGGACGCCCAGTAAAATGTCACTGGAGATACACTTCTCGAGGCTAGGATTATGAACAAGAAGAAGATTTTTTTCTTAGCGCAACATTCATCATAGCTAAGCCTTCAGCAAATTAGTACTACAAAAGTTCGTTCTTTCCCATATCCATTATCCCTTTCACCTTATCAGCAAAGAGCTTCGAATATATTCCAATCCAAATTAGTGAATCAATTGTTAGGTACGGGAAATCAATCATAACCATAAAATTGTAAAGGAAAATGTTAAAAGATTTTACCTTATTTGGCTAGGTATCATTCATTGCAAGAAAAGATGAACACAAAAATTTGAGTAAATGATTCTAATAAAATCCCAAGATCTTAAGAGTCATATTCAAGCAATTCTTAATGTTTTTGCAGGAATTAAATAGCAACCCAGTTGCGTAAAGATCACTTCCAATTCAGTAATGCAGCAGGCAATTAATAAATCATGCCCCAACCCTTAAAACAAAAGAAACCAGCAAAGAATCCGCAAAAAAAGGGAGAAACTTACAGTTGATTGATGCAATTATCAGCAGTAGGTCTGCTGCCTCATCTTTATTTGAGAGAGAAAAGGGAGCCTGAGCTGAAGGGAAAGAGTGGTGAATTATGATAACTGATAAAGACTGAGATTTTATGAAGGCTAATTATAAACGCCATAGGCCATACCATATCGTAACCCTACAATCATAGCAAAAGTTATTATGACTCGTTCTAGAATTAGATGGGCAGCACATGGACAAAATGAAAAACAGGCCAAAACTCGGAGCATTCAAAGCGAATCACTACGTAATACTATTTCTAAGGTATTTTTGGAATTATTCTCGACCTGGGTTTATGCTTTTTTACACATCTCGAGAAAGTAGTAATACCACTACCAAACTAGGCCAGATTCTTGACCAGCCTCCCCACCAAAGAAGATAAAAGTATTTTTTTAAAAAAATTTATTTACAAGGTAAAGAAACAATTTTTCCTGCATTGTTTGTAGATGTCGTCTTGCTTTTAGTGTGAGGAGAACTTTTTGGAGTATATGCTTTTTGATAAGTTTGATGTTTAACGTTAAAGCCAAATCGAAATCTGCCTACTGAACTCTCATTGGCGCCATTGAAATCTTCTCCAAAAAAATTCCAGTTGGTTCGTTTTGTTGGATTGGAGTAAAAATGAGTAGTACAATTTTTCTGCATTGAAGTGAACTACTCTATAGTAATCCCCTTTGAGTCCTCGACCATTTTGTTCATTTCCCGTTTTTATTTTGTTGTTCTTTTTCTGAAAAAACCGAAGTTGAAGAAGAGTATTTGTCCTGTATTTATTATTTAGTAAATGGAATGTTTGTTATCTCCTTCCTTTGCGGTAGTAATATAGATTGGGGTTTGAAAATTTAGAAGTTAGTTCCCACATGTTCCAACTATAAAAACACCAAATGTTAATTCTTTTTAGATAAAGGAGTTAAAAAAAACGTGAATGAAAATGGAATTTCGCAATAGTAATTTTATGGAGTCTTCCGTTATTGAGCAATTATTAAAGTGACTAGATGAATCTCCGTCAGGATTGAAATTGAAACTGTGACTATAACACGATACGATCGGTATTTCTTACCCACGATGATTAAAACATTTATCTCCTTCGTTGTACCAAAAAAAAAAAAAAGTGACTGGGATCGTCATAATTATAGCGGGTTATAGTTGGGATTGTCATTTCTTCTGTATCAGGTGCAAAGCTTTAGACTTTCAAATCCTCTATACAAAAGTTCTTCCCTTTTGTTAGTTTCTTTTTTTCCCTTTTCCCAAAGTATATTACTTACTCCAATAAAGTACTGACTGGGGAGGAAAATTTGTTTCAATTTGGTGGGCTTTTGTTATGTTTTGTGCTGCTTTCCTTGCGTTAAAGTCAAATTTCTCGTGCCTCCATCTTACTTTTCTTAAGTGCTAAAGTAGTTTTTCAGTGGTTAGATCTTAAAGATTTCTACCATGTACAAACCGGAACTACTATAACATAAGCCAACAACTAAAATTTAGTATGATTTTAAGATTTGGTTGCATTATTTCCATTGTTCTTATCCATGGACAGCAAACCTACAACAACATTTACATAAGCCACCATTGACTGCAAGTTTATCTTGTTCAATGCTTCATTTTGCTCCATTTGGAAGAGGAACTAGGAAGTTTGTTTTATCTTCATGCATTTACGCATTACTCAGTCAATTTGCCTTATTCGAACGGTGTAATCTTCGTTACGATCAAAGAATCCAAACCAGCCAAAATGCCAAATAGTACATTGCATCATTTGATAATATTTAATGACTAATATTCACATCCATCCAGTTTTTGGGGGGTAAAAATAAATTAAAATAAATTAATCCTGTAATTATCATGATGATGCGATCGAAACTCCACATTTCTATAAATTTCTATGTGAAACATGTTTAGTTTAGAAAAGAACGACAGTGAAAATGGGCCCATTAAGATGATGGGATTGAATTGCTTCTGTGGTTTGGGTGAAGTATTAATTATTGGTCTTTGACCTCAGACTTTCTGTTTCTGTAGCATTTCATAAGCTAAGCCCGTAATGGAGTCGTTTGTTGGGCTGCCGTAGTTCCATTGAAATGGAAATTGTGCTGGTTTTAAACTTTTAATAGAACCCCCGAAATTGTTGATTTTACGCTCTATGTTTTGGTCAACCATATTAATTTTCAATGTTCGTATCCATCACATATGTAATATTGTACGTAAATAAATTAAATAAACGTCTCTCTCTTTTTTTTGAGCTCGGCTTGGGGAATCTACCCTTGCTTTAATGGCGTTGCGCACAAGTTTTTTCAGAATATTTGAGTAAATCAATTTAAAAATAGAGCAACGTTTTAGTTAAACTAATCAAAGGAACCTATAACGACGTTTTGGCACTTAGATATTTCAAAGAAACCTATTGTCTCTCACCAATAAAATATAGGAAAATTCTATGGTCCAATTATAAGTTTTTGACTGAACCATCCCGTTAAAATCTATCCAATAAAAGTGAGAAACACCATATATAATTAAGGGTGCACAACACTATATTAAAACTGAAGTAATTATCATCCGGTTAATTATTAGATAAGCTAATGAAGCGAAAATAAAATTAATTCCAAAAGTTTCGAAACAAGTTCTATTGCCGAACTGTGAAGAACTTCTAGTCTTTGCCCCCCTCCCCCTCAAGGAATTCAAGGATAAGACCACCGAATTTAATATGTTCTCGGCAGGGGGGTGTTGCCGGAAAACAAGGCCGTCCTTGTTAAGGCTAAGTTGTTTTTAAAGATTCCAAAAAGAAAATAAAGAAAGCTGGTTTTATTGATTTACAAATTGACCGCGTGAAGAAAATTCAATTAGGATAGAATTTAATTGAACTCTATCATTTAAAAAACAACAATTAAAGTTTTCAAACGATTAAGTCTGCCTTTTGACATTAAGAAGATCTAAAATCTGGGTTGAATTTTCTGAATGGGGTAATGCCAAAAGTGGGCAGAATGTGGCAACAACAACAGTTGCTACAACTGTGATTCTTGCATACCGGGCCTACCTTGCAAAGTTTCAATTAGATTGCGTTCTTCATTATTAATACCTCCCTGTCTTACTGAGTTTTTGGTTTGAATAGCGAAACAGAAATAGAATCCCCGCCACCCTCCCATCCATCCATACGAATTCCCCCAACCTCTTTACAAAGGGAAAGCTTTTCTCTTTTCTGTTTACAGAAAAAAGGAAATGGCGTCTTTCGTTTTGCCAGCCCCAACGCTGTTATCTTCGTCACTATCTTCATTATCATCGTCATCGTTGTCTGCCTCTCCTGTTCCCCTGTCTCCGGGTTCTTCTTGTTCTCTGGGTCGGAGAAGCGTTTCCCAGCCGTTTCGTAGTTTAAATGTGAAATGTGAAATTACTGAACCAATGAATGGAAAGCCTTGTATTCCAATCGTTAATGATCAAATCCTTCTCAAATTCTTGCAAGCTCGGCGCCTAGAAAATGCTGTCAAAAAAGTGAAATCAAGCTGAAAATATTTTCGGGCATAGCAAATACTGTTCTTTCTCAGGAAATTGCTTAGTATATGGGCCTCAACCTGGGAAAAATTAATATAAAGTGGTTTGCTGATGGTGAAATTTATGTTCAAGAGAGTGTCAGAGATCTTGCTAGTAAGAAGATTAGGATCAATGATCGCGTCGTATTTTCGCTTGATGCTGGAGGAGTTGCTAGAGCTCGTGATTTTGCCAAAAAGTGCTTTTAAAAGGAAAGGTTGTTGTTATGGTGGATGACATGATTGACACAGCAGGAACAACTGCAAAAGGTGCAACCCTTCTGCCTGATGAGGGGGCCAGGGAAGTTTATGCATGCAGTTTTTAGCCCTCCAGTAGTTGAGAGGTTGTCAAGTGGTTTGTTTCAAGAAGTTATTGTCATTAATACAATCTCAGTAACGGAGAAAAATTATTTTCCCCAGTTAACAGTTCTTTCGGTCGCAAATCTCTTGAGTGAAGCAATTTGGCAAGTTTATGATGATTGTTCGGTGAGTAGCATTTACCTGTGAAGCGAAGGGAGGTTCTTGAGATAGACATGCAAAAGCAAGGACATTTGAAGTACCAACTCCTTTCTCTCTTTTTGCTGGGGAAATACCTTGTGTTTTTCTTAACTTCCTACCACAGGTGATTGATCCAAACCATATTTTCCCACACAAAACATGATCTCTCGCACATCACAACATTTTGGTGCCCGATTCAGTATCAATTTCAATATGACTAATCCCCTGTTTGTTTCTCGCAAGCCTATTACTATTCATGTCACCTATTCTGGAGAATAGAGGTATTGATGATGATGACAAATATATAGCCGGGCTAAGTGATTGCCTTCTGCCTTGTAAAACAGGGAACTTCTAGACTATGGAGAAAATGCTCAGTAGGAAATTCTTTAGAGATGAATACATTTGTAAGATGTAGAACTTCCTCATGTTCAATGGTTTTATGTTACATTTCGAAAAAAAAAATGGTTTTATGTTGAAAAAGAAAAGAAAAAAAAAGCGAAACAGAAATAGAAAAAAGAACAAGTATAGGAATATAATCTTTGCTTCATGGAACTTAATCATCAATCTGTATCATGCCACTGATTGTTCTCTATGTTTTGAAAAATAGCATTCTTTATTGACGCAACATTTCTTGTTATAAGAAAAGAAAAAAAGAATAATGTCTATGATAAAATTTTATGGAAAACAATAACAAATAAGTTATGAAAATAATCTAGTATTTTTAAGTCTTGTTTCTTTTATAATACACCATATTTAATCCTACGGTGACAATGATTCTTTCTCATCCAACGGCTACAATTATCGACCGAACCATTCAGTCGACTGGACCATAATCGCACCCTAAAATATATTACCTCAAAGTTTCTAAATTTATACTATTAATTTTAGTGCAAATATTAAAAATCTATGTGGATTTTTTTGAGATGGAAGGAGTGATTTTCAGCTAACATAAATGAATATCCCAAGTTTCTTTTATTATACTCATGTTATTCTGTAAAAATAACAATACACTTTAATACAAATTTCAAAATTTAATGTGAATTATTATTTTGAAACAAAAGGAGTAATTTACGTATACAATGGAGAAGTGTATGGGCAAACCATAGAATTTTAGGCATGAGAACCATGAACAAACTAAGACAAAGGATTTCACCCTTAAAAAATGAAAGTGTTTTAGAAGAACGAACAAAGTAGCTTCGGAATTTGGGTAGCTATCGCCAATATGTAATCCAACAAAGTCAGAATAATTTATTTGTGGAGTATTTATTAAGTAATGACGCCCAAAAGCAAATTAAAATATCAAAAACTCACATGTAGCTTGGCAGCCCAAAAGGGTCCTGCCTTCCTCTCTTTGTTCACTTTATTTATCACCTTTTTTATATTTTATTTTGCATTTTTATAATCTTTTACGCCCAAAAATAATACAGTGGTCCTACATATTTCCTTAAATGCATGACAAAAATCAAACTATTTTCTCATAGTATCTTACCAAAAAAAATTAAATGAAAATTAAAAATAGTCCGACGTCCAGTAATAGAAAAAAGGAGTCGTAGCCTCGTAGGATTTTTTTTTTTTTTTTTTTGAAGTAGCCTCGTAGGACTTGCT